TTTAATGTAGAATAGGTTTAGCTAAAACATGCCTGAACTCCAAACACACAAGTTTAATGTAAATTAGGAGGAATTTTAGCTAAAACATGCATGAACTCCAAACACACAAGTTTAATGTAGAATAGGGGGAATTTTAGCTAAAACATGCCTGAACTCCAAACACACAGGTTTAATGTAGAATAGAGGGAATTTTAGCTAAAACATGCCTGAACTCCAAACACACAAGTTTAATGTAAAATAGGAGGAATTTTAGCTAAAACATGCCTGAACTCCAAATACACAGGTTTAATGTAGAATAGGGGGAATTTTAGCTAAAACATGCCTGAACTCCAAACACACAAGTTTAATGTAAAATAGGAGGAATTTTAGCTAAAACATGCCTGAACTCCAAACACACAAGTTTAATGTAAAATAGGAGGAATTTTAGCTAAAACATGCCTGAACTCCAAATACACAGGTTTAATGTACAAATGAATGTAGAATAGGGGGAATTTTAGCTAAAACATGCCTGAACTCCAAACACACAAGTTTAATGTAGAATAGGGGGAATTTTAGCTAAAACATGCCTGAACTCCAAACACACAAGTTTAATGTAGAATAGAGGGAATTTTAGCTAAAACATGCCTGAACTCCAAACACACAAGTTTAATGTAGAATAGAAGGAATTTTAGCTAAAACATGCCTGAACTCCAAACACACAAGTTTAATGTAGAATAGGGGGAATTTTAGCTAAAACATGCCTGAACTCCAAACACACAAGTTTAATGTAGAATAGAGGGAATTTTAGCTAAAACATGCCTGAACTCCAAACACACAAGTTTAATGTAAAATAGGAGGAATTTTAGCTAAAACATGAATGAACTCCAAATACACAGGTGTAATGTAGAATAGGGGGAATTTTAGCTAAAACATGCCTGAACTCCAAACACACAATTTTAATGAAGAATAGGTTTAGCTAAAACATGCCTGAACTCCAAACACACAAGTTTAATGTAAAATAGGAGGAATTTTAGCTAAAACATGCCTGAACTCCAAACACACAAGTTTAATGTAAAATAGAAGGAATTTTAGCTAAAACATGCCTGAACTCCAAATACACAGGTTTAATGTACAAATGAATGTAGAATAGGGGGAATTTTAGCTAAAACATGCCTGAACTCCAAACACACAAGTTTAATGTAGAATAGGAGGAATTTTAGCTAAAACATGCCTGAACTCCAAACACACAAGTTTAATGTAGAATAGGGGGAATTTTAGCTAAAACATGCCTGAACTCCAAACACACAAGTTTAATGTAGAATAGGGGGAATTTTAGCTAAAACATGCCTGAACTCCAAACACGCAAGTTTAATGTACAAATGAATGTAGAATAGGGGGAATTTTAGCTAAAACATGCATGAACTCCAAACACACAAGTTTAATGTAGAATAGGAGGAATTTTAGCTAAAACATGCCTGAACTCCAAACACACAAGTTTAATGTAGAATAGGGGGAATTTTAGCTAAAACATGCCTGAACTCCAAACACACAAGTTTAATGTAGAATAGGGGGAATTTTAGCTAAAACATGCCTGAACTCCAAACACACAAGTTTAATGAAGAATAGGTTTAGCTAAAACATGCCTGAACTCCAAACACACAAGTTTAATGTAAAATAGGAGGAATTTTAGCTAAAACATGCCTGAACTCCAAACACACAAGTTTAATGTAAAATAGGAGGAATTTTAGCTTAAACATGCCTGAACTCCAAATACACAGGTTTAATGTACAAATGAATGTAGAATAGGGGGAATTTTAGCTAAAACATGCCTGAACTCCAAACACACAAGTTTAATGTAGAATAGGGGGAATTTTAGCTAAAACATGCCTGAACTCCAAACACACAAGTTTAATGTAGAATAGAGGGAATTTTAGCTAAAACATGCCTGAACTCCAAACACACAAGTTTAATGTAGAATAGAAGGAATTTTAGCTAAAACATGCCTGAACTCCAAACACACAAGTTTAATGTAGAATAGGGGGAATTTTAGCTAAAACATGCCTGAACTCCAAACACACAAGTTTAATGTAGAATAGAGGGAATTTTAGCTAAAACATGCCTGAACTCCAAACACACAAGTTTAATGTAAAATAGGAGGAATTTTAGCTAAAACATGCCTGAACTCCAAATACACAGGTTTAATGTAGAATAGAGGGAATTTTAGCTAAAACATGCCTGAACTCCAAACACACAAGTTTAATGAAGAATAGGTTTAGCGAAAACATGCCTGAACTCCAAACACACAAGTTTAATGTAAAATAGGAGGAATTTTAGCTAAAACATGCCTGAACTCCAAACACACAAGTTTAATGTAAAATAGAAGGAATTTTAGCTAAAACATGCCTGAACTCCAAATACACAGGTTTAATGTACAAATGAATGTAGAATAGGGGGAATTTTAGCTAAAACATGCCTGAACTCCAAACACACAAGTTTAATGTAGAATAGGAGGAATTTTAGCTAAAACATGCCTGAACTCCAAACACACAAGTTTAATGTAGAATAGGGGGAATTTTAGCTAAAACATGCCTGAACTCCAAACACACAAGTTTAATGTAGAATAGAGGGAATTTTAGCTAAAACATGCCTGAACTCCAAACACACAAGTTTAATGTAAAATAGGAGGAATTTTAGCTAAAACATGCCTGAACTCCAAATACACAGGTGTAATGTAGAATAGGGGGAATTTTAGCTAAAACATGCCTGAACTCCAAACACACAAGTTTAATGAAGAATAGGTTTAGCTAAAACATGCCTGAACTCCAAACACACAAGTTTAATGTAAAATAGGAGGAATTTTAGCTAAAACATGCCTGAACTCCAAACACACAAGTTTAATGTAAAATAGAAGGAATTTTAGCTAAAACATGCCTGAACTCCAAATACACAGGTTTAATGTACAAATGAATGTAGAATAGGGGGAATTTTAGCTAAAACATGCCTGAACTCCAAACACACAAGTTTAATGTAGAATAGGAGGAATTTTAGCTAAAACATGCCTGAACTCCAAACACACAAGTTTAATGTAGAATAGGGGGAATTTTAGCTAAAACATGCCTGAACTCCAAACACACAAGTTTAATGTAGAATAGGAGGAATTTTAGCTAAAACATGCCTGAACTCCAAACACACAAGTTTAATGTAGAATAGGGGGAATTTTAGCTAAAACATGCCTGAACTCCAAACACACAAGTTTAATGTAGAATAGGGGGAATTTTAGCTAAAACATGCCTGAACTCCAAACACGCAAGTTTAATGTACAAATGAATGTAGAATAGGGGGAATTTTAGCTAAAACATGCCTGAACTCCAAACACACAAGTTTTAATGTAGAATAGGAGGAATTTTAGCTAAAACATGCCTGAACTCCAAACACACAAGTTTAATGTAGAATAGGGGGAATTTTAGCTAAAACATGCCTGAACTCCAAACACACAAGTTTAATGTAGAATAGGGGGAATTTTAGCTAAAACATGCCTGAACTCCAAACACACAAGTTTAATGAAGAATAGGTTTAGCTAAAACATGCCTGAACTCCAAACACACAAGTTTAATGTAAAATAGGAGGAATTTTAGCTAAAACATGCCTGAACTCCAAACACACAAGTTTAATGTAAAATAGGAGGAATTTTAGCTAAAACATGCCTGAACTCCAAATACACAGGTTTAATGTACAAATGAATGTAGAATAGGGGGAATTTTAGCTAAAACATGCCTGAACTCCAAACACACAAGTTTAATGTAGAATAGGGGGAATTTTAGCTAAAACATGCCTGAACTCCAAACACACAAGTTTAATGTAGAATAGAGGGAATTTTAGCTAAAACATGCCTGAACTCCAAACACACAAGTTTAATGTAGAATAGAAGGAATTTTAGCTAAAACATGCCTGAACTCCAAACACACAAGTTTAATGTAGAATAGGGGGAATTTTAGCTAAAACATGCCTGAACTCCAAACACACAAGTTTAATGTAGAATAGAGGGAATTTTAGCTAAAACATGCCTGAACTCCAAACACACAAGTTTAATGTAAAATAGGAGGAATTTTAGCTAAAACATGCCTGAACTCCAAATACACAGGTTTAATGTAGAATAGAGGGAATTTTAGCTAAAACATGCCCTGAACTCCAAACACACAAGTTAATGAAGAATAGGTTTAGCTAAAACATGCCTGAACTCCAAACACACAAGTTTAATGTAAAATAGGAGGAATTTTAGCTAAAACATGCCTGAACTCCAAACACACAAGTTTAATGTAAAATAGAAGGAATTTTAGCTAAAACATGCCTGAACTCCAAATACACAGGTTTAATGTACAAATGAATGTAGAATAGGGGGGAATTTTAGCTAAAACATGCCTGAACTCCAAACACACAAGTTTAATGTAGAATAGGAGGAATTTTAGCTAAAACATGCCTGAACTCCAAACACACAAGTTTAATGTAGAATAGGGGGAATTTTAGCTAAAACATGCCTGAACTCCAAACACACAAGTTTAATGTAGAATAGGGGGAATTTTAGCTAAAACATGCGCTGAACTCCAAACACACAAGCTTAATGTAGAATAGAGGGAATTTTAGCTAAAACATGCCTGAACTCCAATTACACAAGTTTAATGTAGAATAGGAGGAATTTTAGCTAAAACATACCTGAACTCCAAACACACAAGTTTAATGTAGAAGAAAGGGGAAGTTAAACATGCTTGAACTTCTAGTATTAACGCCACCTGAAAAAAAATCTTCTCTTTCCTATTGCTATACGGGTAATTATAGAATATAGTAGTGAAGAAATATAGTTTTTGTTATTTTGAAATTTTACCCAAAATACACAACTGGACCCTTCTTGACATGGCATTGCCAGTTAAAAAAAAATGTCATCAACTTATGAGTGTGAATATCCCTTGGTATCTTCCGTCTCTCTTTTACAAATATTCTACGTTTCTTTTTTTGAATATTTATTAATGAAAGTATGTTTCCTTACCTATATTGTGTGCCCTTGTAGTGAATTACCTTCAGTATCTATAACTTATTGGTAACTTAAGTGTAGACCAGGTGACTTGTGAGGTAAGAACATTTATTTATATGATCTTAAATTAAGACAAAAACCTGGGACTTCTATGGTTTGAGGTCCTATTCATATGTTGATAATTGATAGTACTGGTAGAATTATGCTATTTGGACAAACAAGTTAGACTTAATGGTGTGGTTTGAGGTCCTGAACATAGAAAATGATGTAATATTGACAAAAACCTTGGACTTCTATAGTAGGAGGTCCTATTCATATGTTTAAATGACTAAAGTGATACATTACATTATTATGTTTTTCAGATAAAACCTGGGACCCCGTGTGGTACGAGGTCCTGATTGGATCTCAAAGAAGCAAGATAATGGAGAAGGCTTCCTGGGAACTGTGATATTTGTACCTAAGCCTGGCTCTGATGACAAAAAGGTTACCGTCATCTGGGACTCAGGACGAGAGCTGAGATATAGAGCTGGCGAGAATGGAAAATATGACCTACGAGTGTTTGACACGGCACCTTCAGGTAATATATATAGATATACAGGGCTGGGGAGAATGGAAAATATGACCTGTGAGTGTTTGACACGGCACCTACAGGTAATATGGACTGAGACACAGGGCTAGGGAGATTGGAAAATATGACCTACAAGTGTTTGACACGGCACCTTCAGGTAATATGGACTGAGACACAGGGCTGGTCAGAATTTAATATTTCTTATGTTTGACCCTGCACTTTACTGTAATAGGACTGAAACCCAGTGGTGGTAAAAAAAGTATAGGATCTATCACTGCATCAAGTTTGATATGATATATGTCTTCTTGTAAGACAATTGAATTTTATAATAGTCAAATTTTTTAGTGATTCCATAAACAACAGGACTAAGGTTCTTTGACATCACTTTTATTATTACATACTGAAAAAAAATGCATATAAAAATATACTCTATCACAAATGATCATATATTTAAGTTTTTATGCCCCAGCCGTAGGAGAGGGGGCATTAAGTTTTCCCTTGTCCGTCTGTACGTACGTACGTCCAAAAGTTGGTTTCCGTTCTCTAACTTTAGTTTGCCTCAACCAAATGTTATGAAACTTATACACAATGCTTATTACCACTAAATACAGATCAAGTTTGAATTTTGATTAGGTCACTTGTACCGTTCTAGAGTTATGCCCCCTTTACAAATTTTTCCCCATTTTTTCGTTTCCGTTCCCTAACATAAGTTTGCCTCAACCAAATGTTATGAAACTTATACGCAATGCTTATTACCACAATAAACAGTCAAGTTTGAATTTTGGTGCTGTCACTTTTACTGTTCTAGAGTTATGCCCTTTACAAATGGAAAAATTTCTAAATTTTTCATTTTTTTTTCTAAATATCAAGTAATTTTTAAAATTGGAGTTATCTTCTTTTGTACATGATTATAGTTGATTTATACAATGCAATATTCAATTTTACTTCCTACTGATAAATTAAAGCAATCTTTACCATTCAGTGCTTACAAGCTGTTTGATTACTGTTCTAGGGTTATGCCCCTTTACAAATGAAAAAACTTGCTGAATTTTTCGTTTCCTTTCTCTGACTTGAGTTTGTCTTAAAACTAATTGTAATTTCTAAAAATATCAATGTCATTATTCAAGTAATTTTTAAATTTGGAGTTATCTTCCTTTGTCCATGATTATAGTTGAATCAACTACAATCAATGCTTTATACAATGCAATGTTTAATTTTGCCTTCCACTGATTAAACACAGATCAAGTTGAATTTTGGTAGTGTCACTTTAACCATTATTGAGTTATGCCCCTTTATAAATCGAAAGATTGCAAAATTTTTAGTTTCCATTCTGTAACTTAAGTTTGCCCCAACCAAACATTATGAAACCTATACACAATATTCATTACCACAAAACTAAGATCAAGTACAATTTTTTTGTTTCCGTCTCTAACTTTAGTTTGCCTCTACCAAATGTTATGAATCTTATACACAATGCTTATTACTACATAATACAGATTAAGTACGAAATTTGGTGGCGTCACTTTTACCATTCTTGAGTTATGTCCCTTTATAAACATAAAAATTGCTGAATTATAACTATATCATGTATATGATATGTAAGCGGGGGCATCATCTGTGTCCACATGTGGACACAATCCACATTTATTTGTTTTATTGTTCAGGATTAAGGATAGGCAGGTGTCACTCTACATTACTTTCCAGTTGCTAGCTGAATGATTGTGCTGTAGAAAAATTTTCATCTACACATGAAGGCACATTTCAACTTGTATTCATATAAAATGAATAATATATTTACAGGAATATGCAGTCTAAATATAACTTGTAATGATAATGAAGGAATTGATGTATTATGTGAATTTGTTTGCAGGAGTTTGTCATCCTAACATAACTTGTGATATTTGTGGGGAGAAAGGAATCCATGGATTACGATGGAAGTGTTGTGATTGCCATGACTTTGATATGTGTAGTCCATGTTATATGGCCGATAAACATGACCTGAAGCATGCGTTTGTTCGAGTGGATACCCCTAACTCTACAGCGTAAGTACTGCTGTGGTCACATGACTTTGATATGTGTAGTCCATGTTATATGGTCGATAAACATGACCTGAAGCATGCGTTTGTTCGAGTGGATACCCCTAACTCTACAGCGTAAGTACTGCTGTGGTCACATGACCTGAAACATGTATTTGTTAGAGTGAGTATACCTAATCAACAGCGTAAATATGGCTGCAGTCATATGACTTTTAACATTAAATTCTGATTAAAGATTTATATTTTTTATGTTTTTTTCTGTCTTTTTAGTTCACCTGGTATTATTTTGCCTCTGTCATTTTGTCTGTCATTTGTCTTTCTGTCATCAGAAATTAAGAAAAAAAATGTTCTCCTCTGAAACTACTGGGCCAAATGTTATCTAACTGTAGTTAAATGTTCCATAGGATCCCTAGTTTTAAAATTATGTCCTGGGATTTGATCCAGAAAGAAACATAGCTGCTGTTGCTAATAATAGAACATATGGGGCAAAATGCAGTTTTTGGCTTATATCTCAAATTTTTTTTGAAAGAGAAAATCTGACATTGGTAAAAATGATTAGTAGGTCAAGCTATATCTTCTACAAAATTTTAAGAAAAATGGGTCAACCCATCTTGGAGTTATTCCCCCTGAAATGTGAATTTTTAGTAAATTTCAACATTTTCGGCCTATATCTGGAAAACTAAAGCAGTTCAAGCAATTCTGACAGGGATAAAATTCCCAGCAGGTCAAGATCTATCTCCTGTGAAATTTTCAAAAAAATTGGATAATCCATTATGGAGTTATTGCCCTTGAAATACCATTATTGTTTTTTGCAAATTTCAGTTTTTGGTTATCTTGAAAACTATAACAGATGAAGAGAAATTTAAACAATAAGAAAGACCGAAACAATAAGATCTGCCAATGAATCAACATGGACAAAAGGTTGTATTGTCCCCCTTTACATGAGTTATTCTCCTTGGAAGACTTATTTTACTCATTATTTTACAGAAACTATAATAGATGGAGAGAAATTGTAAAAGTGATCAGCAAAATAAGATCTACAAATAGGTCAACATTCATCAATTAGCCCCTTGTAGGAGTGGTCAACATTCACGATTCATCAACTAGCCCCTTGTAGGAGGTATTGCCCGTGAAAGACTAATTTTGCTCATGTTTTGCGTGCTTTGCAGAAACTATTATAGATAGCTATATGGAGAATTGTCAATTGATCGCTTACAGGTTGCACTTTGTAAATACAGCTGTTTCACAAGCCACACCTCTTTTGGGGAGATATATAATATTCATAGATATGTTAATTTGTTAACGTACTGGTTCCCAGATATGATCTCTGTGTTTCATCTCTTAGAGACATAACTTGAGAATGTTACCAGTTTAGAAAAAAATGGTAGCGCCTAAAATCTAATTCTTAGGAGGTCCAAAAGTGGAGGTAGGGGTAGTGTAGAAATTTAGTATAAGTTTAAACTCTTAGAAGTTCAGGGCATATAAATATTGAAAATATGCCACACAGCCCTATATTTTGACCTTTGAATAAAATAGAAGTGCATATCAACTTTCCATTCTGGGATATAATTTTTCACAAAACTTCCTAGTAAAAGTGGCACAGTTTTAGCCGCAAAGGGAGTTCCTATGGGAAATTGCATTGTCTATATTTACAGAATTGCCCTTGAATGATGGTTTTTATCTGTTTTTATACGACCGCAAAAAATATTTGCGGTCGTATATTGGTATGACGTTGGCGTCGTCATCCGAAGACACATTGGTTTTCGCACAATAACTTTAGTTTGAATGAATGGATCTCTATAAAATTTTACCATAAGGTTCAATACCACAAAAGGAAGGTTGGGATTGATTTTGGGGGTTATGGTACCAACAGTTAAGGAATTAGGGGCCAAAAAGGGGCCAAAAATAAGCATTTTTCTAGTTTCCAGACAATAACTTGTGGAACGGTGTATGGATCTCTCTGAAATTATACCACAAGTTTCCATACCATAAAGGGATGGTTAGGATTTGCTTTGGGGGGTTATGGCTCAAACCGTTTAGGAATTAGGGGCAAAAAAAGGGGAAAAACAAGCGTGTCCTGGTTAATGGACAAATACTTTAGTACAAAACATAATTTAAAGCAGTGTAAGGGAGGTAATTCAAATACATCATTTGAATTACCTCCCTTACACTGCTTTTAAATTATGTATTAAGTAATGGTTAATGAACAATTAAGATTTGATTTTGATTTTTGGTGTTTTTACGCCACTTTTAAGCACCACTTTTCGTGGCGGTCAGTTTTTATTGGTGGAGGAAGCCGGAGTGCCAGGAGAAAACCACCGACCTTCGATAGGAAAACTGACAATCCTAGTCAATTAAGATTGGAGTCGAGTGCACCCGCACGAGCGGGGTTCGAACTCACAACCTCAGTGTTGACTGGCTAGTGATTACAGTAGTAACTACTTAGACCACTCGGCCACTGAGGCCCCTGAACAATTAAGACAATTTAAAAGCAGTGTATGGGAGGTAATCCAAATACAATGTTTTGATTACCTCCCTAACACTGCTTTTAAATTATGTTTAAAGAAATGCATATTTATAAAGGAAGACCAGTAAAAATATCTGCAAATGTTGCATCTTTTTTTTTTTACAAAAAATTCCATATGAAAGATTTGACACCATATTTTAAATTCTATTATAAAATAGATTAAGTTAGCACTATGATAAATTTAAATGGGTAATTATGGTTGCAAACTCCATTGGAAATTTGAATTGAGATTATAACCATATCTTGAGGGAAAGAATTTTTTTGTGGAAAAAAGGGGGGGGGGGGGGGGGTAAAAAAAAATTGTGGGCGGTCAATTTTTTCTCATTTCAGATTTCAGAAATTAAAAAGAAAATTTCTTCAAATATTATTTTTTTTGCCAAAAAAAAGTGTGGAGGGGGGGGGGGGGGGGGGGGGGGGGTGTTAATACGTAACAGCATAGTATATTGCACAAAAGCAAAAAAAAGGGTGGTATATTTTTTATTTTTTTTTGTGGGGGGAGGGGGTGTCAATTCGCAACAGCAAAGCGTATTGCACAAAAGCAAAAAATTGTATGTAAATTCAAATCATATAACTCAAAGTTCTTTGACTACAGTTATTCTTTGTCAGAAACCTTTTATGTGTCAAATAAATATTTAATTACAATCCAAATTTAGACCTGTATCAAGCGCGAATATTGCGTCCATTTTTGCCACAACTGTTCAGGGGGGGAATTTTTTTTCAATTTTTTTTAGGGGTTCATACTTTTTTTCTTCAAGATTTTTCAAAATTACAAATTTTTCCAAAATTTTTTTTGGTGGGGGAGGACAAATTTTTTGGGGGGAATTTTTTTGCATAATTTTTGGGGTTTTTTTCCCAAATTTTTTTCAATTTTACATTGATAAATTCTGATTTATATATAAAAGCAACAAATACTGATATGGCAGGAGATACACACCAAACAGGGTGTGTAAATTATTATATATAACAGATTAACTAAGTATTGTGCAACAGCACAGTACTGTGCAATTGTAACAGCCACTATGTTCCGTCAGTTACTTTGTTCCGGCGGAACTTTTCAACAAGAAATTTCGTTCCGATGGAACTTTCCAACTAGTTGTTTTATTCCGAGTGCAGTCGAAAAGTTCCGGAAAAAGGAACTTATCAACTAGCCACAAAGTTCCTCTTTGGCAAATAAGTCAAAACCGGAACTAACAAACTAGCCCAAAAGTTCCAATGGAACTTATCAACCAGTCACAAAGTTCCATTTGGAGAATTGATGCAAAGAACCACATGAGGAGGGGGGTATTCTTCCCTCTGTTGAGGGTACTATGAATACTAAATTTGCATGATAATGCAACTTATTCCGTTTTATGTGAGCTATGAAATACAACTTAAATTTTGCATATTTGTCCCCAAAGAAACCCCTTTCAGTGCGTTGGGTATTCTTGTAAATTAATGATTTGCTCTTATATATACTGATAGTCATTCTTCCCCTCTTTCTACAAAAAGGACGAAATATGGTATATTCAGTATCTTGGTTTCCCTTTGAAAGGTTCAAATATAATATGTTGCGCTTTTACTTTGCATCAATTCTCCAAATGGAACTTTCTGCCTGGTTGATAAGTTCCGTTGGAACTTTTGGGCTAGTTTGTTAGTTCCGGTTTTGACTAATTTGGCAAAAAGGAACTTTCTAACTAGTTGATATGTTCCGTTGGAACTTTTCAACTAGTCACTTTGTTCCGGTGGAACTTTTAAACCAGAGGAAGAACAAAGTAACTAGTTAATAAGTTCCTCTGGAACTTTTCGGCTAGTTAGTTCTTTCCGCCCGGAACTTTCCAACGTCGGAACAAAAGAGCATTTACACAATAACACAGTATTGTGCAATAGCAAGAAATCTTCAATTGAAAATAAATACAAATCTTTTAACCAATTTCAATGGGATTAATTTAAAGTCTTTAATTATTGGGCCCCATTTTTAAATTGGTCTACATTGAGGTCCAAAGGGTCCAAAGTTAAACTTTGTTTGATTTCATCAAAAACTGAATTATTGCGGCTCTATGATATGCTGAATCTTATTGTGCATTTAGATTTTTGACTTTTGGCCCTGTTTTCAAATTAGTCCATATCAAGGTTTGAAGGGTCCAAAATTAAACTTAGTTTGATTTCAACTAAAATTAAATTTTTGGTGTTTTTTTTGTATGCTGAATCTAACCATGTTGTTAGATTTTGGATATCAGACCATTCTAGGTAAATTAAAAGTCCCATTTCAAATCTTTTAAGACCTTTGACCACATTTATTTTGTGTCAGAAACCTATATTATGTCAAAAATTTGATCACAATCCAAATTCAGACAGTATCAAGCTTGCATATTGTGTCCAAACTTGCCCCAACTGTTCAGGGTTTGGACCTCTGCGGTCGTATCAGGCTGCGCTCGGCGAAGCATTTCATAAACTAAGATTTTGGCCTAATTATACTACTGCAACAATTTGTCATCGCAACTCATCTGACACCACACAACAGAATTTCACGTGATTTTGTAGTTAATGAGGACATAATATGTAGATCCACAAGAAATTTTTATCAGTTGAGTTATGAGTCTTAGAACTTAGGAATCTGGTGAGATTTTGTTTGCCCAGTGAAAATGTGGGGCGTGGGGTATGTGAGCGTGCTCACAAAAGTTCTTTAATTTTTTTTAATTGTGAACCTTTTATAACAAAACTTATTAGGCCGCAATCCCCGGTTGTAATAAACCTTCTTTAAATAGCAAGGAAGATCATATTAAATTCAGGAAGATGCCTCATATTTCCAAAAATCCTGTCTGGTTACATATGAATACAAAAAGAACCATACCATTCAAAAACTGCAAAAATTAAATATTCATGAAGATAGAAAAAGAGAACAGTTGCAAGGATGCAAAGAGAATTTGTCTTATTTTATCTATTCTAGTTTCAATGTACCTACCAGATCAAAAAGTGCCAGTAGTAAAAGGACAGCCAAAGGTATATTTCCAAATGCTGAAGTAATGAGAGGTCCTCACTGGAAATGGAAAAATGACGATGGTAAATATACATAATTATATACTTATATAATAGGTTATTGGGTTATCTTTCCTAATGCATGTAATGGTGGATTGTTGGTGTGTCTTAACTGGAAATGGAAACATGATGATAAATATACATTATTATACATGTATTTAATGGATAATCTCCCCTGATGCTTATGTGGTCAGGGGTCCTCACTGGAAAGAATATGTTCAGTAAATACATTTATAAAGGTTTTACCATTGTACTAAAACACAAACATATTTAAGATGAAATATAGTTTCATTTTGATGTACTCACAAACATACACTCAAGAGGGATCTTCTAAATAAAATAAGGAGATGTGGTACGATTGCCAATGAGACAACTATCCACCAGAGTCCAAATGATGTGGATATAGGTTACTGTATGGCCTTCAAAAATGAGCAAAACTCTTACCGTCTAGTCAGCCATAAAAGGCCAGACTTTGACAGATGTAAAACAATTCAAACAAAAAGTAAACAGTCTGATTTATGATGAAACAATGAACTGAAAACACATATAACAGGTATAACAGACAGCAACCAAACAGTGAGTCATCATTCATATACCATGCAGCACAATGCAAATAAATTATCTGCATTAAAATAGGAGGACATTATTTTTAAGGTGGAGAGGGAGGTGTAGGCCTTGTGAAGACACTGGAGACCTGGGGTAAAGATTCATACAGAGGAGCTGTCAAAATTTTATGGAAAGCCGATAATTTGGTGAAGAACTATCGTGTTGGTGGAGAGGGTTGTGTAGATGTGATTTACACACGGATGACAGAAACTGCCTCTGGTGGGAATTATTATGCAGATCATCTTCCGTTTGTTGGTAAGTAGTGGTGGGTTGAAGAATTGTCCTTCCTAGGAGAGGAATTTGTAAACGTTATTTAGAAATTGCTGCGTGAGTGAGTGAGTAAATTTGAAACTATTAGTTACACAGTGTGCAATTGAAGCCAAACCAGATATGAACTTTATTGACCGGATAAATTCCGTATTAGGACAATTGCACATTGTGTAAAGAATTTATCCTGATTTTGTTATCACACCACTTATTTATTGTTAAAAAAGATATTATTAAAATAGTATTTAAAATATTAATTATTAGGACAATATCAACCAAATATATTTAGATATTTAATCTAAAACTGTGAAAAATGAAAAATATTAGGACTTTTTTTTTTATTAAGTCAATGGTATAAGGGAGATGATTCAAATTGACTTAATAAAAAATTGCACTGAAATTTATTAGGACAATATCAGCCAATCAAATTGGGAGAAATATACTCTAAATCAGAATAATAATTTTTACTGGAAGTTTGCAAACAGAGTAACAAAATGATAATGATAATAAATTGATAAAAGATCTTTGTATAATACTGCAAGCATCAAAATGGAGGTCTATCAAATATTGCTTGCAACTTTTCATTATCAATACAGGAGAAATGAAATTATTTTGGTACTTTTTTGTTGTAAGGTCCAATTATTTACAGAAATTAATAAAGTTTTGTGACAAAATGGTTTGTAAGATAGTATTCTGTTTCAGATGTGGTCAACCCTGGACAGATTCTGTTGAAGATTGGTGACAAAGTAATTGTCACTTTACCATTAAAAGGATTCAGGCAGCTACAGGACAACCAAGCATATGGTGGCTGGGATGATGAGATGAATCAGGTAAATTCACTGTGTCTCTAGACCAAAAAACGAAAATCAAACAAAAGTTTATTTACAACTTAGCTTTGAAATTATTGTATAGACATGTGTCCTATTTTTGAAACATTTGGTGACCTAGTGTTTAGAATAAACAAATACACATTTGAGTGTAGAATTATATTTTCTGATTTTAGTGTTTGGGAATAGGGTCATAGCGTAATATTGTATTATATTTTCTAATTTTAGTATTTAGAAGAAACAAATACACATTGTAGTGTAAAATAATTTTTTGTGATTTTAGTGTTTAGACGAAACAGGAACTATTGTTGGCTTCCTTTACAGTGGCATGAGTGTTAAAGTACAATATGAAGACAGTAAAACTTGGGTCATCAATAAAGTAGCTTTAACGAGGGTAAGTATCAATAAAGTAGTGTTAACGAGGGTAAGTATCAATAAAAAAGCTTTAACGAGGGTTAGTATCAATAAAGTGGCTTTAACGAGGGTAAGCACCAATAAAGAGGCTTTTAACAAGGGTTAGTATCAATAAAGTTGCTTTAACGAGGGTAAGCACCAATAAAGAGGCTTTAACGAGGGTTAGTATCAATAATGTGGCTTTAACGAGGGTAAGCACCAATAAAGAGGCTTTAACAAGGGTGAGTAACAATAAAGAGGCTTTAACAAGGGTTAGTATCAATAAAATTGCTTTAACGAGCGTTAGTATCAATAAAATAGCTTTAACAAGGTAAGTATCAATAAAGTAGCTTTAATGAGGGTAAGTAACTGTTTAATGAAATGAATCTTTGATCATCAATAAAGTATCACAAGAGTGAGCAACAATTTAATGTCTTTGAAATTTGAATTATTTAAAAAGTAGTGCAAACCAAAAAAATGAAATAAAAAAAGAAAAAGAAAGAAATAGACAACGTCACTAAAAGTAAGTTGCAAAATTGTACACTTTCAAGAATATAATTGAATGAACCTAAAGGCAACCATGATTTTAATTTCAGCTTAAGATGAAGCTTTTTTGTCTCCCTTGCCATGAAAGTCTCAGTATGTGAGACTTTGAAATTAGTATCCCTTGGTGGTGGCAAAAACTATTTGTATAAAACTTTTATATTTCAGAGGGTTGAAGACCTGGCTTTTTGTTATCTTGTTTTTTTGTATACAGATGCCTGATGTTACGAAGTTTCTGCCTTTCACATGTCTATTATCCTTGACCTCATTTTCATGGTTCAGTGAGTGCTTAAAAAAAATCTTTGTTTTTTTTTGGTCATGACTGAATTGCTCGCTTCTTATGAGATAACTATATTTGTTATATGGGTTCCTTGCAAGGTGTACATGTCTGACAGACATGGTTCACCTGACCTCAACCTCATTTCATCGATCAGTGACAAGGTTAATGTTAGGTGATTAGGTCTGTTTCTCAGATACTATTAGACAAAGTAAACTATATGTGGTGTATGGAATGATTGTAAGGTGTACATGTCAGTCTGGTAGGTTTCATCTAACCTAGACCTCATTTTCATGGTTCATTGGTCAATGTTAGGTGTTCATGGTTTAGTCCTCTTTTTATATACCATAAAGTTAAACAATGGGTTGACTATAGTTTGTGTATTGAATGATGGTAAGATGTCCATGTCTCTCTGGCAGGTATCATCTGACCTTGACCTCATTTTCATGGTTCATTGGCCAATGTTAAGTTTTTGTGTATTGATCTGTTTTTCAAATATAAATAATAGGTCACCAATGTCGCAGGAAAAATGGGACACCAATAATACATCGACTTGGGATGAGGAATAAGTCACCATAAACCCATAAACTTGTCGTGGTAATGCGTGTGGGCCATTTCTGCATTAAATGAGTCGTCCAATTTATATATACTTTATTATATAATCTGCAGCGGTGACTTTAGTCTGCCGCCTCCCCGATTGTAATAATGACCAGTGACTCACTCGAAAAGTGAAATTGTATTAATATATATATATATGGTTAGTATTGCCGCGCTTTGAGCTCATGCATAACTCATGCTATTTGAATATAAATATATATATCATTTAAATAATAATAAAGAATCGCTTTACCTTTCTATTGTACTAATTTAAATATTCGGTACGCAAAGCAAAACATAGCGTACAAAGCTATAGTTTATTTCAAAATACGCAGCGCAGAACTATTTTCGTCAATCGTCAAGAATCAAGAATATGAAATATGAATATGATATGAATGGGAAACATACAACACTGAAAACACAAATAATATGAAATGCTTTATAATGAACAAAATGGATAAATATATCCGGTGACACCAATATTTGGTGTATGGAATGATTGTAAGGTGTACATGTTTGAATAGTAGGTATCATCTGACCTTGACCTCATTTTCATTGTTCACTGATCAATGTTACTGTTAGGTTTTTTTATTGTTTGGTCCTCTAAATATAAACTATAAGTAATAGGTCAACAATATTTGGTGTATTGAATAATTATAAGGTGGGCATGCATATATATATGTATGTCTTACATTGCTCATCTGACCTTGACCTCATTGTCATGGAACTTTAAAAATGTGTAGTTTATGTGATACTTGTAGTAAAACCTTTATCTGAATGACTTTCAGCTTAAAATTACGGTCAGTTAAGTAGGTGAGATATTTCAGTGTGTGCCCTTTTGTTTCTTTACAGTAACACACCATCATTCATGATGATTATATTTCTCTCTGAGGAACAAGATGGTTTTTTTTTACAGAAACATACCTTTAATCAAGGAGATGCTGTTACTATTCTGAATAATTATAATGCTGTCAAAGAGCTGCAAAAAGGTCATGGTGGATGGAACGATGAAATGAAGACTGTAAGTAAAGGTCAAAGATTACAACAGTATAACCTTTAGACAAGTTCTATGGTTGAATGATTAAATGAAGACTGTAAGTAAAGGTTAAAGTTTACAACCTTTAGACAGGTTCTATGATGTGCTGCGAAAAATATTTACAAAGTTCTATCTTAATATTGCCATTAATGATAATTTCATCCATTTAAACATAGCAACCATTGTAAATATTTATAATATATTATACCATAAAACAACAAGATAACAAAATAAAATATGAAATAAGGGTGAATAAGCCAGGACCAATAGGTATAAGGATGAACAGTCCAAGATTAATGATGAATGACAGTACAAGGTTTATTGTCTGATTTATAGGCTCTAGGAAAGAATGGTAGAATAGTTCGTCTTGACAGTGATGGTGATATGCGAATTAAAATTGAGAATAAAACGTGGATATTTAACCCAGCATGTATAATGCCAATAGACGATGACAGCACAGCCAAATCGATACCAGTTTTGTCTAGACAGGACACCAGAGATCATTCTGATGATGAATCAGAGACAGGATCTGAAGGGGATGAGGGTGGACAGGGTAAGTGTAATATATCTACCTGACGTCTGACGGTGAATCAGATAGAGGATCTGAAGGGGATGAGGGTGGACAGGGTAAGTGTAATATATCTACCTGACGTCTGACGGTGAATCAGATACAGAATCTGAAGGGGATGAGGGTGGACAGGGTAAGTGTAATATATCTACCTGACGTCTGACAGTGAATCAGAGACAGGATCTGAAGGGGATGAGGGTGGACAGCGTAAGTGTATTATATCTACCTAACGACTGACTGTGAATCAGAGACAGGATCTGAAGGGGATGAGGGTGGACAAGGTAAGTGTATTATATCTACCTGACGTCTGACTGAATCAGAGATGCGATCTGAAGGGGATGAGGGTGGACAAGGTAAGTGTAATATATCTACCTGACGTCTGACAGTGAATCAGAGACAGGATCTGAAGGGGATGAGGGTGGACAGGGTAAGTGTATTATATCTACCTGACGACTGACTGTGAATCAGATACAGGATCTGAAGGGGATGAGGGTGGACAGGGTAAGTGTATTATATCTACCTGACGTCTGACAGTGAATCAGAGACAGGATCTGAAGGGGATGAGGGTGGACAAGGTAAGTGTATTATATCTTCCTGACGTCTGACTGAATCAGAGACGCGATCTGAAGGGGATGAGGGTGGACAAGGTAAGTGTATTATATCTACCTGACAACTGACCGTGAATCAGATACCTCATCTGAAGGGGATGAGGGTGGACAGGGTAAGTGTATTATATCTACCTGATGTCTGACGGTGAATTGGAGACGTGATCTGAAGGGGATGAGGGTGGACAAGGTAAGTGTATTATATCTACCAGACGACTGACGTTGAATCAGAGACATGTTCTGAAGGGGATGAGGGTGGACAGGGTAAGTGTATTATATCTACCTGACGTCTGATGGTGAATCAGAGACGTGATCTGAAGGGGATGAGGTTGGACAAGGTAAGTGTATTATATCAACCTGACGACTTACGTTGAATCAGAGACATGATCTGAAGGGGATGAGGGTGAACAAGGTAAGTGTATTATATCTACCTGACGTCTGACAGTGATTCGGAGACGGGATTTGAAGGGGATGAGGGTAGACAAGGTAAGTGTATTATATCTACCTGACATCTGACGGTGAATCGGAGAGGTGATCTGAAGGGGATACTGTTGGACAAGGTAAGTGTATTATATCTACCTGACATCTGACTGTGAATCAGAGACAGGATCTGAAGGGGATGAGGGTGGACAAGGTAAGTGTATTATATCTACCAGACGTCTGACGGTGAATCAGAGACAGGATCTGAAGGGGATGAGGGTGGACAAGGTAAGTGTATTATATAGATGATATGAAATCATGGTTTGTATAGGGTTATTTATAAATGACCTCTCCGACAATTTATTCTCAATACATCATCTTAAGATGACAGCAAAGCCCATTTTGATGTGGAATCAGACAAGGAACCAGAGCCCAAGGCGACAAGAAATCAGACACTGAGACATTGATTTTGACCCCTATGATAATATAACCTTGCCTGATTTGTGTCAGGGGCATAACTGTTGTACTGTAGAACTTAGATAGACCAGACTTGGTCTGTGGACACATTATGGGAAGGTAGTGTGTCACTTACGAAAACCAGATCAATATGACCTTAACTTTGACATTTGACCCCTATGATAGTAAAACCTTTTCTGATTCGTGACATAACTGTTGTACTGTAAAACCTAGATTGACCAGGCTTGGTCTGTGGACACATCGATCATGGGAATGAGGTGTGTCACTTACGAAAACTAGATAACTGTGACCTTAACTTTGACAGTTGACCCCTATGATAGTAAAACCTTGTCTGATCTGTTTCTGGGGCATAATTGTTGTACTTAAGTTGTCCGGTACTTTGGTCTGTGGATGCTTCATTGGATGTCGGTGTACAACAAACCAGTGTCAGGTCACTGCTATCTTGACTTTGACCTTTGCCCCTTACAACAGTAAAACCTTTTCTGCTTGATTTCAGGGACATAAAAATTGAACATAAATCTTATGCTGACATTGTCGTTATACTGAATTTCATTTTGCTGTTGTGCAACAAAAAAATGCATGTGCATAGGGGGATTATTCCATCAATGTGGACATCTCTATTTTCTGTTGACTAATATACTTCCATTTATTGTTTAGTATATTTCCTCAAGCATGTACATGGCAGATGGGAGTTTAAGATAATTTTGATATAAAAGATTTCAGAGAAGGGCATTGTGAAAGGAGTGATAAGGCAAACTGCATAGAGTTCAAAATGCTTTTTGACTTTTCAAGTATATTATTAATTTTAACTGGTCTAAAATATCAACCATGTTAGTTGAATTTTTCTTTAATGTTGGATATTATTTTGAGCTATAGCTATGTTTTACACAGACAAAATACTGATGTTGCAATTGTTTTCATGTGGTTGAATGCTATAAAGAAACATAGACTGATTTTAATTGCTGTCAAGCATATACTGATAAGAGAAGGATAAAACCTGGATACATTATTACCACTCCCTCAATGTAATCTATAATGTCCATTCTTACAACTAATCTGACATAGGAGTGATACTTTGGCAACAGTAAATCTTACAACTAATCTGACATAGGAGTGATACTTTGGCAACAGTAAATCATACTGACTTGACCTTATGCATATAAAGTAACTAAATACGGGTATTATATTTATCAGTCCATCACTGTTTTTACCATTAGAAAGGAAACGAATGTATATGGTATATCAAGTCCACACACATTTGACAAATCCAAAGGAAAAGGAAAAGTTCTTGTTTAAGTCTTCATCTAAAAATCACAATATTTATACCGTACTGACTTCCAAACAATAAAACCTGTCAACCTATAAAAATCTTCATTGTTTTGAATTAAGTACAAGAGGACCTAATGCATCTCTTACGCATGACAGAAGTGTTTTTAATCTAATATATCATGGTTTTGAACATATTTATATATATGTATATGTGTAAATGCAATTTTTGTCTCGCATGCCACGAAAGTCGCTGAAAGCGAGACATAGGGATTGCTTTTCCGGCGACGGCTGCCGCAGTGGTGGCATCAACAATTGTTAAGTTTTCTGCATTAATAAGTTAGTTTGATAGGAACTACTTGTGATAGATCATTGATATTTAATACAAAGTTGCATTACTATCAGTACATATCAGTTTGATGTCTATTTTTAGGCCCTGCCCCCTAGGTCATGGTTCAGCAACTTTGAATTAACTAGCAATTTTCAATGTTAAGTTTTCTACTAAAGTTAGTTTGATAGGAACTACTTGTGATAGATCATTGATATTTGATATGAAGTTGCATTACTATCAGTACATATCAGTTTTACAACTATTTTGAGGCCCTGGCCCCTAGGACATGGTCTAGTGACTTTGAATTTATAAGCAATTTTCAATGTTAAGTTTTCTACTTGAGTAAGTTTGATAGAATCTACTTGTGATAGATCAATGATATTTTGTATGAAGTTGCATTGCTATCAGTACATATCAATTTGACGACTATTTTGAGGCCCTGCCCCCCAAGCCATGGTTCAGTGACTTTCAATTAATTAGCAATTTTCAATGATAAGTTTTCTGCTTAAGTTAGTTTGATATGAACTACTTGCGATAGATCAATGATATTTTCTATAAAGTTGCATTACTGTCAGTACATATCAGTTTGATGACTATTTTGAGGCCCTGCCCCCTAGGTCATGGTTCAGTGACTTTCAATCAATTAACAATTTTCAATGTTAAGTTTTCAGATTAAGTTAGTTTGATAGGAACTACTTACAATAGACAATATTTTTATAAAGTTACATTGCTGTCTGTACATCTCAGTTTGTCAACCATTTCGAGGCCCTTTCCACTAGTTGGTCCAGCGACTTTGAATTAATGAGAATCTTGCTGTCCATCAGATTGTCTTTTTCTGAATATTATGCTAACAGGCGAGACATATCTCTGTGTCAACAGTTTATTACTCCTTTGAACACATGTTTTGTAGTACATGTATTCAGTTTATATAATGAAAGATTTCAAGAGTTAGGTAAACATCTCTTATGGGGTAATTCAGGAAAGTTAACAGGTCTAAATAATTTTTTTTTGTGTTCATATAGCTGTTGCTGAAGCCATTGCTCAGCTATTTGTGGCCATGTTGAGAGAAGCTCCAGGCACAGAAGAGGAGAAAGATTCCATCGTGGAGGCTGCAGCCAAAGGAGATTTTGATGTGGTCAAAAAGATTGTCAAAAAACACCCAGATAAGGTATGATGTTTTAATATGATATCCTGTTTGGGATTTTTGTATGAAAATGAGATGTGATATGATTGCCAATGAGACAGCTATCCACTAGAAATAAAATTAAGTGGTAGTAAGCAATTATAGGCAACAATATGGCATTCAACAATGCTAAAAATTCATACTGCATAGTCGGCTATTAAAGACCTGACATGAAAAATGTGAAACAATTCAAACAAGAAAACTAATGGCCTATTTTATAACAAAACAATTTATGAAAAAAAAACAAATACGTCAGATATGAACCAATGACAACAATTGTACTACAGGCTCCTGACTAAGGACAGGCACATAGAAATGTTGCGGAATTAAAAAAGTTTGTGAGCACTCAACCGTCCCCCTGGATTTCTGGTTTGTTTTATGTTTCATATGAATAAAGTGGTAAATTAAAGCTAAAAAATATCCATAATTTCTATGAAATCTTGACTGTGTAATGTAAAAGTTCAATACTTCACTAATGTAAAACACTGTATTTACTACTTTACAATTTCAGATCAATACAAAGATGGAGGGTAAAACAGCATTACAGTTAGCATGCTACGAAGGTCATCACAATATCGTAGAATTCCTAGTAAAGAACAAAGCTGATGTAAACATAAAGGATAGTGAAGGAGATACAGCATTACACTACGCTGCTTATGGGTAATTATATTTCATCCCTTCTTAGGAGCACCACCATAAGAGGAAACCTTAAATCCTAACATAAAGGATGACAGAAAGAAACTACCAATCCATTAGGGTAACAACTAAAACCCAAAGACATCTAAAAGATTGGTTTGATATATAGTTTCCAGCATGAATATTACTAATGGACTTGATCTGATGAGCAAAATGTACTCTCAACAAACGTAAAATGGAAAATATCCATTAAAGAAAATTCATCATTTACTGGAAATGAAGTGAAATAGGGAAATTTTCATACAGTAACAGAAGGGTTTCTATTTTAGAATTGCATTAAAAAAGGAAAAAACACATTTCTCATGACATTGAAATGGACTGGGTCCTTGGCTTTGTGATAATGGATCTTGAATGGAATGAATCTTTGGTTTTGTGTTGTTTTTAGCAATAAGTTTATTGGCTAGGGTTTTGTGTGGTTGTTTGATTTATTGATTTCTTTTCAATTAAAAAAAAGCAACAAATTGCTAACATAACTATGGAAAAAGACACGAATTACTGACAGTTACGAAGTGTTTACTGATTGAATCAAAAAGAATTTGTCATATCTGGTATTTATAAACCTTGGATTAGGTTAATTGTTTATTTTACAGGAAGGAAAGCAAAATACTCCAAGTTCTTTTAGACAACAAAGCAACAGTCAATGCTGTTAATGCCAAAAAACAATCTGCTTTACATATAGCAGTCAACAAAGGTCAACCTAACTGTTGTAAAGTGTTGGTAAACAAAGGATGTGACCCAAATCTTAAGGTAAGAGGTCAACCTTACTGTGGTAAAGTGTTGGTAGACAAAGAATGTGACCCAAATCTAAAGGTAAGAGGTCAACCTTACTGTTGTAAAGTATTGGTAGACAAAGGATGTGACCCAAATCTTAAGAGGTCAACCTTACTGTGGTAAAGTGTTGGTAGACAAAGAATGTGACCCAAATCTAAAGGTAAGAGGTCAACTTTACTGTTGTAAAGTATTGGTAGACAAAGGATGTGACCCAAATCTTAAGAGGTCAACCTTACTGTGGTAAAGTGTTGGTAGACAAAGAATGTGACCCAAATCTAAAGGTAAGAGGTCAACCTAACAGTGGTAAAGTGTTGGTAGACAAAGAATGTGACCCAAATCTAAAGGTAAGAGGTCAACCTTACTGTTGTAAAGTATTGGTAGACAAAGGATGTGACCCAAATCTTAAGGAAAGAATTCCCATGGAAACTTTGTTATAAACAATGCCATTATATCTGTTCCTGTATGTTCTCAATATGTGTTATATTATTCAGAATGGTGATCAACAATATCATTTCTAGGGAGTAGACCCATTTATTGACATTTGTTTGTATTTTTCAGGATGATGACCTTGACACAGCTATGCACGATGCCATATCACAGAAAGATGCTCCTAATGATATACTGAAATATGTCCTGGGATCTAAAACAGCAAAATTTGCTACAGAAAATAGTCGTGGATTTAATGTTCTACACTGGGCAGTTTTAAAGGATAATAAAGAGTAAGTTTAAGTTTACAATAAACAATTTAAGATCAGCTATGGAGAAATTTACGGGAGAATTTATAAGTATATTATTTTAATAAACAATTTGAGGTCTGCCTTGTATATATTCACAGGAGAATGTCACATCAGAACTATTTCAAGTTGTCTTAATTTTTGTCGAGCCTGCGACTTTTGTCGCAGAAAGCTTGACATAGGGATAGTGATCCGGCGGTGGCGGCGGCGTTAGCTAACTTCCTAAAAGCTTTATATTTTAGAAGCTAGAAGACCTGGATGCTTCATACTTTGTATATGGATGCCTCATGTTACGAAGTTTCCGTCAGTCAAATGTCCAATGTCCTTGACTTCATTTTCATGGTTCAGTGACTACTTGAAAAAAAAAGTCTACATTTTTTGTAATGTTAATTTCTTTCTTATTAGGAGTAAAAGGATAACTATATTTAGTATGTGCGTACCTTGCAAGGTCCTCATGCCCGTCAGACAATTTTCATTTGACCTCGACCTCATTTCATGGATCAGTGAACCGGGTTAAGTTTTCGTGGTCAAGTCCATATATCAGATACTATAAGCAGTAGGTCTACTATATTTGGTATATGGAATGATTGTAAGGTGTACATGTCCAACTAGTAGGTGTCATGTGACCTTGACCTCATTTTCATGGTTCAGTGGTCAAAGTTAAGTTTTTGAGTTTTGGTCTTTTTTTCTAATACTATATGCAATAGGTCAACTATAAATGGTGTATGGAATGATTGTAAGGTGTACATGTCTAGCTGGCAGGTGTCATCTGACCTTGACCTCATTTTCATGGTTCAGTGGTCAAAGTTAAGTTTTTGAGTTTTGGTCTTTTTTTCTAATACTATATGCAATAGTTCAACTATATTTGGTGTATGGAAATATTTTATGATCTATATGTCAGTCACGCAGGTTTTATTTGACCTTGACCTCATTTTCAAGGTTCATTGCTCAGTGTTAAGTTTTTGTGTTTTGGTCTGTTTTTCTCATACTGAATGCAATAGGTCAACTATATTTGGTGTAAGGAATGATTGTAAGGTGTACATGTCTAGCTGGCAGGTGTCATCTGACCTTGACCTCATGTTCATGGATCAGTGGTCAAAGTTAAGTTTTTGAGTTTTGGTCTTTTTTTCTAATACTATATGCAATAGTTCAACTATATTTGGTGTATGGAAATATTTTATGATCTATATGTCAGTCACGCAGGTTTTATTTGACCTTGACCTCATTTTCAAGGTTCATTGCTCAGTGTTAAGTTTTTGTGTTTTGGTCTGTTTTTCTTAAACTATAAGCAATAGGTCAACTATATTTGTTGTATGGAAGAATTGTTAGCTATACATGACTGCCTAGCATGGTTCATCTGACCTTGACCTCATTTTCATGGTTCATTGGTCAATGTTTAGTTTACTTGGTTAATGTTAAGTTTATGTGACAGTTGTAATAAAGCTTTATATTTAGGACTATCAACATAATATCAATGATTAATAAAGAAGGCGAGACATTTCAGCGTGTGCACTCTTGTTAAAAGATTGAATTTAAATCCATGTTTACTAAAACAGTTTTTGTTACCATCACTTGGTGTCTGTCCCCCATAAATTTTCCCATTTTCATCTTGTCTGAAACTGCTTGGCCAAAATTGATAAGATGTATTTCTGTTGACAGCTCTGTGGAGATAATAATAAGCAATGATAAAACCTGTGTGGATTCCAAGATGAAAGATGGTAGTACAGCCATGCATATAGCTGCCGCTAATGATCGAGTGGAGATTGCCAGTATTCTTCAGTCTGTAAGTACTGTAGATTAGGGTTAGGGTTAGGCCTGTATTCTTCAGTCTGTAAGTACTGTAGATTAGGGTTAGGGTTAGGCCTGTTTTCTTCTGTCTGCCGCTAATGATCAAGTGGAGATTGCCAGTGTTCTCCAGTCTGTAAGTACTGTAGATTAGGGTTAGGGTTAGGCCAGTATTCTTCAGTCTGCCGCTAATGATCGACTGGGGATTGCCAGTATTATTCAGTCTGTAGTACTGTAGATTAGGGTTAGGGTTAGGCCTGTTTTCTTCTGTCTGCCACTAATGATCGAGTGGAGATTGCCAGTGTTCTCCAGTCTGTAAGTACTGTAGATTAGGGTTAGGGTTAGGCCTGTTTTCTTCTGTCTGCCGCTAATGATCGAGTGGAGATTGCCAGTGTTCTCCAGTCTGTAAGTACTGTAGATTAGGGTTAGGGTTAGGCCAGTATTCTTCAGTCTGCCGCTAATGATCGACTGGGGATTGCCAGTATTCTTCAGTCTGTAAGTACTGTAGATTAGGGTTAGGGTTAGGCCTGTTTTCTTCTGTCTGCCGCTAATGATCGAGTGGAGATTGCCAGTATTCTTCAGTCTGTAAGTACTGTAGACTAGGGTTAGGGTTAGGCCAGTATTCTTCAGTCTGCCGCTAATGATCGACTGGGGATTGCCAGTATTCTTCAGTCTGTAAGTACTGTAGATTAGGTTTAGGGTTAGGCCAGTATTCTTCAGTCTGCCGCTAATGATCGAGTGGAGATTGCCAGTGTTCTCCAGTCTGTAAGTACTGTAGACTAGGGTTAGGGTTAGGCCAGTATTCTTCTGTCTGCCGCTAATGATCGACTGGAGATTGCCAGTATTCTTCAGTCTGTAAGTACTGTAGATTAGGGTTAGGGTTAGGCCTGTATTCTTCAGTCTGTAAGTACTGTAGATTAGGGTTAGGGTTAGGCCTGTTTTCTTCTGTCTGCCGCTAATGATCAAGTGCAGATTGCCAGTGTTCTCCAGTCTGTAAGTACTGTAGATTAGGGTTAGGGTTAGGCCAGTATTCTTCAGTCTGCCGCTAATGATCGACTGGGGATTGCCAGTATTATTCAGTCTGTAAGTACTGTAGATTAGGGTTAGGGTTAGGCCTGTTTTCTTCTGTCTGCCACTAATGATCGAGTGGAGATTGCGAGTGTTCTCCAGTCTGTAAGTACTGTAGATTAGGGTTAGGGTTAGGCCTGTTTTCTTCTGTCTGCCGCTAATGATCGAGTGGAGATTGCCAGTGTTCTCCAGTCTGTAAGTACTGTAGATTAGGGTTAGGGTTAGGCCAGTATTCTTCAGTCTGCCGCTAATGATCGACTGGGGATTGCCAGTATTCTTCAGTCTGTAAGTACTGTAGATTAGGGTTAGGGTTAGGCCTGTTTTCTTCTGTCTGCCGCTAATGATCGAGTGGAGATTGCCAGTATTCTTCAGTCTGTAAGTACTGTAGACTAGGGTTAGGGTTAGGCCAGTATTCTTCAGTCTGCGGCTAATGATCGACTGGGGATTGCCAGTATTCTTCAGTCTGTAAGTACTGTAGATTAGGGTTAGGGTTAGGCCAGTATTCTTCAGTCTGCCGCTAATGATCGAGTGGAGATTGCCAGTGTTCTCCAGTCTGTAAGTACTGTAGACTAGGGTTAGGGTTAGGCCAGTATTCTTCTGTCTGCCGCTAATGATCGACTGGAGATTGCCAGTATTCTTCAGTCTGTAAGTACTGTAGATTAGGGTTAGGGTTAGGCCTGTATTCTTCAGTCTGTAAGTACTGTAGATTAGGGTTAGGGTTAGGCCTGTTTTCTTCTGTCTGCCACTAATGATCGAGTGGAGATTGCCAGTGTTCTCCAGTCTGTAAGTACTGTAGATTAGGGTTAGGGTTAGGCCTGTTTTCTTCTGTCTGCCGCTAATGATCGAGTGAAGATTGCCAGTATTCTTCAGTCTGTAAGTACTGTAGATTAGGGTTAGGGTTAGGCCTGTATTCTTCTGTCTGCCGCTTATGATCGACTGGGGATTGCCAGTATTCTTCAGTCTGTAAGTACTGTAGATTAGGGTTAGGGTTAGGCCTGTTTTCTTCTGTCTGCCGCTAATGATCGACTGGGGATTGCCAGTATTCTTCAGTCTGTAAGTACTGTAGATTAGGGTTAGGGTTAGGCCTGTTTTCTTCTGTCTGCCGCTAATGATCGAGTGGAGATTGCCAGTGTTCTCCAGTCTGTAAGTACTGTAGATTAGGGTTAGGGTTAGGCCTGTTTTCTTCTGTCTGCTGCTAATGATCGAGTGGAGATTGCCAGTGTTCTCCAGTCTGTAAGTACTGTAGATTAGGATTAGGGTTAGGCCAGTATTATTCAGTCTGCCGCTAATGATCGAGTGGAGATTGCCAGTGTTCTTCAGTCTGTAAGTACTGTACATTAGGGTTAGGGTTAGGCCTGTATTCTTCTGTCTGCCGCTAATGATTGATTGGAGATTGCCAGTGTTCTTCAGTCTGTAAGTACTGTAGATTAGGGTTAGGGTTAGGCCTGTTTTCTTCTGTCTGCCGCTAATGATCAAGTGGAGATTGCCAGTGTTCTCCAGTCTGTAAGTAGGATTACTGTAGATACAATTTATTTACCAAAAATTTATGTATGCTCACCTTAAAGAAAGACCTTTAAAAACCTCAGTTGTAAAATTAATCCGGGAATACTACTTAAACTCAATTGAAAGATGAATAAAATTGAAGCATATTGTCTCATCTTTCAAAAGCCCTTTTCTGCTAAAAAGTAACAAGTAATTTCTAGGTCTTGTTGTCCATTTTCTAATTCTACCACTAGACAGTTAGCAAACAATAGTTATAAATAGAATTTTTATGAAAATAATATCTTGGCTTACAATCAATCAAAGGAACAATTAAACATTGTTTTAATGATCTTTACAGAAAGGTAAAGCAGACATGAACATTAGAGACAGTATGAAGAGGACACCTTTAATATTGGCTGTTTCTCAAGGCAAAAAGAAAACCATGGAATTACTGATAACTGTTGGTGAGTGTTATGTCTGAATCAGGGGGGAAGGATGGGGGAGAGGGCAAGAACAATGTATAGAATTAGCTGTTTCTCAAGGCAAAAAGAAAACCATGGAATTACTGATAACTGTTGGTGAGTGTTTAATGTCTGAATCAGGGGGGAAGGATGGGGAGAGGGCCAGAACAATGTATAGAATTAGCTGTTTCTCAAGGCAAAAAGAAAACCATGGAATTACTGATAACTGTTGGTGAGTGTTTAATGTCTGAATCAGGGGGGAAGGATGGGGAGAGGGCCAGAACAATGTATAGAATTAGCTGTTTCTCAAGGCAAAAAGAAAACCATGGAATTACTGATAACTGTTGGTGAGTCTTACATCTGATTCATAGAGCTAGTTGCATTTTTGAGAAAGTTTTTTTAGTTATCTCTTCATCAGGACTAAAGCTGAAAGAATAATTAAGGAGAAGTTAATGCTGATGAGAGTAGACAACCTGTGACTGATTCAAATAGAAGGGAGGAGTTATAAAGGGATGACAAAAATCTGGGATTTAAGAAGAGAGAGGATCACTATATAGGTGTTATTTTATCTTCTTGATTTTATTGCATCCGCTGTTTTTATATGTTGGCTTCTTAAACTTTTAACCTCAAGTTTACCATATAATACTTGAAATTATGGTAGCTGCACTGAACTCTGCTGGATACATTTATTCCTAAGCAACTCCTCTGGTTCTATATATGTTTGATAATTATTGTGTGGTATTTTTATGTTAAACTTATATTGTAGGCTGTGACGTCAATGCTCAAGATAGTAGTGGTAATACAGCTCTACATGTGGCACAGGTCAAGAAAAACTTAGGCCAAGCGGTAAGTTACATGTGGCACAGGTCAAGAAAAACCTATGCGAAGGTGAAAATTAGATGTGGCACAGGTCAAGAAAAACTTAGGCCAAGCAGTAAGTTACATGTGGCACAGGTCAAGAAAAACCTATGTGAAGGTGAAAATTAGATGTGGCACAGGTCAAGAAAAACTTAGGCCAAGCGGTAAGTTACATGTGGCACAGGTCAAGAAAAACCTATGCGAAGGTGAAAATTAGATGTGGCACAGGTCAAGAAAAACTTAGGCCAAGCGGTAAGTTACATGTGGCACAGGTCAAGAAAAACTTAGGCCAAGCGGCAAGTTACATGTGGCACAGGTCAAGACAAACCTATGTGAAGGTGAAAATTAGATGTGTCATAGGTCAAGAAAAACCTATGTGAAGGTGAAAATTAGATGTGTCATAGGTCAAGAAAAACTTAGGTAAAGGGGTAAGTGAGATATGGCACAGGTAAAAAAAAACATATGTGAAGGTGAAAGTTACATGTGTCATAGGTCAAGAAAAATTCAGGTCAAGTTGTAAGCTACATGTGGCATAGGTCAAGCTGTAAGTAACATGTGGCATAGGTCAAGAAAAGTTTAGGTCAAACGGTAAGTAACATATGGGCAAAGGTCAAGAAAACTTGAGGGAAGGTAAAAGTTACATGTGGCACTGGTTAAGTGGTAAGTGACATATGTCATAAGTAGTGAAGAAAAACTTTGGTCAAGATATTATTTCATGTGGCACAGGTCAAGAAAAACTTAAGTCAAGCTGTTGGTTACATATGGATAAGGTTTAACCTTAGGTCAAGTTCTAAGACAAACTGAGGACAAACAGTAATAATTAGCACTATTAAAGATAACTTAAATAACTTATGGCAGGGGTCTAGGAAACTGGAGGCTAAGGGATGAATTATATGTAGCACAGTTCAACAAAAATGATTCCAAACTCTAAGTTACATGTGACATAGGTACAGCCAGTTATTATCTGTATATAATTCCTGATATTTTAATTTCAGGTTGCATTAGACAAGGCAGCCAGTAGCAGTCAAGATACAGCTATCATATGTTCACTGATAGAAAGTGGAGCAAATATAGAAATTAAGAATGAAGAAGGGAAGACACCATTAGACTTTGCTAATGATGAAATGGTCAGACATTTCATGAGAACGTGAGTTTATACAAATTTAGAGAATTAAATTTTGCTGTTAGAATTTCTATGTGAGACTGCAAATGTTAACCTACGATCTCTATGTATAAAACATTAGTTACTTTTATAAGGCAACAACCCAACAATACAAGGTAAACAGACATAAAAAAAGGCCTCTATACAGTCTTTAATGTTTGACACATGTCATATTTGTATTGTTTGTTCGAGCTACTCAAGAGACAATGTTAACCTTTTCCTCCAATGTAAAATTATAGTTTGATTTGAAAAAGATGGCTGACAACTATTTACTTTTAATTTCAAGACCTTTAAAAAGCATAGTGTGAACTGCTGCTTTCTATTTTAGGTTAGCTAAGAGAGCAAAAAAGAAAACGTTTGCCACAACTGCTAAAGGTATTCCAGCTCCCTCTAATTGGACAGACATGCAAGGGGAAACAGTGTTGAAAATTTCAATTGGTCCAACAAAAGGTGGTATCATGCAGATAGAATTTGACAATGTAAGAAATCAGTTTGAGAAGACCCTACCTCAAGCAAGAATTGTATCAATCCATAGGATGCAAAATATGTTTCTATGGGAAATGTATTACTTGTAAGTATAACTTTATTATAGCCCATGCAAACAAGTTTTTGGGATTATATTGGAATCACTCTGTGTGTTGGTTTGTCTGTCTGTCAAAAATTGGTTTACGTTCTTTAATTTTTTCTCCATCAAATGTTATGAGACTTGTACACAATGCTTATTACCACAAAACACAGATCAAGTTCGAATTTGGGTGACCAGTGTCACTCTTACTGTTCTTGTGTTATGTACCATTATAGATGGAAAAATTGCTGAATTTCTTGTTTCATCACTTTAACTTAACTTTGTCTAAACCAAATTAATGTTATGAAACTTATACACAATGCTCATTACCACCAAACACAGATCAAGTTAGGTGGCGTTACTTTCAACTTTTTCAAGTTATGTCCCTTTGTAAATGGATAGATTGCTGAATTTGCCATATATTTACAAGTGGGGTCATCTATTCCCCATTGACACATTCGTTGTTTATTTCCCAATGTAGAACATAAGGGTAAAAAAAAATTACTTCCTTGCTAAGCACCTGAGATCACCACCAGTTTTTGGTGTGTTTTGTTTTGCTCAGTCTTTATTTTTATAAGTTGTGTTTTATAGAGTGTTGTTTGTCTTTTGGTCGATTTTTTATTTTTGCAATGCCATTGTCAGTTTGTTTTTGACTTCAGAGTTTGACTATCCTTTGGTATCCTTCGAATCTCTTTTATCTTATATCTTGAAAACCATAATAGGTAGAGAAATTCTGAAGGGACAGAAATGCTTAAAATGTCAAGATCTACTGCCTTCCTATTTCATCAAAATTATCAGATCACTCCTTAGGGAGTTATTGCCCTAAAATTACAATTTTGGCTAATTTCTTGTTTTCATGAGGTTCAATACCACAAAAGGCAGGTAGGGATTGATTTTGGGGGTTATGGTACCAACAGTTAAGGAATTAAGGGCCAAAAAGGGGCCAAAAATAAGCATTTTTGTAACTTCCAGACAATAACTTGTGTGTTAGTGTATGGATCCCTCGGACATTGTACCACAAGGTTCCATATCACAAAGGGAATATTGGGATTGATTTTGGGGGTAATTGCCTCAAAATTTTAGGAATTAGGGGCCAAAAAAAGGGCCAAAAACAATCATTTTTCTAGTTTCATGACAATAACTTGTATGTAAGTGTATGGATCTTTCTGAAATTGTACTACAAGGTTCCATATCACAAAGGGAAAGCTGGAATTGAGTTTGGGGGTAATTGCCCAAAATGTTTAGGAATAAGGGGCCAAAAAGGGGCCAAAAATAAGCATTTTTCTAGTTTCCAGACAATAACTTGTGTTCAAGTGTATGGATCTCTCTAAAATTGTACTGCAAGGTACCATACCACAAAGGGAAGGCTGGGATTGATTTTTGGGGTAATTGCCTCCAAATTTTATGAATTAGGGGCCAAAAAGGGGTAAAAAACAAGCGTTTTCTAGTTTCAGGACAATAACTTGTGTGTAAAAGTATGGATCTTTATGAAATTGTACTACAAGGTTCCATATCACAAAGGGAAAGCTGGGTTTGAGTTTGGGGGTAATTGCCCTAAAATAGAACATAGGGGTAAAATGTAGATTTTGGCTTATATCTCTGAAACCAAAGCATTTAGAGTAAATCTGACAGAGGGTAAAACTGATTATCAGGTCAAGATCTATCTGCCCTGAAATGTTCAGACAAATCTGGCAACCTGTTGTTGGGTTGCTGCCCCTGAATTGGTAATTTTAAGGAAATTTTGCAGTTTTTGGTTATTATCTTGAATATTATGATAGATAGAGATAAACTGTAAACAGCAATAATGTTCAGCAAAGTAAGATCTACAAATAAGTTGTCATGACCAAAATTGTCAGTCGACCCCTTTAGGAGTTATTGCCCTTTATAGTCAATTTTTAACAATTTTTCTTAAATTTTTGTAATCTTCTACAAAAAATCTTCTTCTCTGAAACTACTGAGACAAATTTAACCATACTTGGCCATAATCAATATTAGGGTATCTAGTTTAAAAAATTTGTCAGATGACCCCGCCTTCCAACCATCATGGCCAACTTGGTTAATATCTCTGAAACTAAAGCATTTAGAGCAAATCTGACAGGTGGCAAAAATGTTCATCAGATTAAGATTTATCTGCCCTGAAATTTTCAGACAAATCCGACAACCAGTTGTTGGGTTGCTGCCCCTGATTTAGTAATTTTGCAGTTTTTTGTTATCTTAGATATCATTATAATATCTAATATCTAATACTATTGATTATGATTTTAACCTTATTTTACATGATTTCCAAAGCATCAGTAAATACAGGTGAGTGACACAGGCTCTTGAGAGCCTCTAGTTGGTTATTATTTTGAATATTATTATAGATAGAGATAAACTGTAAACAGCAATAATGTTCAGAAAAGTATGATCTACAAATAAGTCAATATGACCAAAATTGTCAATTGACCCCTTAAGGAGTTATTGTCCTTTATAGTCAATTTTTCGTTAATTTTTGTAATCTTTTACAAAAATCTTCTCCACTTAATCTACTGGGCCAAATAGAGTATCTTGATTGAAAAATGTATCCAATGACCCTGCCATCCAACCAACATGGCTGCCATGGCTAAAAATAGAACATAGGGGTTTACTATAGATGTCTAAGGGAAAATTGTAAAAAAAAACAATTTCAGAGGGTCACAACTTGAAAACTAATTTAAATAATGATAAGGGGTCTTCAGTAACTATTGTAAGATTAAAATAGGATGACCTGCTTTTAATTTAACTACTGGGCCAAATTAAACCAAACTTGGCCTAAATCATTATTAGGGTATCTAATACTATTTATTATGATTTTAACCTACATGATTTCCAAAAACACAGTAGATACAGGTGAGAGACACAGGCTCTTGAGAGCCTCTAGTTTTTCTTTCTTTTTGGTCTTGGGCAAGTGTAGACTAAATGCAAAACAATATATCTGATTTAATACTTTTTAGAGGGACTCCTTTTCTTTGATACATACACAGGAGGAAATTAGATGAAGACCTAACTTAGATTTACTTCTTTTGTAAAAGTACAAAGATTATATTTATCAGGCTTGAAACAGGAGAAAGAGAGTCTATAATATATGTATCCTTCATTTAATGTGCCTTTACCAATAGTAGGGAATAATAAATGTAGTAGGCTTCAGGGTGTATTGGCCAATCTTAAATGGAGACTTTTGGAAAATCTTTTCAAAGTTGATTAAAATGTGTGAGGTATATATGTAAAAGAGACAGCAACCTAATGTTAAAAATAACAAAAAATATCTACAGGTCAATATAGTCTTCAACTATAAACAGATGTCTATACCATATGTCAAGCTTGAAGTGACCCCAAGTCTAAAAACAAATGTGATAAAAATTTAACAGAGACTATGAATGAATTGCCATCAACAACAGTTACCTCTGTCATACAATGGGTAGCATAAAAGCAGTGAGCTCTCATACAATGGGTAGCATAAAAGCAGTTACCTCTGTAATATAATGGGTAGTATAAAAGCAGTGACTTCTGACATACAATGGGTAGCATAAAAGCAGTTACCTCTTTAATACAATAGGTAGTAATAATTAAAAGCAGTGACTTCTGTCATACAATGGGTAGCATAAAAGCAGTTACCTCTGTAATACAATGGGTAGTATAAAAGCAGTTACCTCTGTAATACAATGGGTAGTATAAAAGCAGTTACCTCTGTAATACAATGGGTAGTATAAAAGCAGTGACTTCTGTCATACAACGGGAAGCATAAAAGCAGTTACCTCTGTAATACAATGGGTAGTATAAAAGCAGTGACTTCTGTAATACAATGGGTAGCATAAAAGCAGTGACCTCTGTAATACAATGGGTAGCATTAAAGCAGTGACCTCTGTAAGTAGCATAAAAGCAGTGACCTCTGTAATACAATGGTTAGCATAAAAGCAGGTACCTCTGTAATACAATGGGTAGCATAAAATCAGGTACCTCTGTCATACAATGGGTAGCATAAAAGCAGTGACCTCTGTCATACAATGGGTAGCATAAAAGCAGGTACCTCTGTAATATAATGGGTAGTATAAAAGCAGTGACTTCTGACATACAATGGGTAGCATAAAAGCAGTTACCTCTTTAATACAATAGGTAGTAATAATTAAAAGCAGTGACTTCTGTCATACAATGGGTAGCATAAAAGCAGTTACCTCTGTAATACAATGGGTAGTATAAAAGCAGTTACCTCTGTAATACAATGGGTAGTATAAAAGCAGTTACCTCTGTAATACAATGGGTAGTATAAAAGCAGTGACTTCTGTCATACAACGGGTAGCATAAAAGCAGTTACCTCTGTAATACAATGGGTAGTATAAAAGCAGTGACTTCTGTAATACAATGGGTAGCATAAAAGCAGTGACCTCTGTAATACAATGGGTAGCATTAAAGCAGTGACCTCTGTAAGTAGCATAAAAGCAGTGACTTCTGTCATACAACGGGTAGCATAAAAGCAGTTACCTCTGTAATACAATGGTTAGCATAAAAGCAGGTACCTCTGTAATACAATGGGTAGCATAAAAGCAGGTACCTCTATCATACAATGGGTAGCATAAAAGCAGTGACCTCTGTCATACAATGGGTAGCATTAAAGCAGTGACCTCTGTCATACAATGGGTAGCATAAAAGCAGTGACCTCTGTCATACAATGGGTAGCATAAAAGCAGGTACCTCTGTCATACAATGGGTAGCATAAAAGCAGGTACCTCTGTAATACAATGGGTAGTATAAAAGCAGTGACCTCTGTAATACAATGGGTAGCATTAAATCAGTGACCTCTGTAAGTAGCATAAAAGCAGTGACCTCTGTAATAAAATGGTTAGCATAAAAGCAGTGACTTCTGTCATACAATGGGAAGCATAAAAGCAGGTACCTCTGTCATACAATGGGTAGCATAAAAGCAGGTACCTCTGTCATACAATTGGTAGCATAAAAGCAGTGACCTCTGTCATACAATGGGTAGCATAAAAGCAGGTACCTCTGTCATACAATTGGTAGCATAAAAGCAGTGACCTCTGTAATACAATGGGTAGCATAAAAGTGTAACAGTGGTTTGATTCCGCCAGTGTACTTTATCCGGAGGAAGAAAATCCCCAGTGATTTTTATCCACCAACAAAAAATCACTAGGGTTTTCTATCCGGGTCCAGTGTAAAAGATCCACCAGTCATTTTAAGGTTCTAAAAAGGTTTTTTTAAAGGGGAAATATATATAAAATGTGGCTTAATAGTTTTTAGTGTATTTGAAAATTGCATAGTTGATTTATGTAAAAATTAGAGAGTTTACATCCAAGGAATGTTCACACTAGTGTTTTTGAACCAGGAATGATTACACTAGTGATTTTGTATTGGAATGATTGCACTAGTTATTTTATACCTGGCGAGATTAATTACACTAGTGCTTTAGATCCATTCATTGATGAAGTGATTAGTACTCATTTTGAACACACGATAACTCAATAATGCTTATTAACGAATGAGTTTTAAATAATTTTTCTAGGCAAATCTATAAAATCATATGCTTTTAAATTGTCACTAATTGTAATATTTATATTTATTGGATTGCCGAAGTTTTTCTATGTATTTGCTTTTTGGATATTTAATCATATCTTCTATTTCATTATCAAAAGATGCTTCTGTAATTGAAACTATGTAAGAACAAATCTGCTCTTTAAATTTGGTTTGTATCAAGTTCAATGTCCTGATCATTGATAAAGTATTTTGAGTTATAAAAATATCCTCCTCATCATCATCAATATTATTTACCAGATTGACTCAGATTAATTAAACTGGTTCCTTGAAAATCATTTTAATTTTAACCCATTTATTTATGTAAACAATAAACCGATCTAATATAAACAAAACAACGATATCAAGATCGACGCTTTCACACTATTTACATCCAATATTCTCTAGTGAAAAACAGTTACCCGGAATAAATACACGGCGGAATGAAAGTATATATATACGCTTACAAAAGCAGGTACCTCTGTCATACAATGGGTAGCATAAAAGCAGGTACCTCTGTAATACAATGGGTAGTATAAAAGCAGTGACTTCTGTCATACAATGGGTAGCATAAAAGCAGGTACCTCTGTAATACAATGGGTAGTATAAAAGCAGTGACTTCTGTCAAACAATGGGTAGCATAAAAGCAGGGAATTCTGTCATACAATGGGTAGCATAAAAGCAGGTACAAGCGATAAATAAGATATCAAACAATGGTTGCAGTTACAGCAGGCAAGTTTTAAGTCAATAAAGAAATCATGTGTCCAACACTCTTAATATCAGTAGCTGTACTTCAGAGTAGATTTCTTGCAGAATATTCATAATCAATAGAGAAAGACACAATTTTGTGCAATGTCCAAAAAGAAAGGATTTTATGTTTGTGATTGTTTACCCTTTTTACAAACTAGTCTTACCTTTATATTTCAGTTGTGTGATTAAATGCAACTTTAATTTCATTTTTTATTTTGCAGGAGAAAAAGGCAGTTTGAGCATGCATATGGAAATGGATGTGCCAATGAGCTAGTCTTATTCCATGGTACAACACCAGATAAACTGGATGTTATTGCAGAACAAAATTTAGACCCTCGACTTGCTGGAGGTCGTGTAGGTGCATTGTTTGGTAAAGGTACTTACTTTGCCACAGATGCTAAATATTCTGATTTGTATGCCCAAGCTGATCACAACGGACATAAATTCATGTTCCTTGTGAAGGTATTAGCAGGGAAGACTTGTATTGGAAGACCAGACTATGTAAGACCACCACCACAAGATACCAAGAATCCAACAGGTCCATTGTTTGATAGTTGTGTTGACAATGAGAAGACCCCTAGAATTTATTGTGCTTTCCATGACAGTCAATATTACCCAGAACACCTTATTGAATACACATAAACTTTTATAACCATTTATGGAAGTGGTGTTGTGCTTTTCCCAACTTTTCCAAAAATTCCAGAAATGCATAACTTTAACCTTAACAAGATTTGCAGCGTTAATGTTGTTGAGGTGGCTGAACCATATACCTGCTAAGAGTCAGTATCTTGTGATGTCAGCTTATATTTTTTTATAATTTTGATTGATTGTCATGCAATATATGGTAGTATTTATTGAAATATTTCATCAGTTATTTCATGTAACTTATTTAAAACACCATTGAATATATAAAGGGTATTTGTGGTTATAACTGAAGAACAATTATCATTTACTTCTTCTACAACAGCTTAAGGATGTTTGCTACTCTGTTTCAAAATAACAAGCTTTTAAAATGATTGTTCTAAAATGATAGTATATAAATAAAGGAACTAAAAAAGCAGAAAAAAATGAAGGGTCCGTGTGCTTGTGTTCGAGATATAAGCCATTGAAAATTTGGCGGGAAATGATTCTCTCTAGATTTTTCATACTTTTAAACATTGGCGGCTTTTTTGTTTCAAAAACTATGAAAAAATAACAAGGATTTTATAAGATTGTCAAATATGGCTTTTTAAACTATATGTAATAAAATTATGAAAAGAAAAGTAGGGGTTAGTGGGCAAATTTTTTTTGTGACAATACATGGATAAAACTAGAGGATTCCGAAAATCTGGCAAAAATTCAAGAACAAGTGGAGCAAACATCCTTAAATGGAAAAGGTGTCTAGAGATATTTTGTGTTGATCACTGTGTAGTTATGTTTGAAAAATGACAAAGTTTTCTTGTCGTTTCACTCCCAACAACAGCAGGTCACCTTGATGTACATTTTATGCTCAAATGAATACAATTACATTTTACATGCTTCTTGAATTTTCTGATATTTTTTGTAATTTCTTCACCCTGAACTATACTTTCTTTTTGACATAGATATGCAGCTAAAAATTAAGATATAACTTGGTAAATAAAAGTTTATAATTCATATGATATAGCTAATCTAATCTATCATTTAATCTAATCTATCATTTCAGTTTGAAAGGGTTAACAGACAAAATTTGCTACAAGTTTTTATGAAGATTGATAATTTATATATTGTATCAATATCAATGTCAGACACTGATGTCAGTGTAGCATTGTTACTCTTTTCCATGTAAACTATCTTCACAGGATATTATGCACGATAATTGTATGTATTGATAGTTAAACATGAGTGAATGATTCCATTATAACCAAATTGATGTGGTTTTTTTTATTTATAATGAGAATACACTTGTTTGTTAAGGAAGGTGTTAATGTTTTTGGTTGTTAATGACATTTTGAATGTTTAAAATATTAGTAGATACTGTAGACTTTTTATAGGAATAAACATATTTTGCTGTAAGTGAAATTTTGTGAATTGATCCTCAGTGGAAACTTGAAAATTATCAGCATAAATTTCTAGAGTAACAGAACTGTGAGATTACCTAAGATGAAATAAGTGATTAAAGTGAACCATTAAGTTTTTGACATTTGTTTAACAACACAGCATGTATTAAATGGGATCATCGATTCCTACAACACTAAAGAATTTAGGATTTTTTAGGAAAAAAATGTGGCTCAAACTGAAAGAGATTGTTACAGGCATTAACTTCATTCAAGGTTAGATTGTACAGGTTGCTCTCACATTTGGAACATGCTCTTACAGATTGTATAGGTTGCTGTAACATTTGGAGCATGCTCTTACAGGCATTAACTTCATTTAAGGTTAGAGTGTTTAGTTTGCTCTTGCATTTGGAACATGCTCTTACAGATTGTATAGGTTGCTGTAACATTTGGAGCACGCTCTTACAGGCATTAACTTCATTCAATGTCAGATTGTACAGATTGCTGTCACATTTGGAGCATGCTCTTACAAGCGTTAACTTCATTCAAGGTTAGATTGTACAGGTTGCTCTAACATTTGGAGAATGCTCTTACAGGCATTAACTTCATTCAAGGTTAGATTGTACAGGTTGCTGTCACATTTGGAGCATGCTCTTACAGGCATTAACTTCATTCAAGGTTAGATTGTACAGGTTGCTCTCACATTTGGAGCATGCTCTTACAGGCATTAACTTCATTCAAGGTTAGATTGTATAGGTTGCTCTCACAATTGGAGCATGCTCTTACAGGTATTTACTTCATTCAAGGTTAGAATATACAGGTTGCTCTAACATTTGGAGCATGCTTTTACAGGCATTAACTTCATTCAAGATTAGATTGTTCAGGTTGCTCTCACATTTGGAGCATGCTCTTTTAGGCATTAATTTCATTCAAGTTTATTTGCAAATGCATTATGTATTCACCTTTGAATGAGTTATTCTCCCAACAGTATGTAAAAATAAGGAAATGTCGTATGATTGCCAATTACACACCTATCCACCAGAGACCAAGGAAGTGGTACCGCCCTCAACACTGAGAAAAACCCACACTGAAAGGATTGATCTTCATCATTATATAAGAAATATAAAATACTGTGATAAGATGACAGACATTATCTCTACAAAACAAGAGGCAGAAGCACTTGGCATGTCAACATAAGGGAGCTACCATTTGATTTTTATGGGGCTAGGATGAAAAATTTTGTCCTGCATTTTTTTTTTAGTTGTAATCTCTGTCCTGCCTTTTTATTAGCTCACCTGGCCCATAGGGCCAAGTGAGCTTTTCTCATCACTTGGTGTCCGTCGTCCGTTAACTTTTACAAAAATCTTCTCCTCTGAAACTACTTGGCCAAATTTAACCAAACTTGGCCACAATCATCATTGGGGTATCTAGTTTAAAAAAAGTGTCCAGTGACCCGGCCAACCAACCAAGATGGCCGCCATGGCTAAAAATAGAACATAGGGGTAAAATGTAGATTTTTGCTTATATCTCTGAAACCAAAGCATTAAGAGCAAATCTGACACGGGGTAAAATTGTTTATCAGGTCAAGATCTATCTGCCCTGAAATTTTCAGACCAATCAGGCAACACGTTGTTGGGTTGCTGCCCTGAATTGGTAATTTTAAGAAAATTTTGCAGCTTTTGGTTATTATTATACGACCGCAAAAAAATTTTTGTGGTCGTATATTGGTATGACGTTGGCGTCGTCGTCGTCGTCCGGCGTCGTCGTCCGAATACACATTAGTTTTCGCACTCTAACTTTAGTTTGAGTGAATGGATCTCATTGAAATTTTACCATAAGGTTCAATACCACAAAAGGAAGGTGGGGATTGATTTTGGGGGTTATGGTACTAACAGTTAAGGAATTAGGGGCCAAAAGGGGCCAAAAATAAGCATTTTTGTAACTTCCAGACATAACTTGTGTGTAAGTGTATGGATCTCTCTGACATTGTACCACAAGGTTCCATATCACAAAGGGAATGCTGGGATTGATTTTGGGGGTAATTGTCTCCAAATTTTAGGAATTAGGGGCCAAAAAGGGGCAAAAAAACAAGCATTTTTCTAGTTTCATGACAATAACTTGTTTGTAAGTGTATGGATCTTTATGAAATTGTACTACAAGGTTCCATATCACAAAGGGAATACTGGGATTGATTTTTGGGGTAATTTCCTCCAAATATTAGGAATTAGGGGCCAAAAAGGGGCAAAAAAACAAGCATTTTTCTAGTTTCATGACAATAACTTGTTTGTAAGTGTATGGATCTTTATGAAATTGTACTACAAGGTTCCATTTCACAAAGGGAATACTGGGATTGATTTTTGGGGTAATTTCCTCCAAATATTAGGAATTAGGGGCCAAAAAGGGGCAAAAAACAAGCATTTTTCTAGTTTCATGACAATAACTTGTTTGTAAGTGTATGGATCTTTATGAAATTGTACTGCAAGGTTCCATATCACAAAGGGAAAGCTGGAATTGAGTTTGGGGGTAATTGCCCTAAACGTTTAGGAATTTGGGGCCAAAAAGGGGCCAAAAAACAAGCATTTTTCTAGTTTCCAGACAATAACTTGTGTTCAAGTGTATGAATCTCTCTGAAATTGTACTGCAAGGTACCATACCACAAAGGGAAAGCTGGGATTGAGTTTGGGGGCGATGAATCATAAGGGGGTTCAAAAAATGGGGGGGGGGGATTTTTTTTTTCCTTTTTTTTCTTTAACATTTTCCATTTTAAATTGGTTATTTCTGATTTATATATAAAAGCAAATAATAATGATATGGTTTGAATAGGCATACATGTGAACCTCCTGACGGGAGTACAATAATCCCGTTTTCAGGGGTCTCCTCCCGACCTCCCGTTGAAAAAATCCCGTGTATGAAATTTTTCTAAATGAAAAATTTCTGCCCAACATAACATCTCAGGCATCTGGTGTAACTGACATTACCTGAAGTTATATTTTACCTGTAAATCAATTAACATGCATAATTATATGGCTTCACTTGTCAGCTTGGGTGTCAAACATACTGGTAAGCAACGATTTTTACCTCAGGCTAACTGCCGTTGTGTAACAAAAACTGTGTATTTATTGGGTTACTTCCCTTGATTTATCCTGTTTTAAGTTACTTTCCTTTTAATAATGAAAATTTTTAAAAGAATATAAATAAAATATAAATTGAACAAATAATCATAAAAGGATGGTTATTAAATGATTTTAAATGTCTTAGGACAAATAAAAAAATAATAATTTGAAAATTATTTGAGGATTCTATACTTCCTTTTAAAGCTTAAATTGAAATTTATATAATAACTATGACCCTAACTTTACAGATAGAATGAATTTCTGAGTTTGCAAATAAAAACTATTTGCAAGAGAAAAAATAAAAAAAAATAAAAACTATTTGCAGACAGCTAAACAAATGTTCTGGTTGCAATGATTGTTTTATAGAATATGAAGTAAAAAATTTAAAGAACGTACTGGAAAAAAACAATGTTAGATTGAACATGTAGAATATAAAGATGGAGAAACTTTATAAGTACAAGGGTACTATAAACATAATAAATTGGTTGGAAAGTTGAAGAAAACACACTTTAAAAGACCATTTTTACAGCACACGGTTACATTTACAACAAAATTAATGTCGATTAAAAACCTCCTGATCTGAGTCCTAATCTCCTGACCAAAATTTCCCAATCTCCTGATCTGAGTTTCACAGTCCATCACATGTATGAATAGGTAAATTGAAAATTTTTAAGTTCTTAGACCACTTTCATTCTGTGTCAGAAACCTATGCTGTGTCAAATATTTAATTACAATCCAAATTCAGTGCTGTATCAAGCTTGAATGTTGTGTCCATACTTGCCCCAACTGTTCAGGGTTCGACCTCTGCGGTCGTATCAAGCTGCGCCCCAGCGGAGCATTTTATCTTGAATATTATTATAGATAGAGATAAACTGTAAACAGCAATAATGTACAGCAAAGTAAGTTCTACAAATAAGTCAACATGACCAAAATTGTCAATTGACCCCTTAAGGAGTTATTGCCCTTTATAGTCAATTTTTTACAATTTTCATAAATCTTTACAAAATATTTTCCACTGTAACTACTGGGCCAAGTTCATTATAGATAGAGAATATAGTAAGGAGCAAGAATGTTCAGTAAAGTAAGATCTACAAACACATCACCATCACCAAAACACAATTTTGTCATGAATCCATCTGTGTCCTTTGTTTTTACTCAAAACTCCTGTCCTGCCTTCTTTTTCAAATTTCATCCTAGCCCCCCCCCCCCATAAAATCAAATGGTAGCTCCCTAAAGGTTAAAATAACTTGTCAGAAAGGTAATCAAGTAGGAAAAGGGCAAGTTGTTTGAGTTGTGTGTATTACAATTTCCCTAAATGAACTTGTCAACAGACAGAAAATGAAGTAATAAACATTAGAAAAGTTATCTCAAAGTGGAATGATTGTAAGGTGTATACATGTCTGACTGGCAGGTTTCATCTGCCCTCTACCTCATTTTCATGGTTCATTGGACAATGATAGGTTTTTATGGTTATGTCAGTTTATCAGTTACTTGAAATAAAAAATTGAATATATTTGGTGTATGGAATAATTATAAGGTGTACATGTCTGTCTGGCAGGGTTCATCTGATCGCGACTTCATTTTCATGGATCATTGTTAATGTTAAGTGTATGTGATACTTGTAGTAAAACTTTCATATTACAGACTTTCAACATGAATTCAATCATAACTGAAACAGGCGAGACATTTCAATGTGTGCTCTCTTGTTACAGTTGGTACTTACGTTATGCTGTCCTGCTTAGGAGTGTTGAGTTCTCATAAACATAATAACTCCTCCACATTCTATATGTGCCTGTCCTAAGTCAGGCACCTTTATTTCAGTGATTGTCCTTGGTTAATTTCTGTCATATTTGTCTTTTTTCATAAATTGCATGGTTATAAATTAGGACTGTAAGTTTTCTTGTTTGAATTCTGTCAAATTTTTCCTTTGGGGGCCATTTATGGCTTACTAAAACAGAATAGGTGTTTTCACTTTGTTGAATTCCGTATGGTGACCTTTAATTGCTTATATCTATCTCATTTGAACTGATGGATAGTTGTCTCATTTTTTATGCCACATGACCTCATGTCAGTTTAAATTTACTGTCTAGCAACTCCTTTTTGTCTCGCCTTGAGGGAGTCAAAAAGCGAGACTCAGGTATGCTGTTTCTGGTGGGGGCGGCGTCGTCAACAATGAATTAGTTTGTGATTAGGTCTAGTTTATAGTGGACTACAAGTGGTAGGTCAATGATATTTTGCATGCATTTGTATTAGCATTGGCACATCTCATTTCCATGGAGATTATTTGGCTCCTCCCCTAAAACTTTTGCTTACTGTGCATGTATTAGTTTGTGATTAGGTCAGTTTAAGAACCACTAGTGGTAGGTAAATGATATTTGGTATGTAAATCCATAAGTATTGGCACATCTCATTTCCATGGAGATTATTCAACTCAGTCATGGTTTATTGACTTTGAAACTTTTGCTTTCTTTACATGTATTAGTTGGTGATTAGGTCAGTTTAAGTGGAACCTCTAGTGGTAGGTCAATGATATTAGGTATGTTGAAGCATTAGCATTGGCACATTTCATTTCCATGGAAATTATTTGGCTCCACCCCTTCAGTCATGTTTATTGATTTTGAATGTTTTGCATAGTTTACATTTTAAGTTTGTGATTAGATCAGTTTAAGAGGAACTGCTAATGTTAAGTCAATGATATTTGGTATGCAGTTGTATTAGCATTTTCAAGTCTCTTTTCCATGGTGTTATATGGCCCCACCCCTCTGCATGGTTCATTGACTTTGAAGTTTTTACATTGTTTACAAATTATAGTTTGTGTTCAGGTTATTGTAAAAGGAACCACTTGTGATAAGTCAATGGTAATTGGTATGCAGTTTTAAAAGCATTGGCATTTCTCATTTCCATTAGGTTATTTGGTTTACATGTTTAAATATTGTCATTTGGATTCAATATTTGCAATATACTATCAAAATTACAAAAAGGCGAGACATGTCTCTGTGTCAACAGTTTATTTATAGGTTAGCATATTCAGGAACCTTGTGAGCGTTTTTTTTTTTATCTGAATGTTTTTGTCATAACGGGAAGTCTTTGACAGTTGGTTTAAAATTTGAGTATTTTTCTGACTCGAGACTATTGCATATTGTGTCGATTGTTGAAGACCTTATGCTGACACCAATATATCTGGATGACGTTTTCAATTTTTTATTTAATTGGGTTCTGAGTGTCTCAATATGACCGCCTCTGTGGTCTCATGGTAGCATGCTGGCCTAGAGCTAGGGTTAGATCTCTAGCCAGGGCAAACCAAAGACTTAAAATTGGCATTTGCTGCTTCTCCCCTACAAACTCTGCATTTAGGAGTAAAAGTAAAGACTAGTCAGCTCGGAGTCAGAATAATGTGTTCCGGTAGGGTTCGGCTTCCTATAGACTGTTACCTTGCGAATTAGCACTTAAATAATCGAGCTCAGTGTGTCGGTTTAGTACAAAATAGTGTTTAATTCATATCACATTTTCATGTTCTCATCCAGATTATGCATTTAATTTGCCACTTGACATTAAACAACCATCCATCCATCATTGGCAGATACACAGCATCTCCTTTTATATGTTAAACCTTATAATAGCCCTCCATTAATCATTGACATATACACAGCATCTCCTTTTATATGTTAAACCGTATTAAGCAGATGTAATTGTCGAGCATGCAACATTTATGTCGTGAGAGCGAAATATAGTAATCCTAGATTCTGTCGTCGACATTTAGGTTCAGTCTGTGAATAAAGTTTTTTTAGACATAAATAACTTTGTCAAACCTTCATGGAATTTTATGAAATTTGGACAAACGTGTTTTAATATGACCAAAAGACAGTATCAATTAGCAAACTTTGTAGAAATTAGCACAATTTTACCCTGCTTTTCATATAAATTTGTTTTTTGCCATCTTTGCTTTCTTGTTCAATGTAGTGGTCATTCTTTTTAGCTGGACTGTATAAGTTTTTTTTGTATGATTTACTTTTTATGACATATGGTCTAGATAAAACATTCTTCCAAGACCAATCTTAATTGTCTAGGATTGCATTTTTACTGACGGACGGTTGGTGGTACTCTTGAGGCACTATGTTTTCCTTCAATTAAAACTGGTATAAACAAGAATGCTGAAATCTAGTTTATACAAAAACAAGCAATTAATCACAATCTAGATAAGATAAAAATCAAAGAAGATTGTGTCTCAGGACAGGAATGCCCCGCTCCAGCTTTGCAACTTTCCTAGTTAAAAAGGGCCATAACTCTAGAACCGTAAGTGACTCGCTGCCAAAATTTGAACTTTGTCTGCGAGTATTGGTTCTTAGCATTGTATATGAGTTTCATAAAGTTTGGATGAGGAAAATTTAAGTTAAGAGTGCAAAAACAATAATGATACGGACAGTAAAGGGTAACACTTAATGCCCCCTTTGCCTACGGCAGGGGCATAAAAAAAAGGGGAGGTTATTGAAATTACACGGATTTGAAATTTGGTCCATTATAAGTTCCTAACTGCATGCAGATGGACATGTACTTTAAAACTCCGGTTCATACAATATTCCAATTGAACTAAGATATTCCCTATATTAATACCAATTATAAACATTAATATAAAAAAGGCACCAAATGAACAAAAGAAAAAACAAAATACATTTATTATCTGTGCAAAGATATCTTAGATTGTTTAAATGAGGATTCTATATTTGAATGTGAATCAAGAGAAAGACATCATTGTACAACCAATGTAACATAAACATGATAAAGCTGAATACTGTCTTCTAATTTCCATTTTGTATACTTTCTGTCTGACACAATTTCTGAAATAAAATGAAAATCAATTAAGAAATGATATACATGTGTAAGGTAAATCTTGTCAAGACATTACTTAAAAAAAGATGTGGTTTCCTACAGGTAGTATCTGAAAATTAAAGGTAACCTACAATACAAATGAATAGTAGTAGAACCTACAAAATACCTAACAACTGTAGAAAGGTGCTTCCTACTGCAGGTAGTAGCTGCAGGAGTGTAAAGGAAATCTATATAATGTAAGATCTTACAAAAATACCTCCAAACTGACAAAAAATGCTTCCTACATGCAGGTAATGGAAATATCAACAGAATTATATCCTACTATTATACAGGCTGGAGAATACCTAACAACAGAAGAAATAATAAGTAGCTTCCTACAGCATGTACAGATAGTATCTGGAGGGTAAAGTAACTGTACAAATTTGTTTCGCATTTATTGGCTCTTGAAATAAACAAAGTCTACCCACCTATCCTCCCTAATTTTCAAGACCATGTAAGCAGAATCATATGAGAAGATAAATCCTAACAAAATAATGTTCATATAATGAATAAAATTCCCTCAAATATGACAGGCATTAAACTAACAAGGGTAGTATTCATGTAAAGGCATAAAAATGATACCTTACATACACACCAAGATAAAAAAAGACCCAGATAATGATCATCTATGCAGAAACTTTCATTGAAGTAAGCTTGGAGCAGTCTTCAACTTATACAGGTATATTTTCTATACCAGCACGCTAAAGTGTTTCAGAGCATTGACTTGAGAAGTTGAAATGATGAAAAAAGTCCTACAATGTTAAATCTCATACCTTTGCCTCATTTTGACAGGTATTTCAATTTGAATTTAATGCTGGGAACTCTTCAAATACAGTACTCTTATTCCTTTAAGGTGGTACCCAACACCTTGACTAATATTAATTTGGCTCGTTTAATTTTCATTAAATTTTGACAAAATGTTTACTTTGACCCTTTGACAAAAATATAAAAATTTCAAAAAATTTGAACCAACCACTTTATCAGAAAAATTTCATTGGTTATATAGCAGTTTGACAAACACTATTTTTGATCATTGAAAAGCTTAATATTTCCTTAACAATACATTTTGTACAACGTAATTAAAACGTTTAGCTGATTTTTACAGAGTTATCTCCCTGTAGTGTTAGGTACCACCTTAAACATGATTTTCATATACAATTCACTCTCATTGTCTTGAACTCTGTTGAGTTAAAATTCTGTAAGATTCCAAATATTTCTGTGGTCCAGATATTGAAAGAAGGTTATCAATGGTTATATATATATATATACATTTACTTCCTTTGAGTCTAATTTCGATGAGCCGATTTTGCATTTTGGAGAAAGGAAATGTGCTTGGGTCAGTATAAAGCATGGAGTGTTCAAACAAATCCAATACCAAATTGTTTTAACAATAGGTTGTATTTTAGAAGAGTATAAACAGTTAGTTGGTTTATTGGATTTTATTGTCCTTCGACTGGCATTTTTTCCTTCAGGTATTATTTTTTAACAGGCAGTTACCTTCCTAGCAAATTCTGGTAAAACAAATGCACTGCTGTGTATTTTAGAGTTGTAATACTTTAAATCTAACTTCTGCATTTCATCAGGTGTAAATTTTCTCAACGGTTCTGCAAAATTGGTATCCTAAAAGAAAGAAGAAGAAATAAATATTCTCACTTTTAATCTTTGTTGAAAATGATTGCTTGGCATAAAATTTTACAAAAAGTCCTTTGAAAGGAAATAATTGAAATTTCCTTACTAAATAGGCTTAGGAGTATTCAATCCTTTAGTCTACAACCTTGAAGGAAAACAGATAACAAAGACTTAATGTGATTAGTTGTACACAACTGTCTGCTTACCAAGTTTTTACTCTACATCATAAATACTGTTCAATAAAGTGGTTTTTTTTTTTTGGAATTTCTGTATATTAAAAATCACATCTGTCCACCCGTATAGGTGAATACCGACTGTTTCTTTATACTAGACATGTTAAATCCTATCTATCAACTCATATTGGAGGAAAATGTCACTAGGGTAGTTGGATAGTTACTTGGTTTTTACTAAGCATGATAATTCTTTCCACTAAGATAGGTGGATAAGTACTAGTCTTTTACTACACATGATAAATCATTTCCTTCAACTAGGATATGTGGATATTTACTGGGTTTTCACTACACCTGGTAAATTCTATCTTTCCACAGGATAGATGGATATTTACTGGGTTTTTACTACACATGATAATTCCTTCCACTAACATAGGTGGATACTTACTGGGTTTTTACTACACATGATAAATCCTTCCACCAGGATAGGTGGATACTTACTGGGTTTTACTACACATGATAAATCTTTCTACTAAAATAAATAGATACTTACTGGAATTTTACTACACATGATAAATCCTATCTGTCCAATATGATATGTGGATACTTACTTAGTTTCCAATAGGATAGGTGGATACTTACTGGGTTTTTACTACACATGATAAATCCTTACTACACCTGGTAAATTCTATCTTTCCACAGGATAGATGGATATTTACTGGGTTTTTACTACACATGATAATTCCTTCCACTAACATAGGTGGATACTTACTGGGTTTTTACTACACATGATAAATGCTTCCACTAGGATAGGTGGATACTTACTGGGTGTTTACTACACATGGTAAATCCTTCCATTAGGATAGGTGGATACTTACTTAATTTCCACTAGGATAGGTGGATACTTACTGGGTTTTCACTACACATGATAAATCCTTCCACTAGGACAGGTGGATACTTACTGGGTTTTTACTACACATGATAAATCCTTCCACTAGGATGGGTGGATACTTACCGGGTTTTTACTACACATGATAAATATTTCCACTAGGATATGTGGATACTCACTTAGTTTTCACTACACATGATAAATCCTTCCACTAGGATAGGTGGATACTTACTTAGTTTCCAATAGGATAGGTGGATACTTACTGGGTTTTTACTACACATGATAAATCCTTCCACCAGGATAGGTGGATACTTACTGGGTTTTACTACACATGATAAATGCTTCCACTAGGATAGGTGGATACTTACTGGGTGTTTACTACACATGGTAAATCCTTCCATTAGGATAGGTGGATACTTACTTAATTTCCACTAGGATAGGTGGATACTTACTGGGTTTTCACTACACATGATAAATCCTTCCACTAGGACAGGTGGATACTTACTGGGTTTTTACTACACATGATAAATCCTTCCACTAGGATAGGTGGATACTTACTGGGTTTTTACTACACATGATAAATATTTCCACTAGGATATGTGGATACTTACTTAGTTTTCACTACACATGATAAATCCTTCCACTAGGATAGGTGGATACTTACTTAGTTTCCAATAGGATAGGTGGATACTTACTGGGTTTTTACTACACATGATAAATCCTTCCACCAGGATAGGTGGATACTTACTGGATTTTACAACACATGATAAATCTTTCTACTAAAATAAATAGATACTTACTGGAATTTTACTACACATGATAAATCCTATCTGTCCAATATGATATGTGGATACTTACTGGGGTTTTACTAAACATGATAAATCTTTACACTAGGATAGGTGGATATTTACTGGGGTTTTACTACACATGATAAACCTTTCCACTAGGATAGGTGGATACTTACTGGGTTTTTACTACACAATATAAATCCTTCCACTAGCACAGGTGGATACTTATTGGGTTTATACTACACATGATAAATATCTCCACTAGGATAGGTGGATACTTACTTGGTTTTTACTTCACATGATAAATGCTTCCACTAGGATAGGTGGATACTTACTGGGTTTCTACTATACATGATAAATATTTCCACTAGGATAGGTGGACACTTACTTAGTTTCCACTAGGATAGGTGGATATTTACTGGGTTTTTACTACACATGATAAATCCTTCCACTAGGATAGGTGGATACTTACTGGGTTTCTACTACACATGATAAATATTTCCACTAGGATAGGTGGATACTTACTTAGTTTCCACTAGGATAGGTGGATATTTACTGGGTTTTAACTACACATGATACATCCTTCCACTAGGATAGGTGGATACTTACTCGGTTTTTACTACATATGACAAATGCTTCCACTAGGATAGGTGGATACTTACTGGGTTTCTACTACACATGATAAATATTTCCACTAGGATAGGTGGACACTTACTAAGTTTCCACTAGGATAGGTGGATATTTACTGGTTTTTTACTACACATGATAAATCCTTCCACTAGGATAGGTGGATACTTACTTGGTTTTTACTACATATGACAAATGCTTCCACTAGGATAGGTGGATACTTACTGGGTTTCTACTACACATGATAAATCCTTCCACTAGGATAGGTGGATACTTACTTAGTTTCCACTAGGATAGGAGGATACTTTCTGGGTTTTTACTACACATGATAAATCCTATCTGTCCACTAGGATATGTAGATACTTAGTGGGGTTTTACTACAAATGATAAATCCTTCCAATTTGATATGTGGATACTTACTCGGGTTTTACTAAACATGATAAATCCTTCCACTAGGATAGGTGGATACTTCCTGGGTTTTTACTACACATGATAAATTTTTCCACTAGGATGGGTGGATACTTACTGGTTTTTCACTACACATGATAAATCTTTCCACTAGGATATATGGATACTTACTGGGTTTTTACTACACATGATAAATCCTTCCACTAGGATAGGTGGATACTTACTGGGTTTTTACTACACATGATAAATCCTTTCACTAAGATATATGGATACTTACTGGATTTTTACTACACATGATAAATCCTATCTGTCCACTAGGATAAGTGGGTATTGCTGTATAGGCATAACTTGTTACAGCATATAGATTGCCACAAAAATCTAACATTCCTTTAATCAAGTCTATATGAAGCCACAAACATTCTCCTGAAAGAAATGTCCCCAGTATAAGTCAATCATTCATAAATAGATTGTTCTTTAATTCAGATCTTCATCAGACTGCTATATGTAATTCATACCCTTTCACTGTGACATTTTTAGAAGTAATTTCTATTGTACAACTACCACTTAACCCCATTACATTAAATTGTGTCATTTGAAAACCAGGCATTAATGGTTATGTTTGATGATAAAGAAGTTGGGTACATGTCAATGAAACAGCCATAAATAATAAAAGACATATAATTTATTTGCTTTTTCCTTTTTTCATCTTACACCATCTTCAGTTCCTGTACAATGTTACAGTTAAAACTCATCATTTAGGAAGTGTAGAAAAGAAAAGGTAACAAAACATTGTTGCAGTCAGAATTTAAGTGTAGCAAAGAAAAGGCAACAAAACATTGTTGCAGTCAGAATTTAAGTGTAGCAAAGAAAAGGTAACAAAACATTGTTGCAGTCAGAATTTAAGTGTAGCAAAGAAAAGGTAACAAAACATTGTTGCAGTCAGAATTTAAGTGTACAATGTAGCAAAGAAAAGGTAACAAAATATTGTTGCAGTCAGAATTTAAGTGTAGCAAATAAAAGGTTACAAAATATTTCTGTAGTTGGATGTCAACTGTATCAAAGAAAAGGTTACAAAAGATTTCTGCAGTCAAGAGTAATAAAAAAGCTCAAAGTGAACAAACTGTTCTGCAGTCAGAAGGTAAGCATAGCAAAGAAAAGGTTACAAAACATTTCTGCGCTTGGAGGTTAAGTGTAGCAAAGAAAATGTTAAAAAACTTTTCTGCCATCAAAGGTAAATGTAGCAAAGAAAAGGTAACAAACACTGTCGAGTCAGAAGTTGAGTGTAGCAAAGAAAAGGTTACAAAACATTTCTGCGCTTGGAGGTTAAGTGTAGCAAAGAAAATGTTAAAAAACTTTTCTGTCTTCAAAGGTAAATGTAGAAAAGAAAAGGTTACAAAACAGTTTTGCAGTCAGAAGTTAAGTGTTACAAAGAAAAGGTTACAAAACATTGTTGCAGTCAGAAGTTAAGTGTAGCAAAGAAAAGGTTACAAAACATTTCTGCGCTCAGAGGTTAACTGTACCAAGGGAAAGGTTACAAAACATTTCTGCGCTCGAAGGTGTAGTGTAGCAAAGAAAAGGTTACAAAACATTTCTGCAGTCCGAGGTGAAAGTAGCAAAGAAAAAGTTTCAAAACTTTTCTGCCGTCAAAGGTAAAGTGTTGCAAAGAAAACATTAAAAAACTTTTCTGCCGTCAAAGGTAAATGTAGCAAAGAAAAGGTACCAAAACATTGTTGCAGTCAGAAGTTAAGTGTAAGAAAGAAAAGGTTACAAAAAATATCTGTACTCAGAGGTTAACTGTAGCAAGGAAAAGGTTACAAAATATTTCTGGGCTCAGACATTATGTGTAGCAAAGAAAAGGTTACAAAATATTTCTGCAGGTGGATGTCAAGTGTATCAAAGAAAAGATTACAAAAGATTATTTCTGCAGTCAAGAGTAAATAGCAAAGCTCAAAGGGAAATAACTGTTCTGCAGTCAGAGGTTAAGTGTACCAAAGAAAAGGTTACAAAATATTTCTGTAGTTGGATGTCAAGTGTAGCAAGGAAAAGGTTACAAAACATTTCTGAGCTCAGAGGTTAAGTGTAGCAGAGAAAAGGTTATAAAACATTTCTGTAGTTGGAGGTTAAGTGTAGTAAAGAAAAGGTTACAAAACATTTCTGCGCTCAGAGGTTAACTGTACCAAGGGAAAGGTTACAAAATATTTCTGCACTCGAAGGTTAAGTGTAGCAAAGAAAAGGTTACAAAACATTTCTGCAGTCTGAGGTGAAAAGTAGCAAAGAAAAGGTTTCAAAACTTTTCTGCCGTCAAAAGTGAAGTGTTGCAAAGAAAACGTTAAAAACTTTTCTGCCTTCAAAAGTAAATGAAGCAAAGAAAAGGTACCAAAACATTGTTGCAGTCAGAAGTTAAGTGTAAGAAAGAAAAGGTTACAAAAAAATTCTGTGCTCAGAGGTTATGTGTAGCAAAGAAAAAGTTACAAAATATTTCTGTAGTTGGATGTCAAGTGTATCAAAGAAAAGATTACAAAAGATTACTTCTGCAGTCAAGAGTAAATAACAAAGCTCAAAGGGAAATAACTGTTCTGCAGTCAGAGGTTAAGTGTACCAAAGAAAAGGTTACAAAACATTTCTGCAGTTGGAGGTTAAGTGTAGCAAAGAAAAGGTTACAAAAGATCATTTCTGCAGTCAAGAGTAAATAACAAAGCTCAAAGGGAAATAACTGTTCTGCAGTCAGAGGTTAAGTGTACCAAAGAAAAGGTTACAAAACTTTTCAGCAGTTGGAGGTTAAGTGTAGTAAAGAAAAGGTTACAAAACATTTCTGAGCTCAGAGGTTAAGTGTAGCAAAGAAAAGGTTATAAAACATTTCTGCAGTCGGAGGTTAAGTGTAGCAAAGAAAAGGTTACAAAACATTTCTGAGCTCAGAGGTTACTTGTAGCAAAGAAAAGGTTATAAAACATTTCTGCAGTCGGAGGTTAAGTGTAGCAAAGAAAAGGTCACAAAACTTTCAGCAGTCAGGGATTAAGTGTAGCAAAGAAAATGTTACTAAACATTTATGCAGTCAAGAGTAGCAACAAAGCTCAGAAAGAACAAACATTTTTTGGCAGTCAGAGGTTTTGAGTAGCACTGAAGTTCAGATGGAAAACGTTCAGCTTTCTGAGTTTGAGAGGAGCATATGAAGCTTGGAAATACTGGCAATAATTTTTGCTGTAATCAAAGTTTTAGAATAGCTATGAATGTCAAAGGGAACAATATTTAGCAGTCAGAGTTTAAGAGTAGCAATGAAGCTCAGATGGGAAAATATCTATCTGCAGTTAGAGGTTAAAAAGAGCAAAGGAGCTAAATGGGTTAAACAAGTCAGCTTTAAGTCAGCCTCTAACTTTTCTATCACATCTTTTAATTGATAAGTATTTCAAGATTATATATTTGTACAAACAGGAAGTTTACAGCCAATAGATCACTGAGGTGAGGTTTATCAAAAACCATGCAGATAGTCACTCATAGCATTAGGTCCTATGGATCTCTTCTGAAAACATTTAATAAGTTCACTATTTCAATCATTTAAGTGTAAACATATTTAATTCATGAATTTGTTTTGTAAAAACAGTAGTATAAACATGTACCAATTATTAAAATAAGTAATTCAAAAATGGAAGTAGGGAACAAAAACAGTGCTCTTATATAGATTCATTCAAAATTCAAATTACAAAATTATATTTACATGCTGATGTTTATATATATTGTATAATAACATAGAAAATAAAACATTAAAATAAAATCATAGCAATTAATAAATCAGAATGAATCATGTTTCCATTTATCTATACTAAATAATGGTTACCTTGACAACAGACAATGCCACCTGGTTTTAATGCAGTCTTCATCAACTCATAATATGACTTCTCAAACAATGAGGATGCTGGTCCTAAAATATACCAATATACTGTAAATTCAGAAATTATTGCGATGTTTTTATTATTGCGAAAAATGCGACAGGGTTATAATCGCAATAATTTAAACTGGCATTTTGAAATTTTTTATATGAATGAAACAGGATTTTTCTCAATATCACAAAAATTAAAATCACATGACAAAATCGCAATAATAAATGCACACAATAATTTCTGAATTTACAGTAATCCTTGCTAGTATCACTTGTCATTTAGATGAAAGTTGAAATTGAGGAATATCAATACTGTTTTTAATGAAATGCCATATCAATTGGGCAGTCACAACAGGTGTTACTGTCCACATGTGTCACCATCAGTTGGTTATTTGACAGTCAAAAACTAGTGTTACTGTCCATGTGGAGAGAATCCAGTCAAATATCTAATTGATGGTGGCAATTCTTCAAATACAGACTGTTATTCCTAATTATATTCATACTAGTGAAATGTTCAAAAAACAGAAAAAAAAATCTGAAATATTGATTCCAATAACACAATTTTTTTGCCAGTTTGCCAATAACTCTGACATCAGATGTTTTCCAATCAAAAGTGGTGCTTAACATAAGATATAACCTTAGAATAGGCTTTAACATACCAATATCATAACTGTTATAAAGATAAACACAAGAAATTGATCAAATATTTTAAATAACTTAAATTTGAAATTTTTTCTTACATTGGAGAATGGTTGATTTATGTAACTATGGAGACAGTTAAGATTAAAAATACTGTAATAAATTTACAGTTCCAGTTTGCTATGATTTTATGCACATCATCCTGTACCTATTTTTAAGAAACAAACACTAGTAAACTCACGAAATTCTAATTGAGGGGCACACATGGACAACAATTTTATATTGTGATCGTAAAATTTGACAGATTTCTTTTTTGCGATCGTTATATTTTGACAAATTTTTCCTTCATTTGTCAGAATTTGACAATTAACATTCCATTTACTTTAAGATTGTTTTAAGTCCCGCCAAATTTGTCAATGATGAATATTGTTTTGACCATCTAGTTCTTTTAATAAAAATTACCATCTGTCAAATTATGACGTTAGCAAAAGAATGTCAAATTCTGATGTATGAATGAATAATATCCATCAGTGACATAAGAAAAATACAAAAATCCATTTTTTTCGCTTTTAAAAAAATCTTTATGTATAATACCTTCTTATACATAGCTTGTCTATTTAAGTTAAAAAACTTCAGACCGAATTATCACAGTTAAACATTTTTAAACACAGTTGACAGTAAAACTACCGATGGACGTCTGCAAAGCTTCAAATACAATATAGTTATCTCTTAATTTTAATTTTTAACTACATGTACCTCTTTAACTGTTATCTTTTATAATGTTACATTGAACTATATGATTGTTTATTATCTATGTGTAAATATCTGTTGATGATTGCATTGTATGTGAGGGCCTCAGGGAAGATAAGTTTGTTGTATCTAACTGTGTTTACCCTCTTTAATTAAAGAATATATTATCATTATTATTGCTCTCTCTTATAGCTTTAGTTGCCCCTGTAATACAAAGACTTAGAACATGAAGAAGACACATGGAAAAGTATCATGTGATACACCTTTTACAACCTCCATGTTAAAATGGCCAGCCTTGGAAATACCCTTTTGACCATGTAGTATTTAGGCAATTAAACCTTGTAGTTTTTTTATGTATTCAAACAATACCTAATTTGTCTGTAATTTGTCACCATTACCATAGTAACAATAGATTACTCACCAATGGGATCTGATGAATCTGTTATTATGACATCAAATTCACCCTGATGTTTTTTCATGTATTCAAATCCATCACCTATATGCAGAGTTAATTTGTCACTGTTAAACCCACATGACATGTTTGGTAAATACTTTTTCGATACCTCTATTACTTTCTGAAATGAAAAAAAAAAATGATTGCCAATGAGACAACTATCTCCCAAGGTTCAAATGAAGTGGATGTAAGCAAAAGAGGGTCACAGTATGACCTTTAACAATGAGAAATACCCATATCTTATAGTTGGCTATAAAAAGCCATGACAGGAAAATAGTGAAGCAATTCAAACAAGAAACTAACAGCCTAATCTATAACAAAAAAATTGAAGAACAACAATTAAGACCGATATGAACTAAGGACCACCACTGAACTACAGGCGACTTTGGACATCACATTTCAGTCTTATTATTGTCAACTTTCATTATTATAGTAGTAACATATTGTTTGTCATTACCTTTTCTCAGTTGATGTGTTTAAGGTATGTTACGTTATTGACAATTTTACTGATGTTTATGATAACCTCTGAGATTTTAAGTGATGTAACATACATTTTCCTCTAACATGTCTAAGGTTATGATAAAACATAAATTCTAAATGAGAATACTTTCAAAATCATGAAAAACAATCTAAATCATGAACTCGCAATATAACATGTTATTGTGATTCCAAAAGTACCATATATTTGCAAAAATCTTATAAAATGGAGGAAAAAAAGGATTATTTCCAAACTACTTCAATTAAGCTCCGTTACATTTTAGTTTTGTTATCTAATTATTTTTAAACTGTTAGCTTAGGCATGCTGGATGTGATCTTGATTATTTGCTAAGGTAACATGATAAAGCTAAGAGTATAATGCAAGCTTTGTTCTCTTGAAAGGTGATAGATATTATTTCTATTGAGGTCATGCATTGAAAACTTAAGGTGGTATTATACTTATTATTCATGATATTGTTGTCTTTAGAAATTTTTTAAATAAAAGGGTTTAGATTAGACAATTTTCAATACACTTTGAAATGTGCATGATACTTTAACTTTGTTTAAACCTGTTTATTTACTTTTGACTTTAATTATTTATCCCTTGTAATTTTTTATTAACTGTGTATTTGCATTCAGGTGTCACAGGTCAAATTTATTCGTTCATTGTGTGTTAATTTACATTTTTTGATTGAGTTAAGCCTTCCAATTGATATTTTATAGTGTGTTTTTCTATGTTGTGATGTTATACTATTGTTTCAGAAAAGGGAGAAGGTTTGGTACCATTAAACCGTTTTATCCCGCTGCAAATGTTTGCACCTGTCCTAAGTCAGGAATCTGATTACAGTAGTTGTCGTCTGTTTATGTAGTTCATACGTGTTTCTCGTTTTTATATAGATTAGACCGTTGGTTTTTTCGTTTGAATGGTTTTACACGAGTAATTTTTTGGGGCCCTTTATAGCTGGCTGTTCGGTGTGAGCCAATGCTCCGTGTTGAAGGCCGTACCTTATCCTATAATGGTTTACTTTTATAAATTGTAACTTGGATGGAGAGTTGTCTCATTGGCACTCATACCACATCTTCCTATATCTATATCCATCATATTATAAATAATAGTGAGAAAACTAAAATTAATATTCATCTAATTATAAGGTAAATCAAGGAAAAAAGAAGAAAAAGCATAAACAATGTACAAGATGTATATACTGTTTACACAGATGCTCCCAAAGGGTACAAGCAGATCCTGCTCCAGATGTGGCACCCGCCGTGTTGCTCATAAGTACAAACAAGGTACAAGATGTATATACTGTTTACACAGAGATATGTCTTGCCTTTGTAATGTAATCACTAAAACTGATACAACTGTTGATGCTGCAAACATTGCTGAAAAGGAAACCTAAGTCCGAGATAAGTCACAGACAAGACAAATATGAAATAAACTAGATCAAATGCAAGCAAAGCATACAATTAAAGCATGTATATTATGGTGTAAACTTTTACTTTCAATATGCTATCCAAAGTGTACCAAAACAATTAGAGGACTATTTTCAGCATCAGCTCAAAGATCTGACACAAAAAGTAAATATTGGTATCTATACAGTCTTGAAAATCTGAAAGAGAAATCAATACCACTTGATGTATTACCTGTTATTTACTAGAACTGTAGATATTGAAGTACCTGCTATTTTGTCATGTGTGTATCATATAGGTATTTTGTCATGTTTGTATCATACAGGTATTTTGTCATGTTTGTATCATATAGGTATTTTGTCATGTTTGTATCATACAGGTATTTTGTCATGTTTGTATCATACAGGTATTTTGTCATGTTAGTATCATATAGGTATTTTGTCATGTTTGTATCATATAGGTATTTTGTCACGTTTGTATCATGTAGGTATTTTGTCATGTTTGTATCATATAGGTATTTTGTCATGTTTGTATCATATAGGTACGTTGTCATGTTTGTATCATATAGGTATTTTGGACTACTTGTTATATGCCAGGCAGGTATTTTAAATTTCTTTGATAACAATGACATCTACATTTACAAAAACTTCATAAGTGATACATGCATTAATGTGTATTTCACATGGATATCACAGAACACTTGATTTTATCTGTAACATGTGATAACATTAATGTATTCATGTTAGGTCTTGAAATACCTTTATTACCATGATACCTGTTTGAACGTACCCTTTACTAACGCCACCTGTGGAGGTTTGATACATAATCTATTTCACATATAATCTGACAACACATGTGGATGCTCAGCAGCTGCATTAACATACCTAATCTATTTCACATATAATCTGACAACACATGTGGATGCTCAGCATGCTCAGTAGCTGCATTAACATACCTAATCTATTTCACATATAATCTGACAACACATGTGGATGCTCAGCAGCTGCATTAACATACCTCATCTATTTCACAAATAATCTGACAACACATGTGGATGCTCAGTAGCTGCATGAACATACCTAATCTATTTTACATATAATCTGACAATTAACACATGTGGATGCTCAGTAGCTGCATAAACATATCTCATCTATTTCACATATAATCTGACAACACAAGTTGATACTCAGTAGCTGCATTTACATACCTCATCTATTTCACATATGATCTGACAACACATGTGGATGCCCAGTAGCTGCATTAACATACCTCATCTATTTCACATATAATCTGACAACACATGTGGATGCTCAGTAGCTGCATTAACATACCTCATCTATTTCACACATATCAACTGACGACACATGTGGATGATCAGTAGCTGTATTAACATACCTAATCTATTTCACATATAATCTGACAATTAACACATGTGGATGCTCAGTAGCTGCATAAACATTTCTCATCTATTTCACATATGATCTGACAACACATGTTGATGCTCAGTAGCTGCATTAACATACCTCATCTATTTCACATATAATCTGACAACACATGTTGATGCTCAGTAGCTGCATTAACATACCTCATCTATTTCACACATATCAACTGACAACACATGTGGATGCTCAGTAGCTGCATTAACATACCTAATATATTTCACATATAATCTGACAATTAACACATGTGGATGCTCAGTAGCTGCATAAACATATCTCATCTATTTCACATATAATCTGACAACACAAGTGGATGCTCAGTAGCTGCATTTACATACCTCATCTATTTCACATATGATTTGACAACACATGTGGATGCTCAATAGCTGCATTAACATACCTCATCTATTTCACATATGATCTGACAATTAACACATGTGGATGCTTAGTAGCTGCATAAACATATCTGATCTATTTCACATATAATCTGACAACACATGTGGATGCTCAGTAGCTGCATTAACATACCTCATCTATTTCACACATATCAACTGACGACACATGTGGATGATCAGTAGCTGTTTTAACATACCTCATCTATTTCACATATAATCTGACAACACATGTGGATGCTCAGTACATGTTGCTGCATTAACATACCTTATCTATTTCATTTATAATCTGACAACACATGTGGATGCTCAGTAGCTGCATTAACAGACCTCATCTATTTCACACATATAATCTGACAACACATGTGGATGCTCAGTAGCTGCATCAACAGACCTCATCTATTTCACACATATAATCTGACAACACATGTGGATGATCAGTAGCTGTATTAACATACCTCATCTATTTCACACATATAAACTGACGACACTTGTGGATGTTTAACAACCTCCCTCAGTACACCCCCATCACCTCCACCAATTATCAAAACCTAAAACAAAAATTTAAAAGATATAACTTAAATATAAATTCCAATTTTAAATACTTAACATTTCTTTACAAAATTATAAAAATAAGAAGATGTGGTAAAATTAATTGCCAGCGAGACAAATCTCCACAAGAGACCTAATGACACATGTACAGAAATTAACAACTATAGGTCACTGTACAGCCTTCAACAATGAGCAAAACCAATATTATTTATATTACTGTTGATGCATTATTTGTCATGTACAAATTTTTTGTGGGTAAACAATGATAAAGGTGAACCAGGAATTTAAATATAAATCATTGTAAATGAAGGAAACACAAATTTTCTGTACGCTTGTGTACAGGAAAACAAAAGATAAAATATCCATAAACATACATTTTTTTCCTTTAAATCCACAAAAATGGGTACAAACGAAAAAAAAAAAGGGTATTTAATGTTTCTGTTACAACATGTACACTATGAAGTAGACTCTATATAGAAACAAACAATAATCAGTATATGTGTCTTTTATCTTTTTATAAGTTGTTATATCATGTACATTGTATATATGTGCTTTGTGCCTATATCTGATGAGTCAGGCCAGTCAAATGATTTTTACATTTTGTTCTTAATCAGGATGGGGAGGGCTCACAAACATATTTTACCCTGTCACATTCTGTATGTCCCTGTTCCAAGTCAGTAGTCTGTAACCATGGTAACTCAGTGGTTATCATTGGTTACTGTTTCTCATATTTGTTTTTCTTTTATCATAGGATTAAACACAACTTTTCTGGAGGTAATTGATATGTAAACTGAGGTTGGTTAATTCACATACTAAATAAAAGTCAAAAGGGCTTTTATGTACAATTTGTGAGTCAGCTTAAACATCAATAACCTTTAGAAAAAAGTCTGTGTCTTATTTTCTCAAAATTTCCAAAATAATAAAGGTTATGGTATTTAGATTTTTAGATAACTTCAAGCATAGAAAACCATAGATTAATTGACATAATTCCCTTCCCTAACTGTTCACTGGTTACAGGATTACCTTAGGATAATTGGATCTCCCCTTCCCAAACTGTTAAAAGTGCAAACCTTTTGTGGGTTATGATGAGACATAACGAGTTCTCCCCTTCCCAAACTGTTCAATGTGCAAAACCTTTTGTGGGTTAGGATGAGCCATAACAAGTTCTCCCCTTCCCAAACTGTTAAAAAGTGCAAACCTTTTGTGGGTTAGGATGAGAATTAAGTGGTAAATGTGCCAACATTTCTTGATATGAAAATTCATCTCTTTCTGTGCACTGTATAACACCATCTAACACCAAAACATTACCATAAGTCTTACTAAAATAGAGAACACTGACATATTATGTATACTGAAATAGGGAACACGTACTGACATGTATTGTATACTGAAATAGAGAACGCTGACATATAATGTATACTGAAATAGGGAACACGTACTGACATGTATTGTATACTGAAATAGAGAACACTGACATATAATGTATACTGAAATAGGGAACACGTACTGACATGTATTGTATACTGAAATAGAGAACACTGACATATAATGTATACTGAAATAGGGAACACGTACTGACATGTATTGTATACTGAAATAGAGAAAACTGACATATAATGTATACTGAAATAGGGAACACTGACATATAATATATACTGAAATAAAGAAAACTGACATATAATGTATACTGAAATAGAGAAAACTGACATATAATGTATACTGAAATAGGGACCATGTACTGACATGTATTGTATACTGAAATAGAGAACACTGACATATAATGTATACTGAAATAGGGAACACGTACTGACATGTATTGTATACTGAAATAGAGAACACTGACATATAATGTATACTGAAATAGGGAACACGTACTGACATGTATTGTATACTGAAATAGAGAACACTGACATATAATGTATACTGAAATAGGGAACACGTACTGACATGTATTGTATACTGAAATAGAGAACACTGACATATAATGTATACTGAAATAGGGAACACGTACCGACATGTATTGTATACTGAAATAGAGAACACTGACATATAATGTATACTGAAATAGGGAACACGTACCGACATGTATTGTATACTGAAATAGAGAACACTGACATATAATGTATACTGAAATAGGGAACACGTACTGACATGTATTGTATACTGAAATAGAGAACACTGACATATAATGTATACTGAAATAGGGAACACTGACATATAATATATACTGAAATAGAGAAAACTGACATATAATGTATACTGAAATAGGGAACATGTACTGACATGTATTGTATACTGAAATAGAGAACACTGACATATAATGTATACTGAAATAGAGAACACTGACATATAATGTATACTGAAATAGGGAACACGTACTGACATGTATTGTATACTGAAATAGGAGAACACTGACATATAATGTATACTGAAATAGGGAACACGTACTGACATGTATTGTATACTGAAATAGAGAACACTGACATATAATGTATACTGAAATAGGGAACACTGACATATAATATATACTGAAATAGAGAAAACTGACATATAATGTATACTGAAATAGGGAACATGTACTGACATGTATTGTATACTGAAATAGAGAACACTGACATATAATGTATACTGAAATAGAGAAAACTGACATATAATGTATACTGAAATAGGGAACACTGACATATAATGTATACTGAAATAGGGAACACGTACTGACATGTATTGTATACTGAAATAGAGAAAACTGACATATTATGTATACTGAAATAGGGAACACGTACTGACATGTATTGTATACTGAAATAGAGAACACTGACATATAATGTATACTGAAATAGAGAACACTGACATATAATGTATACTGAAATAGGGAACACGTACTGACATGTATTGCATACTGAAATAGAGAAAACTGACATATAATGTATACTGAAATAGGGAACACGTACTGATATGTATTGTATACTGAAATAGAGAACACTGACATATAATGTATACTGAAATAGGGAACACTGACATATAATGTATACTGAAATAGAGAACACAGACATATAATGTATACTGAAATAGGGAACACTGACATATAATGTATACTGAAATAGAGAACACTGACGTATAATGTAAACTAAAATAGAGAACACTGACATATAATGTATACTGAAATAGGGAACACTGACATATAATGTATACTGAAATAGAGAACACAGACATATAATGTATACTGAAATAGAGAACACTGACATATAATGTATACTGAAATAGAGAACACTGACGTATAATGTAAACTAAAATAGAGAACACTGACATATAATGTATACTGAAATAGGGAACACTGACATATAATGTATACTGAAATAGAGAACACAGACATATAATGTATACTGAAATAGGGAACATGTACTGACATCTATTGTATACTGAAATAGAGAACACTGACATATAATGTATACTGAAATAGGGAACACGTACTGACATGTATTGTATACTGAAATAGAGAACACTGACATATAATGTATACTGAAATAGGGAACACTGACATATAATGTATACTGAAATAGGGAACACTGACATATAATGTATACTGAAATAGAGAACACAGACATATAATGTATACTGAAATAGGGAACATGTACTGACATGTATTGTATACTGAAATAAAGAACACTGACATATAATGTATACTGAAATAGGGAACATGTACTGACATGTATTGTATACTGAAATAGAGAACACTGACATATAATGTATACTGAAATAGGGAACACTGACATATAATGTATACTGAAATAGAGAACACTGACGTATAATGTAAACTGAAATAGAGAACACTGACATATAATGTATACTGAAATAGGGAACACTGACATATAATGTATACTGAAATAGAGAACACAGACAATTATGTATACTGAAATAGGGAACACTGACATATAATGTATACTGAAATAGAGAACACTGACATATAATGTATACTGAAATAGAGAACAATGACATATTATGTACATGTATACTGAAATAGAGAACACTGACATATAATGTATATTTTGTATACTGAAATAGAGAACTCTGACATATAATGTAAACTGAAAGAGACAACTCTGACATATAATGTAAACTGAAATAGACAACACTAACATATAAGTTTTACTGAAATAGAGAACACTGACATATAATGTATGCTGAAATAGGGAACACTGACATATAATTGATTATGAAATAGAGAACGTTGACATATAATTATAAATGTATACTGAAATAAAGAACACTGACATATAATGGATACTGAAATAGAGAACACTGACATATAATGTATACTGAAAAACAGAACTCTGACATATAATGTATACTGAAATAGAGAACCCTGACATAAAAGTTTTACTGAAATAAAGAACACTGACATATTATGTATACTGAAATATGAAACAGTACCTACATATAAATTTTACTAAAATAGAAAACTCTGACATGTAAGTTTTACTAAAATAAAGAACACTGACCCATTATGTATAATTGTAGAACCTTACCATAAATGACATATGTTTAACGGAATCATAGATGGGTCCTTACCATACATGCTACATGTCTAACTGAACCATTGAACATCACCATACATGTCATATGTCATATGTTTAACTGAATCATAAAACTTCACTATACTTGCCTTATGTTTAACTAAATCAGAAAACCTCACCATAGAAGAGAGAATGGAAACTGTGAATGTGTCAAAGTGACAACAACTAAAGAGCAGAAGGAGGGTCTTCAATGCAGTGAGAAAATAGCACACATGAAGGCAGGCTTCAGCTGGCCTTAAACATGTTAAACATTTATGTACAGATGAAACTAAGCAAAATGACAATGATAAACAAAAAAAGGACTACTAGCAGTTCTCCAGACATGCCAGACTTCAATTAAACTGATCTGGAACATACCTGCCAAGTTTTCAAAATCTCCATCATGTCCATGGGGGATTTCAAGAGCGAGATGACTAAATGCTTCTCTTATATTGTCATAAGACTTTCTAATCTACTACTATATTGTTTGAATGAGTATGCATGTGCTTAAATCCCCTTTTAACTCATTTGAATGCCTGTTTTCAGGTGTTAAATTTGTATAATAACGAATTTCAAAATTCAGGTCAACACCTCTCATGGGGGAAATCCCCCATAAAGCGTGAATGTTGGCAGGTCTGCTGGAATAGAGAACTTTACCATAGGTTTTACTGGAATTGATAACCTAACCATAAGTTTTACTGGAATAGAGAACTTTACTACAGGTTTTACTGGAATGGTAAACCTCACCATAAGTTTTACTGTAATACATGTAGATAATCTTACATGTACCATAAGTTTTTTCAGACATATAGTCCATTTCGTATGAAGTAGAAAATCTCACCAATATTGTGTGTACAAACTTGTTTCATCATCATCATGATCATTCAGTGCATAATTTATAGATAAACAACAGATTAATAAATTCTTTAGACATTGTCATGATTGTCATAAATAATAACCCGAGAATATACAGAAGATTTTTGGCCCTTAGTATGTACCCTTTTGTTGTTTTAAAGCTAAACATATGGAAATTTTATACATAAAAAAAATTGGCAGCCTTTCCCATTGTACTCCTATATTGATAATTCATTTCTTAATAGAGGATTATTGCATGCGGTGCTAGTAATGATTTCCCTAAAACAAGTATAGATCAAGATATTGGTTCAAACAAGAAAAATTTTGACTTATTCAAGTACACCTTCTACATGTTCTAGGGTGTGCTCCACTTTCATGACTCGGCACAAGGATTTTTTTATTATACATGTATATAGAGGTTGTTTAGGACTTTTTGTAAACAATAAACGATAGCACATCATGTGTCACGGAATAGAAGTTCCTTCATAATATAAATTCCAAGTGGAAACAATATTCTGGAATATTATTTCCACTGGAATAAATATTACAGTAAATGTTCCTAACGGAATAAATGGTATAGAATATTTGTTCCAACAGGAACAGATATTATGACATTGTTTATAACAAAGTTTCCAGTGGAACTTCTGTTAGGCGGAACAAATATACGTTGACAACTTTTATTCTGTATTTTTTCTGTTTTGATATTGCAGCACTTTCATGAAAATTTCTGCTTAATTTCTTTAATACACAAGATTACTGAAGGGGTCATAAACCACAAGTATACACATGATACATGTATGTATTTTTCAGAGATGGATTTAGGGGTGGACCAGGGGGTCAGGGAATATTTTTTTTAATTGGAAAAAATTTGGTTTTGATTATTCAGAGAATCACTGAAGCATGACTGGAGCGGGCCCCCTCTTATGGCAGTCAGTGCCCCCCCCCCCCCCCCCTCCTTTTTATGAAAATTTCTGGATCTGCCGCTGAAAGCGAAAATGTTTACATCAAAACATAGATATGGTTTTTTGATTGAAAACTTTGATCGAGTAAAGAGTACTTTACAGTTAAAATCTGCGTATCAGTCTCTGATTTTATCCTAAAATTATGCATTGAATGATAATGCATCATATGTGATAAAATAACAGTTTGGACACGTGTGTTGTTAGTCAATAAAATATATCAAATTTTACCTTTTAAAGACAATTAAATCCTGGTATTTAGATTTTTCATGAAACAACAATTCTTCCACTTGGAGTGACATACATTGTCCTGGCCATAGTTCACTTAACTCACTAAACCACCCGTCTTTAATTAAATCCATCGGTAATCAGCTGATAAGCCGAGAAACGGAAACTGTTAATTTCGGAGTCTCTCTTGGATTTTCCAGGTAGATGAAAACTGCAGAGGATTCCAGAAAATGGCCTCCTCAGACGAACCCTTGCCAAAATTCCATGAAAGAGTTGGATCGCTTGTTCAACTGAGTAATGAGAACAGGACAGCTCAAAGAAACCATCCAGCTCAAGAATTCAATAATGGTGTCGCTATTAGCAGAGACCCATTAAAAGAAGACCAATTATTTGAAGTCAAAATAGACAAAAAGGTGGTCCATGTCTCTGCATGTCTTATAAGTTTTCTTAGTTGTCAGCGTTCTCCACAGTCCCTTGAACATTTTTCGACCAATATCAGTCTTACACTGGTGCAACATATGTGTGCTAACATTTAAAATCAAAACTTGAACATACCCACAAACATTTTGACTGAGCACTTTCCATGTACAATACATGATCTTTCAACAGACCACTTTCTAGTGAATTATAGTTATCTCGTACCTTTGTAAACTCGTACCAATGTCAACTCGTACCACTAAAAAAAAACTCGTACCAATGCTAACTCGTACCACGGTAAATTCATACCATTGTAAACTCGTACCAATTTATTTAAATGCATTCAAATGGTGTTTAATGATGAATATATACTATAATTTCACTCAATACCTCTTAAGTCTGTAAAATGTATATAATTTGAAATTACAATGACCAATTTGTAGCTAATTTTCCTTGTCTAATTGGATAGAGAAAACCATGGCAAATTGGCTTTGTTGTCTCCCTTGAATAGACTCTTTTTTAAACTTTTACTGACAACTATTTGATTTAATTTTTAATCATTCCAAATCAGTAACATTGAATAGATTTGGGTATATTTCTATTGTTTCTAAAAGGAATTTTATTTAATGAAAGAATTTATTTATTGTGTTTTAAAGGTTTAAAATTGTTTATGACCAACAGTTAGTAAGTATTAAATTTATTTTTATACAATATTCAGCACATATTTCCACTGTGTATCATCGCCACCGGAAATTGGGTACTAACGAAGCGGAGAGAAATGGAAAAAAAGTAAACAATGTAAGAATTCATTCAATTTAAAGCATTTCGACTGATTTAACGAGGGTACCGCTTAAGAAATGATTTTCTGATATATAATTCTTTAAATTATTAGGCCAATAAGTACAAAATTATGACAAGATTTTGTGTTATACTTCAAAACTTGCCACTTAGTACCCGGAAATTTTGAGGTCGATTGTCCTCTGTCGCCCCATTGGCAAGATATTCAACTGTTTTTCATTATTTTTCCAGACACACTTTTAGATTATTATAGTGTGGCATCATATTTACTGAAATTAGTTGTCAAAAAGATGTTTTTTAAAGAATATAGACCATAAAAAATAAAGTCTAGGGTACGGCAACTTGCTCGTGTTGACAAATTTACTGTATGGCAACTTGTTTTCAACTGTATGGCAACTTGCTAATTTTAAAATATGTATTTGCCGTCCTTTTAAAGAAAATAAAGTATTAAGTTCAAATATCTAATTATGCATTTGATAAAAATACAATTCGATTGACAGCATTTAAGATTTATATACAATATAAGGTTGAACACAGTCCTATTACATCTTTTACATATCCGATGTATACAATATGAATACGGCATATACAAAAGCTGGCAAATGTTGCAACTTTCTGGAAAGATATGTCACTGTTTCACTGACCTGTTTTATGCCCCTGACGTTATATGTGTCTGTCCCTGGTCAGGAACATGTAATATATAGCGGCTGTCGTAGGTTGCTGTCTGACATTTGTTCATCATTTTGTTATAAATCAGGCAATTTTGATACCGGATATGGGTTTTGTTCATTGTGAAGTGTATAATGACCAATAGTTGGATAAATCCATTTCATTTGGACTTTGTTGGATAGTCCTCTCATTGAAAATCATTCCACATTTCCTTATTCAATTAATGTTCTTGTCTAATTTGTAAAAGGTAGATACAGCCTATATATTAAAATAAAGAACATTAATTTTCTAGGAAATGAACAAGCTCGGTGGCTAACACTGTTTGAATTTTTAAAAATATTAACCTTATATTAATCATTTTTGGAAAGAATGGAAAAAAATCCGATACAAGGGATACAAATCCCGCTGTGACTACGGCATAAACTATATAAAAACTTTCTACTTGAGAATAAAGATGACCTTGTATGTATTTTTTGTTGTTGTCATTTTAATGCTATACTTATTAATACAATACACAAAAGCTAGCACCTTCGACTTGTAAGTTAAAGAAATATAATCAAATAACATCTAATAAGGACCGTTGAAATATTTTTTAATTCCTGATGATGCATACTCATAAAAGTCTTTTGGAAAAATCCACAAAAATTTAAATGTTGATTTTATAGCTTTCTTTTATTCATTTGCCCTCGTAAACAGTTTTGTTAAAATACCGAAATCGGTAAATTCTTATCGTGAAAGAATAAGTCGGGTACACCTTTTTACATTCAGGCGTACTTTAGTTGCACTTTTTTCTTCTTATTAAGAAAAATGATTTTAATTTAAGCATCTATCTAAAAATTAGATTATTTATACACACACACAAAAATAGGGCTAACTGTTGATTTTGAAACACTATGAATTCACATTTATATTCAACCAAATAGATAGGCCGAGATCCATACATTTATAAGTTTCAAAACAGAGAAGGTGTGTTTGAAAACAAATAATCACGTGCTGCTACATGTATATCTTTTAAAGCAAATGCAAGTCTTACTTGTATTAATTATATAATTTTTATTGGCACAATATCACATTACAATTTACTGAGAAATATTATACATAGTAATCATGAAAATGTACTACAATGAGAATTCGGACGAATACACTCCTTCTCACTACCCCTCCATCTACCCCTTTAAGTTTAGGCCAAACAGCCTTAGCAACCGTGTTTTATTCTTTTTTCCCTGTAAATAAAAAGATTGATTGAATTTACTTAAACTAAAAAAAAATACAATCTTAATTTCAATAAGATTAATTCGAAACACAATTTATGATTTATTTCTTCTAATTTTCAATGAAAAAAAGATATTTTCTTCACTTTTCTTTTAACAAATTATTCGTTTCAGAAATTAAAAAAATAAACAATGTATTTAACCCAGCACATTCTTAAAGTGTCTATCCGAAATCACGAGCCTGTACATGTAGTTCGGTGGTTGTCGTTGGTTCATCTCTATCGTATTTGTTGTTTTTCGTACATTGTTTTGTCATGAGTTAGGCCGTTAGTTTTCTTGTTGAATCCTTCCATATTTTTCATGTCGGGGCTTTTTATAGCCGACTATAAGGTACGTGTTTTCGTTGTTGAAGGCCGGACGAGAGCATATAATTGCTTAGTACATACACTTTATTTGATCCTGTTGATTAGTTATCTTATTTGCAATCATGCCACATCTCCACTGTTTATATTAAAAAAAAAAACATTCTTTCAAGCACCAAGGAAAGATGAATGGTCGTTTTTTTTTTAATTTAATTTACAAAATTTCACTCTGACAACAAATAAGACAACAGTTGTTAGTAGTGTAACGATATATGAATGTCTTTATGATAATATGATCGAAAACAAAAACTTTTTGTCTTTAAAACCACAAAGTCGAATAGAGGTACGCAACGACGACTTCTGAACAAAATTAACGGCATACATTGTATAATATTTGATATGTAGTTTATTTTGTATATTTATAAGCCGGTAAAGCTTTGATATGGACAAAATATCGTCACTTGATATCATCTTAACAGTGATTAATTTCATCTTTAAATTAGAATATATTGCAAGACGCCGTACAGACAAAAGTTGTTATTTTGCAATTCGCCGTACAACGTTCTGCAATTCGCCGTACAATAAACAAACAATGTTTTGATCCATATTCTTTAAAAAACATCTTTTTTACAACAAATCTCAGTAAATATAATGTCACATTATCATAATCTAAGAACGTGTCTGGAAAAATAATGAAAAACAGTTGAATATCTTGCCAATGGGGCGACAGAGGACGATCGACCTCAAAATTTTCGGGTACTAAGTGGCAAGTTTTGGAGTATAACACAAAATATTGTCATAATTTTGTACTTATCGGCCTAATAATTTAAGAATTATATATCAGAAAATCATTTCTTAAGCGGTACCCTCGTCAAATCAGTAGAAATGCTTTAAATTGAATGAATTCTTACCTTGTTTACTTTTTTTTCCCATTTCTCTCCGCTTCGTTGGTACCCAATTTCCGGTGGCGATGATACACAGTGATTTCAGTCTATTGCTGAGTGACAGCCCAGGCAGCCCAGGCTTGTAATATTGCTCTCGGGCCTGTAAAAATATCTACAAGCCAACAGAATCTAACTAAAAATTTTCAAAAATTGAGCTCCCGGCCTGTAGATTTAGCAGTTCATCGTGAAGACTGAATTTTAGCAGAATATGACCATGCTAATATGATTAAACAAGTTGATTAGTTAATAATCAACCAATAATCACACAATCAAAGGAATTTAATATATTTATTAGCACGGTAATTAAGAAATTACATTCGTATTTTTGTCTAAGTTTTCATTAAAATCTGGTATAAAATTCAAAGATATTTTAATTTTTTGTATAAAGCTTAAAAAAAAATAATCATAAAACATTCGTATTTTTGTCTAAGTTTTCATTAAAATCTAGTATAAAATTCAAGTAATTCAACTTTTTTTATTTAGTTTACCAAAAAAAAAAATCATAAAACATTTGTATTTTTGAATATATTTTTAATGGTACGAGTTTGCAGTGGTACGAGTTCTGATTGGTACGACTTCCCAGTGGTACGAGTTTACGTTGGTACGAGTTAACTTTTTTGGTACGAGTTTACGTGGTACGAGTTTACAATGGTACGAGTTAACTTACTTCCCTTTCTAGTAATGCCATTCACCTGAAAAGTTTGTGTGCTAATATGATGTAATTTACCAGATAGAGGGGACTGCCTGTATACCTGCACTATTAAAGTTCATCAAGTGTCTTCATGATCGTCATCATACAGGATAAACTAGAAATATTGTTTGTTCCATAGGTACTTAATCACAATTCCCTAATGACAGAAGTGCTGATTATCAATTATAAGAATTTAATTTGCCGAATAGATCGTGCAATATAGCATCATATTTTTTCTACCGCTCGCTCAACATGGGTAAGAAGTGAAGATTCCCTTAAACGCACAAATAATGTTCATTAAAACCAAAGTTTTTGATGGAAATGCATTATGAACTAGAAGTGGTCTATTGGTGCTTTTTCCTGAAAAAATTTGATGTCACAAATCAAATATCTTAATGTGACATTGCCCATGAAGTGTTTTTGTAACAGTGGTTTGATTCCGCCAGTGTACTTTATCCGGAGGAAGAAAATCCCCAGTGATTTTTATCCACCAACAAAAAATCACTAGGGTTTTCTATCCGGGTCCAGTGTAAAACATCCACCAGTCATTATAAGGTTCTAAAAAGTTTGTTTTTGAAGGGGAAATATATATAAAATGTGGCTTAATAGTTTTTAGTGTATTTAAAAATTGCATAGCTGATTTATGTAAAAAGTGGAGAGTTTTCATACAAGGAATGTTCACGCTAGTGTTTTTGAACCAGGAATGATTACACTAGTGATTTGTACCGGAATGATTGCACTAGTTATTTTATACCCGGCGGGATTAATTACACTAGTGCTTTAGATCCATTCATTGATCAAGTGATTGGTACTCATTTTGAACACACGATAACACAATAATGCTTATTAACGAATGAGATTTAAATAATTTTTCTATGCAAATCTATAAAATCATATGCTTTTAAATTGTCACTAATTGTAATATTTATATTTATTGGATTGCCGAAGTTTTTTCTATGTATTTTCTTTTCGGTCGAATTGGATATTAAATCATATATCTTCTTTGTCAATATCAAAAGATGCTTCTGTAATTGGAGCTTCATGTAAGAACAAATCTGCTCTTTAAATTTGGTTTTTATCAAGTTCAATGTCCTGATCATTGATAAAGTATTTTGAGTTATAAAAATATCCTCCTCATCATCATCAATATTATTTACTAGATTGACTCAGATTAATTAAACTGGTTCCTTGAAAATCATTTTAATTTTAACCCATTTATTTATGTAAACAATAAACCGGTCTAATATAAACAAAACAACGATATCAAGATCGACGCTTTCACACTATTTACATCCAATATTCTCTAGTGAAAAACAGTTACCCGGAATAAACACACGGCGGAATGAAAGTACGCTTACATTTTCACCCAAGTGACCAAAGGTCATGTAGGTCAACAGGGGCAGTTCATTCATAAAATCTAAATTTGAATCTCATGTATTTAAACTGCCAGTGTTTTCCCTATATAGAGACAAACCGATCTAATTATCATGGATTTCACAAAAGCCTTTGATTAAGTTCCACACAACCGACTGCTATACAAAGTTAAATTTTATCAGAAGAAGCTACATATTGGATAAAATCTTTTCTATCAAAGAGAACACAAACAGTTATACTAGTGCAACCGGAATGCATGATTCTATTGCAAAATCACTTATGTCTCCACCTGGACTCGAACACGGGACATCTGTGTTACAAGGCAGAACATATACCGACTGAGCTAAAGAAGTACTTCCTTAGCTCAACCGCTTACGGCTGACAAAGTATCTACCACATTTTTTTAAGGGAAGCAATCCCGTCACACTAGAAAACCATTCATCTGTCAAAATACCAGTTACATCTGGTGTTCCTCAGGGCACTGTATAAGGTCCAATACTATTTTCATATATACATTAATGACTTTTATACCTAACTATATACATCACAGTCAAATCAGGCACTTTGCGGATGACTGTATCATTTACGGACAGATAAAATCAACATCAGATTGCCTAAAACTCCAAGAAGACCTAGAAGGGATAATTCCTGTTTGACAAAAATATGAATCAGGCCTTGGATACATGTATCATGTGTATATTGGTCAGGGACATCACTCCAACAGTTTTTACATAATTGACCTGTAGGCAGTATATGAGACAAGATGGAGACCAAACAGTTGGTCATTATGCTTTTGCAGGCACATGCCTTTTTGTCTCAAATGCGCCTTAAGTTGCATAATGTGAACTTTCTATTTCAAGGTTAGAATTCATTATTTTAAGGTGTTCATGTCCCCTCTGGCAGGTTTCATCATACATTTACGTAGATAATTCGATAATATTAATTTATGGGATATTTGTAGTATAACCATTATCTTTCAACATGAATCAACCATGAGCAGTAAAGCAGGCGAAACTTTTCAGCATGTGCACTGTTGTTTTCTATTTATGGCACATTTTGGTGCCCTTATTCATGTTATTAGATTTTTGCACATTTTTGGTTTCATTTTACATCGAAGTTGCACAATTTTTGTGTGCTTGAGGGGGAAAAATATTTTGAACAGAAACACAACCAACAGAACACTGAGGTCTAGGAATCAACAAAATGATATCACATAAAAAGATATATATGTATGTAATGTATACAGTTGCATTTTGTGAGAAGGAGTATTTTAAGTACATGTACTAGTCTAACATCGTAATTTTGGGAAACATTTTTTGATTGTTTCAGGTGAATTCATGGAGTGGATCTATAGAAATTGGAGTGACTACCTGTGATCCAAATAACCTGAATTTTCCCATTAGTGCAACAGGTTTCAGAGAGGGCACATGGGTTATGTCTGGCAGTTCTATACTTAAGGATGGACATTCTATAACGGAGGAGTATGGTGCAGGTAAGTTTGTATACAGGGGTCACACTACTTCAGAATCATAGAGAGAAGTGACTTCTCTTTTTGAAACTGATAGGGAGATGTGGTGAGGCTTGAAAGAGAAGTGCTTGTTTGCTCTTGGCGCTACAATTTCGTGTTTTTGTCGAGCCTGCGACTTTTGTCGCAGAAAGCTAGACATAGGGATAGTGATCCGGCGGTGGCGTTAGCTAACTTCTTAAAAGCTTTATATTTTAGAAGGTGGAAGATCTGAATGCTTCATACTTTGTATATGGATGCCTCATGTTACGAAGTTTCCGTCAGTCACAAGTCCAATGTCCTTGACCTCATTTTCATGGTTCAGTGACTACTTGAAAAAAAAGTTAAGATTTTTTTTGAAATGTTAAATTCTCTCTTATTATAAGTAATAGGATAACTATATTTGGTATGTGCATACCTTGCAAGGTCCTCATGCCCGTCAGACAGTTTTCACTTGACCTCCACCTCATTTCATGGATCAGTGAACAAGGTTAAGTTTTGGTGGTCAAGTCCATATCTCAGATACTATAAGCAATAGGTCTAGTATATTCGGTGTATGGAAGGACTGTAAGGTGTACATGTCCAACTGGCAGGTGTCATCTGACCTTGCCCTCTTTTTCATGGTTCAGTGGTTATAGTTAAGTTTTTGTGTTTTGGTCTGTTTTTCTTATACTGTATGCAATAGGTCTACTATATTTTGTGTATGGAATGATTGTAAGGTGTACATGTCTAGCTGGCAGGTGTCATCTGACCTTGACCTCATTTTCATGGTTCAGTGGTCAAAGTTAAGTTTTTGAGTTTTGGTCTTTTTTCTAATACTATATGCAATAGTTCAGCTATATTTGGTGTATGGAAATATTTTATGATCTATATGTCAGTCACGCAGGTTTTATTTGACCTTGACCTCATTTTCAAGGTTCATGAATTGCTCAGTGTTAAGTTTTTGTGTTTTAGTCCGTTTTTTCTTAAGCTATAAGCAATAGGTCAACTATATTTGTTGAATGGAAGAATTGTTAGCTGTTCATGCCTGCCTAGCATGGTTCATCTGACCTTGACCTCATTTTCATTGTTCATTGGTCAATGTTTAGTTTACTTGGTTAATGTTAAGTTTATGTGACAGTTGTAATAAAGCTTTATATTTAGGACTATCAACATAATATCAATGATTAGTAAAGAAGGCGAGACATTTCAGTGTGTGCACTCTTGTTACTATGATATAAAGGGCCATAGGTACCCTTTTTATTTCATTTTTTATGCCCCCGCAGTAGCGGTGGGGGCATTAAGTTTTACCCTTGTCCGTCTGTACGTACTTACAGTTTTGGGACGTACGCACGTCCCAAAATTGGTTTCCGTTCTCTAACTTGAGTTTGCCTCAACCAAATGTTGTGAAACGTATACACAATGCTTATTACTACAAAACACAGATCAAGTTTGAATTTTGGTGGAGTCTCTTTAACCGTTCTAGAGTTATGCCCCTTTATAAATGGAAAAATTGCAAAAGTTTTAGTTTCCGTTCTCTAACTTAAGTTTGCCTCAACCAAATGTTATGAAACTTATACACAATGCTTATTACCACAAAACACAGATCAAGTTTGAATTTTGGTTGCTTCTTTTTAACCGTTCTAGAGTTATGCCCCTTTCTAAATGGAAAAATTGCAAAAGTTTTAGTTTCAGTTCTCTAACTTGTTTGCCTCAACCAAATGTTATGAAACTTATACACAATGCTTATTACCACAAAACACAGATCAAGTTTGGATTTTGGTGGAGTCACTTTAATCGTTCTAGAGTAATGCCCCTTTATAAATGGAATTTTTTTTATTTTCTTCTAAATATCAAGTAATTTTTAAAATTGGAGTTATCTTCCTTTGTCCATGATTATAGTTGAATCAACTAAAATCAATGCTTTATACAATGCAATGTTTAATTTTGACTTCCACTGATAAAACACAGATCAAGTTGAATTTGGGTAGTGTCACTTTAACCATTATTGAGTTATGCCCCTTTATAAATCGAAAGATTGCAAAATGTTTAGTTTCCATTCTGTAACCTAAGTTTGCCCCAACCAAACATTATGAAACCTAAGCACAATATTCATTACCACAAAACTAAGATCAAGTACAAATTTTTTGTTTCCGTTTTCTAACTTTAGTTTGATTCAACCAAATGTTATGAAACTTATACACAATGCTTATTACTACATAATACAGATTAAGTACGAAATTTGGTGGCGACACTTTTACCATTCTTGAGTTATGTCCCTTTGTAAACATAAAAATTGCTGAATTTTTCGTTTCCGTTCTCTAACTTTAGTTTGTCTCAACCAAATGTTATAAAACTTATACACAACCGTTCTAGAGTTATGCGTGTTTACAAATAGAAAAATTGCTGAATTTTTAGTTTCTGTTCTCTGCTTAAGTAAGCCTCAACCAAATGTTATGAGACTTACACACAATGCTTATTACCACAAAACTCAGATCAAGTTCAAATTTGGGTAGCGTCACTTTTACCGTTCTTCATTTATATCCCTTTATAACTATATGATATGCAAGCGGGGGCATCATCTGTGTCCACATGTGGACACTATCCACATTTATTTTATATTGTTCAATTTATACCTGAGTATACACTTAAGGTAACAGTTGTTTCAGTTTGTCTTAAATAATCACTGATTTATACAGAATTATATTTTCCCTCTTTTAAGAAACTACTAACTAAATATCTAGCACTAAAAAGAACTTTTTTTATATCAAAAAGGAAAAGAAAGTATACTAGTCCCAGCATATTTTAATTTGAATTCAATTAAAAAACTATTCTGTTTATCATGTTTATGAAATTCATTGTTTCACATTAAACATGTTAAAAAGATATATATAAATTAAACATGTTAAAAAGATATATATAAATTAAACATGTTAAAAAGATATATATAAATTAAACAAAGTTAAGCAACTTTAATCCATAAATTGAAACAATGCATTTACATGGAAATATTAACATTAAGCAAGGAGTACATGGAAGTATTTACATTAAGCAAGGAGATCTAACCAAAAGTGTTCATGTGCGTGTGGAATGCGTAATTTTTTTCCTATTTGGGATCATTTTTCTTCTGTCAGATGTGCCATTTGTGCTTCCATAGTTATTATCGTAAGAATACGGATTTCGATCATATCTTTTCCGCTTCTGATGAATCCTGCCTCCGATCCATAGTTCGAACAAATATTTCAATGGCAGACGAAGAAAAATTTACAAAAATAAACGATGTTTGACAAGGGATTTGGAAAGGAATACGACACTTTTAATGAAATAAAGGGATGAAACATCAACTATAGTCAATTTTCATCAGATTCTAACAAAGTGAAAGAAAATACTTCTTATAAAGTTGTCTGTTTGAAATAACATACAACCAATCTGTAAAGTCAATGCTTTCACTGCTTTTCTAAAGAATTAAATTGTTTATGTCTTTGAATTTCTTTACTTATAAATGAAAAATTGCTGATTCATTGACTTGGTAAAAATTGAAAATTCCTGATGACAAAAGCGACTACACCAGGGCGCCTTGATATCGCTTTTGATGTTTGGGCAAAGTGAAGTGACGGACGGAAAAGTCGCCTGCTAGCATGAGCCCTGTGTATACTGTATATGTACTTATTTTCACGGTGTATTTATTTTCACGAATTTCGCGGTAGGTATAATTTCGCGAAAATAAATACACGCGAATTCAAATACAGATTTCATATATATAAAAATATAAAACCATTGAATAAATATTACTGGAATTTATAACTGTACATGCATATTCACCTTGTTGGCCTAAGATAACCTCAACTGAACTGTGAAACTGTAAAACAACACCAGTTATCTTTTCAGAAATTCAATTAAGAATAATAAAGAACAAAAGGTGAAAAATAATAGCCCAAGCTAATTATGACAGGTATATTAAGTAATTAACGACTTAATCGGATTACTAATATTATACATCTATCAAAACAGACGACTGATTTGAAGATTAAATAATCTTTGTTTATTTTGTTTCATATCGTTACACAAATAAAGATATAATTCAGGAAAATTTTAAGAATTATATAAAGTCCGTTTTTTATGTTCTGAAATTTTAGGAAATACTGCGAAATTAAATACACGCGAATTCATCGACAATACCAAAACACTGCAAAATCGTGAAAATAAGTACACGCGAAAAAAAGTACATATACAGTATTTGGGTTTTTTCTGGCAACTTTATAGTTAAAGATTGGAATTTAATAAGCATTATAACAGACGACAATGGACATGTAAGTCGGTATGCATAGGTTATGTCTGGCAGTCGTATACTTAAATATCTTAAAGATGGGCATTTTCTGATAGAGGAGTTAGTGATGGGTAATTTGGTGTATATTTAGGTTACCGTATGTCTAAAAGTTCGGCATTGAAGGTTGCCATTTACTAACAGATAAATTTTATGAGTTATTTTTAGATTTAGTCCAGCTATCAGAGGGGATACAGTTAGTGTCGAGAGAAATTATGGTTCTTTCATTTATTTTCAGATTTATAACAGTAATCAGAGTGTGATACAGTTGATGTTATAAAGAGAGAGTTATGGTTCTTTGATATATTTAGACCAGTTATTGGAAGGGACACAGTTGTTAGTATAGAGAGAGTTATGGTTCTTTGATATATTCTCAGATTTAGACCAGTTATCAGAGGAGGATACAGTTGATGTTATAGAGAGAGAAATAGAGAGTTCTTTGATATATTTTCAGATGTAGACCAGTTATCAGAGGGGGATACAGTTGGTGTTAATAGAGAGAGTTATGGTTCTTTGATATGTTTTCCTGATTTAGACCAGTTATCAGATGGGGGATACAGTTGGTGTTAATAGAGAGAGTTATGGTTCTTTGATATATTTTCAGATTTAGATCATTTATCAGAGGGGGATACATTTGATGTTATGGAGAGAGAGTTATGGTTCTTTGATATATTTTCAGATTTAGACCAGTTATCAGAGGGGGATACAGTTGGTGTTAATAGAGAGAGTTATGGTTCTTTGATATGTTTTCAGATTTAGACCAGTTATCAGAGGGTGACACAGTTGGCGTTATGGTGAACTGGAAGAGAGAGTTAAGATTCTTTGTAAATGGTGTTGATCAAGGAATAGCTGCTTCAGACATAAATTCTAAAGTTTATGCTGTTGTAGACATGTATGGAAAATGTGCCCAGGTTTCTATAATTAGACCCGGCTCTGTACATAGAACAGATAATAGTGAGTAATTCTTTTCATCACATTTCACTGAAAATTAAAGTTTATCATTATCAGCCAGTATAGTGGTTTGGTCATTTAGTTTATCTCAAGGATCCGGAAATTTTTCCACACAATTTCGGTCATTTTGAGATGATTGAAAAGTTGGTGCCCCTTTCCAAATTGTTGATGTCAACTTGACTAGATTCATAGCATCAACGAACTTGTATTGCTGTTTCATCGCATTTACTAAGTAAATGTCTTACCATTACCATGAAGAACAGTTTAGGGAAGGCAATAGTTTAAAACTGAAATGATTTTAATGACTCAAAATGGTAAATCTCTCAGACATTGCCTCTTGCTTACGTTTCTTTCGATTTGACAAAAGTTAAAACCGGAGGTTTGCGATAAAGTTAAAGTACGAATAATTCCGGATTAATTTCCGGGATTTGTTTTGTTTATCAAATTGACAGGAAATCACCGGCTTTTTATGGCTTTTTTATTTTATTACCTTTACAAGTGTTTGAATGTAACAGACAATAGTTGCACTCGTTTAATTTAGCATGAAATCAATTTGCATTTTACGATTAAATATTAAATTTGCTGAAGACAATTTCACGCATGCGTATTATATAGTAAATAAAGCACATGAAAAAATACTTTTTTCTCCGTAAATTTAGGTTAAATTTTTAAATCAGATTTGATGATTGTCTTTGCTGAAAAGTAATTAAATAATGAATACACTTGTCAGGGAATTTCAATTTTTGTTAAGATATCATTCTGAGCTTGTGATCATTGTCAGGTGTGAATTAAAACCACAGGTAAAAAGTGATTAGCGATCATTAGCCAATGTTTCCGGAGGCATTGATATAGATATTAGGAGGGCCCTCAGGATTATCAAACTACTGGAGTGGCAGTTTTATTACAGGAAAGGGATTATAAACAAAAACAAGTGATCACAACTTACACAAGACAGTGCAAAATGGCGATTAAGAAATCCGATTTCAAACATTGAGTCAATGAAATGACCGAAATTACTTCTTTAAAAAAATAAAATTTGTCCTAAATCCCAATTACTCGTTTAGGACAAATAGTTTCATCTTAGGACATGACTGGCATATATGACCGTTTCCGGACCCTTGGTTTATCTTCATATGTCTTAAAATTCTTAGTGGCTTGAGTGCTCCTGTACAATGTATAGAACAATGCCATACTAGACAGATAGACCACCATGAGCTATATTTTATGTTTGATTGAATTCTTTTAAAGCTTTGCATTTAGGTTCATTTACAATTACAACTATTATTTCACAGTTAGCCAATCATTTGTTATAGAAATTACCTCTAGTGATGTTGCCATTTGTTATAGAAATTACCTCTAGTGATGTTGCCAGTCAGATAGCCAATGAATTCCTGACACAAACTGTGTAACAATTATCCAATCAATTGGCTTTCAGGTATTATCCTCCAATGATTTTGACACAAATTGTGTGACAATTTACCAATCAATTCTGTTTCAGATATCACCTCCAATGATGTTGCCAGTCAGATAGCCAATGAATTCCTGACACAATTATCCAATCAGATTGTCAATGATTTAACAAGAAGTGCAGATATTTTATCAACATCCAATACTTCCAATGCAGAAACTTCACCTTCAAATGATATGTTGACATTCCATCAAAAGTGTGGTAGTCTTATTAAATTAACCAATGAAATGAGAACAGCAGAGAGAAAACGCCCCCTAGATGAGTTTAATAATGGAGTTGTCATGACAAACAGACCTTTGAAAAATGATGAAATGTTTGAAGTATGTTGTACTATATTACCCAATGTAAAAATAAGGACATGTGGTATGTTTGCCAATGAGACAACTATCCACCAGAGTTCAAATGAAGTGGATGTAAGCAATTATAAGCAACCACACAGCCTTCAACAATGAAAACACTGAACACTCAAGTTTAGGAGGAAAACAGCAGTTAACTACAAAAGTGTAGTATTGGTTTGACTAGGTGGATGGTTTAAACTCACACAGTCCTGTAATGCCACACTTCACTACTGTAAAACTCATCAACATTTGCTTACAAAATAATTGGGTCAAACAACTTACTGTATTTTCCCTAAGTATAACTCTCACCATTCAAACAAAGATTATAATCAAAAGTATTGTCTTATGTACATGTGGGATTGCCACATTTTTGCTCAACTTGATTTGTTTATGATAATTTAACAGTACTTACCAGTATGGCACAAAATTAACAAACATGTTATTAAAAACTCACTGAGCAAAAAACCAATCAGATATTATTAAACAGTTATTTTAAGAGTTTTGTTTATCTGGCTTCTCTTATCTCTCCTTTCAGGAGAACAATTCACAACATGTACAACTGTCTCTATAGTATCATAATTTATGACTAATATGTTTTCATCCAATAATAACCATATAAAGATTTTTCCTTTTATCAAAATGTATATCATGATAATACCATCATGAATTTATACGACCATGAATTTATACCATCATGAGTTTATACCATCATGAGTTAAACATGTGGAATTACTACATCTGTTCAGCAGTATGAAATGTTGTGACATAGATTAAATTATTGAGAGAACATTTCTTTAAAATTAGGCTATCAAAAGTGTGAGTTATTTTTGCAAAACAAATCCTCTCACATTTTTGCAATTAAAAAAAATATTGCAAATATTTATGAATAAACAGTACACCTTGTTAGACTTTCTCCATACAATAATTGTGCACCTTGTTAGAATTACTCCATACAATAAACAGTACACCTTGTTAGACTTCCTCCATGCAATAAACAGTACAGCTTGTTAGACTTCCTCCATACACTAAACAGTACAGCTTGTTAGACTTCCTCCATACAATAAACAGTACAGCTTGTTAGACTTCCTCCATACAATAAACAGTACAGACTTCCTCCATACAATAAACAGTACAGCTTGTTAGACTTTCTCCATACAATAATTGTGCACCTTGTTAGACTTACTCCATACAATAAACAGTACACCTTGTTAGAATTTCTCCATACAATACTGAAGTTGGGAACCCTACGATTAACACACAACTAAAAGATAATAGTGGCACTGGCACTTAAAGCCTGTTAAGACATGGCCTCCTTTTGAAATTAACTTGTTCATTGGCTTACAGCCACAAGGTCCTACATTGAATCCTGTGGTACAAACATGCTCCGCAGTCCCTAAATAAAATAAAGTGTATTGAACATTACTACACAGTATTAGATTAACTTGTTCATTGGCTTACAACCAGATGCTCCTACATTGAATCCTGTGGTACAAACATGCTCTGCAGTCCTTAAGTAAAATAAAGTGTATTGAACATTACTAGGTACACAGTATTAGATTAACTTGTTCATTGGCTTACAGCCACATACTCCTACATTGAATCCTGTGGTACAAACATGCTCTGCAGTCCTTAAATAAAATAATGTGTATTGAACATTACTAAGCACAACTGCACAGTCTTAAATTAATCACTTAAAAACAATTACTTATTGTGCTTTCATTGTCTGACAACTGTTAGGATGGATAGGAGTTAAAAATACAACTAAAAACCTTTTGTATTGTTAGAATAATCTAGAGTTTTTATCAGTGTATAGATAATGATAAGCAATAGAAATTATATAATGGGAACTAATCTGTATGTCTGTATGTTTTAGATTCGTTTGGATATTTTGGTAGATAAGTGGTCAGGATCTATAGAGGTTGGAATTACAACACATAATCCTGGTACCTTGGACATTCCAGCAACTATGACAAATATGAGATCTGGTTAGTTTTTCTTCAAAGAGGGTAGATTATGTTTGACACAAAAAATTAAATGCTAAAAAGAATATGAGATTCTAACCTAGCATGATATTTATGCTTTAATAAATTGATCAATTACACAAATTTTAGGCACATTGAAGACTTGGGCATGAACGTTTACTACATAATAATTTGGTTACTGTTTGAGTAGTTTTCACACATCTCACAGGAAGTGTATTCTTTCTAACTATATCATTGTAACTATACCAAATCTCAATAAAGCTTTCGTACAATTCATACTTGTACTTGAAACTAATTGATCACACTATTTATTTGTAGTCATCAAAAGATTACTATTTCATCACATAATGCATTCCAAGCAAATGAAAGGTTACTATTTCATCACATAATATATTCAAAGCCAATGAAAGGTAACTAATTGATCACATGATGTATTCTCAGTCAATGAAAGGTTACTGTTTCATCACATGATGTATTCATAGCCAATGAAATGTTACTATTTGATTGCATGATAAATTTGCTGCCAATAAAACATTACTAATTCATTGCATTTTATTTTGTAGGTACTATTATGATGAGTGGTTGCGGGATTCTAACAAATGGGAAAGGTACAAGGAGAGAGTATGGACAATATAACTTGGATGAATTGGCCGTAAGTTAATTTTAGTTTTTATTGTTTGACCTGAACTGATTCCTTTGATGTGTTAACAACCTTACCCGGACAGAGTTAAACAGATGATGGACAATATAAAAATATTTTCTCTGTATACATATCTTTTTGAGTAGTTACATTGACATAATCCTTTAAAAATTTATGATGAAATAATTATTCTTAAGACAACTGCTGCCTTTATGCCATCAAGTATTTGCTATATTGATCACTAATTGGGTCTAAAGGTCATTTCTGCCAGATGATTGATGTCCTGATATTATGGAAGCCCCAGTGAACATTTCATTCTTCATTAGTTTCAAGATAAAGTCATAGTATGTTTTGATTTGTATTTGATATTGGAAATAATTTGATTGGATTGAACAATCCATAATCCCTGTATTAAAATGGATTAAAACTAAACCCCATCAATTGTTCATTTACCCCCCTAAAATGACCCAACATTTATGTGACAAAAATTGGTTCCGGGGTCAGTGATGCATAATTATGTGTGTCCAAAACTTAAGGGTCTAATTAAAATTATACCGTTTAGTCAAAACATGTAAGTAATGATTTGTAGAAAATTGAAAGGAATAAACTATTATCAAACTGAGACAATATATCATTGTATTTTAAAGTTAATACTTATAACAGGGTTTTGATATGACTGATAATTGTTATACTGGTGTAATATGTGATGAAGTTATTTTGTGATTTGCCATAATGCATCTAATCTTCTTACAAAGTAATTAAGAGTAGTAAATTGTCAAATCTAAACTGATGAAATCCTTTCCTGAAAATTTGCCATTGTTAATGAGAATAAAGAAACTGTCCTAAAGCACTTGTGGGCTTTGATTTTAGATTCTTGAAACACAAAAGATGTCATACATGAAATGAACCATTTATTGTGAAAAAATTGTAAAAAGAAAAAATTCTGTAAGCTTTTAAAGTTTATCTGTTATTACAATAAAACTTTTATGAAAAACAATATGAAATTGGTTCTTTGGCTAAAAATTAACACTTAATTCATTTTTCAGTTGAAAATACATATCTTAATTGCACAGTTCCATTGAAATAAAATTGAGAATGGAAATGGGGAATGTGTCAAAGAGACAACAACCCGACCAAAGAGCAGAAAACAGCCGAAGGCCACCAATGGGTCTTCAACACAACGATAAAATCCTGCACCCAAAGGCGAGCTTTAGCTGGCCCCTAAACAAAAATGTGTACTAGTTCAATGAAAATGGACGTCACACTAAACTCTAAAACATATAAATGAACTAAAATTAAAAAAACAAACAAGACTAACAAAGGCCAGAGGCTCCTGACTTGGGACAGGCGCAAAAATACGGCAGGGTCAAACATGTTTTGTGAAGTCTACTTCTATCATTATTCAATATACTTCTTGACTTTATTTCCAGGAGGGAGATAGAATCGGTTTGATGAGGAAATCTAATGGTCAGTTACATTATTACATCAATGGTCAGGACCAAGGTGTGGCCTCTAACGAGACCCCACAGACTATATGGGGTGTGGTTGATCTCTATGGGATGGCTGTCAAAGTAACCATTCTGGATAGAAATGATCCTAACTACCCTAACAACATACAAAACACAGTTACAAGGAATAACGTCTTTAGACATTTTCCTGATCTGTATGATGAAGAAGCATTGGAAGTTACTAATATTGGTAATTGATTATCTCCCTTGTATATTAACAGGGAATTATTTCTTGTATATTAGTAGGGATAATCTCCCTTTAATATTACAGGGCTTATCTCCCTTGCATATTAAGAGGGGATTTACTCTTTCATATTCAAGATGTCCCAGTGTTTTGGGTTTGATGCCTGAAGCGTTGCTATGATGTTAAACTGTATAATGGTAAATAGAAGTGTTGCTATCATGTCAAATTGTATGATGGTAAATAGAAGTGTTGCTATCATGTCAAACTGTATGATGGTAAATAGAAGCGTTGCTATCATGTCAAACTGTATAATGGTAAATAAAAGTGTTGCTATCATGTCAAACTGTATGATGGTAAATAGAAGCGTTGCTATCATGTCAAACTGTATAATGGTAAATAGAAGTGTTGCTATGATGTCAAACTGTATAATGGTAAATAGAAGAATAATGTTTCGTGAAATTTGTTGTTTTATGTAGTTTTTTTCACAAAATAATGACTATTTGGATAGATTTGTTTACTTTGCATCAGAATATAGATAACTGTACGTTTTACACAAGACAAGCTTCAAAGAAAATACACTTGTTTCTGAATTTGATTTTTTCACAACTTTCTGTTTTCCTTTACTTTGATTTAGACAAAGTTAGATTTGCTTTAAAACAGCATAGGTATATGATAGTGAATCATTTCTTGATAAAGATGGACATGTTTGGGCATTTTCAATATATGGACTTCATGGGACACATGTATGGGCATAACATCATGTAATATGTACATGTGTTGAGGATTGGACGACTTTGAGGGGAAGGACATGTTTTTGAGTGTTACATATAACTAAATTTTACTTATGCTACTTGCAGGTGGTGTCCATACTAAATCTTTGCTACTTATAAATGGAAAGTTCATGCCTTTACTTTTGTTGTTTAGGGCTGTTTTCAAACTAGTCTTAATTGTCATTATGATTGTATCTGAAGTAATAAATTTTGCTATTAATATTAAAATTGTTGAGATATATTTTTTAGATGAAGATGAATCTGACAGGCTACTATTTCATACATCCTGTGGGTCACATGCTACTGTTATGAGTGGACAAAGAACAGCTCTCAGACCAAAGTAAGTTTATTTTAAAAGGGGTAATATAGGAACAATTTAGTAAAACTTCATTAAATATATATATATATCTATCTAGCCACCGCATCAGAGTCATCAACTAGTTGTTGAAGTTTGTGATTAGGTAAGTGGGTAAATTTTAAACCAATATTTGTAAGTAAATGATATTTTGTATGCAGATCAATGTTAAACCAAACATTTGTATTGATTAGCACATTACTCTATGTAAATTCAAAAAAAGAAATTTTTTGGACCACACTAAATTTTCTGAAACAATCTTGAAATTTACAAAAGAAAGTTCTTGATCGTAATGTTGTTCAATTCCTCCAAAAATAAAAATGTAGGAAATAAGAAAAATGTGAATCCCATATAAGTAAACATTGAAAAAAACATTTGATTTTGCAGTGCAATGGATGATTTCAACAATGGGGTTGTACTTACAACCAGAACACTGAAACCAGATGAACTATTTGAGGTCAGACTTGATAAAATGATAGACAAATGGGCCGGGTCAGTAGAGATAGGGGTAACATTACATTGTGCTGAGGAGCTTGAGTTCCCATCCACAATGACAAATATCAGATCTGGGACCTGGATGATGACAGGGAACGGAGTGATGCATAATGGGACAACTGTTATTGATGAATATGGACAGAACCTTGATCGCTTAAAGGTATGATTGCTAAGGGGTAGCGTTTGGATGATGCTTATTGGTTATAAGACAGAATCATGAAATATTTTAAGGTTGAACGAGTGTTCCACATAGGTTGCACTCTGTTAATAATAATCTGTGTATTAAATTCATGTATCTTTTTAACACTTTTTAGGTAGGAGATGAATAGGAATATTTGGTGAAGAGCTGATGGGAGACTAAATTTCCATAATAACAGTATAATCTGTCCCACAAGGCTTTGATTTAATATTTTTTAGGCAGGAGATTGAGAAGAGCAAGGATAAGAGCTGATTGTACATTGAATTACTTTGTAAATGGTAAAACCTGCCCACAGCATCTACACTTCCTTGTTATAACATTTTTTAAGCAGGAGATCAAGAAGTCAGGAGAAGAGTTGGTGATAATCTGAATTTCTATGTGAACAGTATAACCTGTCCCACAACACTCACAGTGCTTTGGTTTATCATATTTTAGGTAGGAGATTCAATATGAGTCAGGAGAAGAGCTAATGGAACTGAATTTTTATGTAAATTGTATAACCTATCCGACAACATTCACAGTGCTTTAGTTTAATATATTTTAGGATGGAGAATTGAGAGCTAATGGGATTATGAATTTCTATGTTAACAGTATAAACTCTCCCACAGCACTCACAGTTATTTGATTTAACATATTTTAAATGGAAGGAACTTTGAATTTTTATGTAAATTATATAACCTTTCCCACAATGCTCACAGTTCTTTGATTTTGATTTAATATATTTTAGGTAGCAATACACAGATAGGGGTTTGGTTTCGCATTTTGGCCCTGGTGGATTTTTCAAATATGAAAGTTATTGTGTAATAAAATTAATTTTTAGACAGCTGAGTACTAATTTAGCCTTCAAAGGTGGTTTATAAGAACATCAAGATTATTTTTTACATGTTTTATGGGCTATTTTCTGTTTGACTCTCCGTATTTTCATAGCTAGACCGGTCATCGGTCCAGAAATTAATGTAATGTTTACAAACACTTTTTTTCTACACAAAGTTTTTGACGCAATTTTACAAAAAAATGAGACGAAAGACATATGATTTTCATTGGATTTATTGAAAGATATATGTAAACAGTTTCAGAAAAGGTATTACTTGAAGTGATTGAAATTCTACTTTTGGTCAAATTTTGGGGAAATATGTGACATCTTTTCCCCCCTTTTTGCTATATTTTATAACAAAAAAATGCAGATTGTTGCCATGGATACACCAAGGAGAAATTATATTTTACTATTTCATATACTGGATATGAAATCTATGGAAGATTCTGATTACATACATATGCACATATATGACACAAACAGTAAGCTTAATATTGCAAGAAGGCAATGAAAAGGGGATGGTAAAATTTATGAGGGAACATTTTAATATTTTTTCCTAACTGTTTATTGCTACCTTATGGCATACTTACCAAGCTCAGAATTGTACAATTTAAGACTTTTCATACCACAAATCTATTGATATTTAGATTCTAAATCAACTTCTGATGGGATTAAGTGTTTAAGAATGACAATACATGTCAATTTTATTGTTTACAGTCCTTAGCAACCAAAATTAGACATTTTGACACAAGGCTTATAATTGTACTCTATTTGCTTAACCCTTGCTTCTGAAGGATTGCGCAGTATGTAGTAGCCTAAGTATTGAATGTTTTGTATTTTTTCTTGCGAATATATCAAATTATTATTTTTATCAAGATTTCATGTTACATTTTGACATATATTAAATGTATAGTTGATTCAGCTGTAAGAAATTGATTCCCCATTACCAAGTGTTTTAATCAAGTCTTTGGTATACATTAAACATAAAGATTAACATTTGCATGCTTGAAATTGTTAAATTTTGTACAATTTTGCATCATCAGAGGTTTTATAAAGATTTTCAACATTAAAAAACTGACAAAAGAGGTATAGTTTTTAAGATTTTGCCAAAAATTGAGGTAGAAACAAGATTTTACACTTTGACTTGGCACCTTTCTTTAAATCAGTTTTTGTCGAGTTTCAGTGTCAACTGCTAACCTTCATAAAATATTCATTACTCAACCAATTTTCAAAAATAAAAGGCCATTTTACTCGTTTTAGCTAGCAGAACACAGAAAATTAGTTAAAGGGGAGGATTTGAAAAAAAATATTTACTATTAAGGTAGCAATACACAGTTAGGGGTTTGGTTTCGCATTTTGGCCCTGGTGGATTTTTCAAATATGAAAGTTATTGTGTAATAAAATTAATTTTTAGACAGCTGAGTACTAATTTAGCCTTCAAAGGTGGTTTATAAGAACATCAAGATTATTTTTTACATGTTTTATGGGCTATTTTCTGTTTGACTCTCCGTATTTTCATAGCTAGACCGGTCATCGGTCCAGAAATTAATGTAATGTTTACAAACACTTTTTTTCTACACGAAGTTTTTGACGCAATTTTACAAAAAAATGAGACGAAAGACATATGATTTTCATTGGATTTATTGAAAGATATATGTAAACAGTTTCAGAAAAGGTATTACTTGAAGTGATTGAAATTCTACTTTTGGTCAAATTTTGGGGAAATATGTGACATCTTTTCCCCCCTTTTTGCTATATTTTATAACAAAAAAATGCAGATTGTTGCCATGGATACACCAAGGAGAAATTATATTTTACTATTTCATATACTGGATATGAAATCTATGGAAGATTCTGATTACATACATATGCACATATATGACACAAACAGTAAGCTTAATATTGCAAGAAGGCAATGAAAAGGGGATGGTAAAATTTATGAGGGAACATTTTAATATTTTTTCCTAACTGTTTATTGCTACCTTATGGCATACTTACCAAGCTCAGAATTGTACAATTTAAGACTTTTCATACCACAAATCTATTGATATTTAGATTCTAAATCAACTTCTGATGGGATTAAGTGTTTAAGAATGACAATACATGTCAATTTTATTGTTTACAGTCCTTAGCAACCAAAATTAGACATTTTGACACAAGGCTTATAATTGTACTCTATTTGCTTAACCCTTGCTTCTGAAGGATTGCGCAGTATGTAGTAGCCTAAGTATTGAATGTTTTGTATTTTTTCTTGCGAATATATCAAATTATTATTTTTATCAAGATTTCATGTTACATTTTGACATATATTAAATGTATAGTTGATTCAGCTGTTAGAAATTGATTCCCCATTACCAAGTGTTTTAATCAAGTCTTTGGTATACATTAAACATAAAGATTAACATTTGCATGCTTGAAATTGTTAAATTTTGTACAATTTTGCATCATCAGAGGTTTTATAAAGATTTTCAACATTAAAAAACTGACAAAAGAGGTATAGTTTTTAAGATTTTGCCAAAAATTGAGGTAGAAACAAGATTTTACACTTTGACTTGGCACCTTTCTTTAAATCAGTTTTTGTCGAGTTTCAGTGTCAACTGCTAACCTTCATAAAATATTCATTACTCAACCAATTTTCAAAAATAAAAGGCCATTTTACTCGTTTTAGCTAGCAGAACACAGAAAATTAGTTAAAGGGGAGGATTTGAAAAAAATATTTACTATTAAGGTAGCAATACACAGTTAGGGGTTTGGTTTCGCATTTTGGCCCTGGTGGATTTTTCAAATATGAAAGTTATTGTGTAATAAAATTAATTTTTAGACAGCTGAGTACTAATTTAGCCTTCAAAGGTGGTTTATAAGAACATCAAGATTATTTTTTACATGTTTTATGGGCTATTTTCTGTTTGACTCTCCGTATTTTCATAGCTAGACCGGTCATCGGTCCAGAAATTAATGTAATGTTTACAAACACTTTTTTTCTACACGAAGTTTTTGACGCAATTTTACAAAAAAATGAGACGAAAGACATATGATTTTCATTGGATTTATTGAAAGATATATGTAAACAGTTTCAGAAAAGGTATTACTTGAAGTGATTGAAATTCTACTTTTGGTCAAATTTTGGGGAAATATGTGACATCTTTTCCCCCCTTTTTGCTATATTTTATAACAAAAAAATGCAGATTGTTGCCATGGATACACCAAGGAGAAATTATATTTTACTATTTCATATACTGGATATGAAATCTATGGAAGATTCTGATTACATACATATGCACATATATGACACAAACAGTAAGCTTAATATTGCAAGAAGGCAATGAAAAGGGGATGGTAAAATTTATGAGGGAACATTTTAATATTTTTTCCTAACTGTTTATTGCTACCTTAGGCAGGAGATAGGGTAGGAGTCAGGAGAAGAGCTGATAGAACTTTGAATTTTTATGTAAATTATATAACCTTTCCCACAATGCTCACAGTTCTTTGATTTTGATTTAATATATTTTAGGCAGGAGATAGGGTAGGAGTCAGGAGAAGAGCTGATGGGACTTTGAATTTCTATGTAAATGGTATAGATCAGGGTCAAGCTGCCACTAATGTTCCAGAGAATGTTTTTGGTGTGGTAGATTTGTATGGACAAGCTGCACAGGCCACAATTATAGACCGATATGGTAAGACAATAAAAAGATCTAAAAGAGAACTTTGGACACAAACAGTAAATGATTTTCAAAATTATATTTGAGCACATGAACTGTAAAAATGTTTCTGGTTCTTCTTTCTTGCAAACCTTGTCTAAAAAAGCTAATATGGACTTTAAATTGGCTTATACTTTGAACAGTGAGTAGGAATGTTTTTTTTGTTGTTGACTGATATTTTACTTCAAAGTTACCCATACTTGTTTACAAAACCATTTCATTCGATGGATCAAAATCACCAAGGGGTAAAATTTATAAAATTGACAAGTTTAGAAATCTGTCAGATCTGTTAGTTTTCTTTGAATTGACAAAAAGGGGTATTGTTAAGAAGATGACATCAAATCAAATACTAAGGAGAAAACAATCACGGAATTTAAGAAAATAGTGCTAAAATTTCAAATATAAAATATGCAGGATTTCTGGTATGGAGTAAAAATCATTTATAAATGTACCATGGAAATTTATTTGGGTATTTACAGATAGCCTTAGTTCTCCAGATGCAGAGTCTAGTAGTATGGTTGAGACAGAAGAATTACGGTTTCATCAAGTCCATGGACAGAATGCTGTTATTGTCAACAATGGCAGAACTGCTACACGTCCTAATGCCACTGGAGAATTTAATGATGCCATCATCATGAGTAACAGACCATTGAAGGATAATGAACTGTTTGAAATCATTATTGAAAAGATGGTGGATCGTTGGTCCGGGTCCATTGAGGCTGGTAAGTAGGCCACATCAACGAAAATAATGGATTTTTGGTCTTTATCTGTTGAGCCTTTTGAATACAAGTACTGTAAATTCAGAAATTATTGCGAGGTTTTTATTAATGCGAATAATGCGACTAGATGAGTATCGCAATAATAAGAACTCGCATTTTGATAACTAGAACATAGATCTGTATGTAGATTTTCCTGAAATCGCAATAATTAAACTCGCATTCTTGTCCATTTTTTAAAAATCGCAATAATAAATGCACTCAATAATTTCTGAATTTACAGTATGCAGACCCACTAAATTATGTCCATTGTTTGTCTTGTTCTTTCTAGGGTGTGATAAGGCAGTCCCCAGGAGAACATGATTGGTCTATGATTTTGCTGTAATGTGCCTGACTAGTAAGCAAAGTACTTAGTTCAGGTTTTGTTTATGGGGATTTTTTTATGCAAAAGAGTTAATATGAAAGTGAAGAGAATTTATTTTTAGGAGGAAGGCTGAAATCAACAGCAATAATGTATATTTTTCCCCCTAAGGTGTTAAGCTATTTTATTTATGTGATATATTCTTTTCAGGAGTAGCAGCTTTTAAGCTTGAAGATTTAGAATATTTTCATGTGGTATATTTTTTTAGGAGTAACAGCCATCAAGCCAGAAGATTTAGAATTTCCTAACACCATGACAGATATAGATTATGATACCTGGATGTTAAGGTATGTTCTAGTATTTCCTAAGATACCTGAGGAGTGAGGGGAAATATTATGATACTTGGATGTTAAGGTATGTTCTAGTATTTCCCAAGATACCGGAGGAGTGAGGGGAAATATGCCACAGATGCCATATAATAGAATAATGGGGTCTGTCCTAATTTTTTATGCCCTCCCCCAATAACGGACTGATTAGAATTCCTTTCTTACTTACCATTGACAATATTTTTGATAAGACACATGCCTTGGACTAGACTAAAATTGTGTATCCTAAATTGTTCAACCAAATTTGGTTTTTACAAACTTCATTTTTGATGAATTTGTGAGCAATGATAAGACATGAAAATTAAACATTCTGGAATTGAATCACCAAATATATAAGAATAAAAAGACATGTGAGGTAAATGTCAAAAAGACAGAAACCCAACAACACTTAAAGACAACTAGAGAGGTCAACATTCAGTTAACAACTATAGACAGATGCCAATACAATATATCAAATTTTGAATAAATGACTTTCATTGACATATGTTTATTAAAAGAAAAAAGATAAAGATTTTGTGGGTTCTGCCATACATACTAGGAGGGTAATGTTTATAGTGGATCTGCTACTATTAAGACATGACATTTATGTGTGTCTCAGTGGATCTGCTACAATACAGCCAAAACTTTTATGTGTGTCCACTTAATGTTTTTAGTGGATCTGCTATGATGCAGTCATGACATTTATATGTGCTCACTATTTTTTTTTCAGTGGATAGGCTTTGATGCAGCCATGACATTTATGTGCGTCCACTTTAAGTTTAAGTGAATCTGCTACAATACAGCCATGACATTTAGGTGTGCCCACTTTAAGTTTTCAGTGTATCTGCTATTATGCTGCCATGACATTTTTGTGTGTCCACTTTTTTATTTTCAAGGGATCTGCCTCAATGCATTCATGACATTTATGTGTGTCTGCTTTTTGTTTTCAGTGGATCTGCCATCATGCAGGATGGTACTACTATAAGAAATGGTTATCCTTTAGATTTAGATTTAGTTACTGTGGGGTGTCGTCTAGGGATGATGAGGTGTTCTGATGGGACACTACACTTTTATTATAATGGAAGAGACCAGGGAGTGGCCTGTTCAGATATTTCTTCAGGTAAGTTGGTAGATTGTCATTGACTATCTGTTGATGTTGGGATGATAAATGTTCAGGATGGGACACTTCACTGTGAGTATGGCCTAACAGCGTGTTGTCCATCAACACATAGGGATCACTTCTCTCACCTCCATGTGGTTTGTGTCACATTTTTGTTTAATCTGCAACTCCTTCAAAACAGTCAGCAGAATTCCACCAAACTTGCAAGGATTCTTCTACAGGGCATGCAGTTTTGTACATAATGTTTTAATTTCTTATTTGAATAATTTTTGGGGTGTCAGATACCACAAAATGGACTTCACCTTGTTTGCTTATATTATCTAGGGTCTTATCTAATTGGAGATTCCACACATCTTCCTTGAAAGACTCACATATTTTATTACAAAGGTAGAAATGGAATCTGGGACTGACATGGTCAGTCCACTTCCTTAGATGTTTTGATGGGTGTTTAAGTGTACAGGTCATTGAAGGTTGTTCAACAATGAACAAAACCCACCTTGTATAGTAGGCTATAAAAAGTCCCCAGTATAACAAATGTGAAACATTTCAAAAGAGAAAGACAACAGTCTTATTTTAATATACTTCAACAATGAATGTAAAAACAGTTATGGAAAACAGCAAACAACCACAACTACTGGTTGCAGCTGGTGCCTGGTTTTGGACAGGCACATAAAGAATGTGGAGAGGTTTAACATGTTTGTGAGTGCTCAACCCTACCATTCCTAACCAGGGACAATGGTGTAACAACACAATATAAGAACAAATAGTTAAAATTAGTTGGAAACGGCTGGACTTTTTAGTTTGGTTATAAAATAACAAAAAGATAAAAGAAACAATATACCGATATAGTATTTTTAGTAATGTGTTGATTCATTGCTTTACATGTATGACAACAAAAACAAAATTTTCTATCATGTGATTTAATGTCTTTCAACTTGACTAGTTATGAATAGTGGTAGATATTTAATTGAGAAATGATATAATGATAGTATGAATAAATTTTTTAAAGAGTTATGGGATATATATCAGTGAGACAGGGGTCCAGTGTATAACAGAAGAAAACCATATCAATTGAATGAGGTTTAAAGGTTTCCATATTATTTGAAATGTGATAATTAAATGTTGTCTTAAAATTAGTTAAAAATCAAGAAATTGGAATAGAGTCTTATATAATTATAGCATTAATACATAATAGATAATGGAAGCTTAAATAGTCTTATAATAAGCATCTTTGGGTGTTTTTTTGTCAAGCCTGCGACTTCTGTCGCAGAAAGCTCGACTTAGGGATAGTTATCCGGTGGCGGCTGCATTAACTAACTTCTTAAAAGCTTAATATTTTAGAAGGTAGAAGACCTAGATGCTTCATACTTTGCATAAAGATGCCTTATGCCTTATGATATGAAGTTTCCGTCTGTCATATGTCCATTGTCCTCGACTTCATTTTCGTGGTTCAGTGACTACTTGAAAAAAAAAGTTCAGATTTTTTGTAATGTTAATTTCTCTCTTATTATGAGTAATAGGATAAATATATTTAGTATGTGCGTACCTTGCAAGATCCTCATTCCTGTCAGACAGTTTTCACTTGACCTCCACCTCATTTCATGGATCAGTGAACAAGGTTAAGTTTTCGTGGTCAAGTCCATATCTCAGATACTATAAGCAATAGGTCTACTATATTTGGTGCATTTAATGATTGAAAGGCGTACATTTCCAACTGGCAGGTTTAGTATAGTAGGCGAGACATTTCAGCGTGTGCACTCTTGTTGTATTTTATAGGTGTATTTTTATACGACCCCAAAAAAAAAAATTTTTGAAGGGGTCAATTTTTTTTCCTCAAGATTTAAAAAATTATCAATTTCCAAAAAAAATTGAGGCTCACAAGTTATTTTGCTAATTCTTTGTATATAGTCTGAAAACAGATTAACTAAGTATTGTGCAACAGCACAGTGTATTGCACAACAGCAAGAAATCTTCAATTGAATATAAATTCAAATCATATAACCAATTTCAAGTTCTTTGACTACATTTATTCTGTGTCAGAAACCTATAATGTGTCAAATATTTAATTACAATCCAAATTCAGACCTGTATCAAGCTTGAATATTGTGTCCATTTTTGCCCCCCAACTGTTCAGGGTTGGACCTCTGTGGTCGTATCCAGCTGCGCTCTGCAAAGCACATTTATTGTATTTTATAGGTGTTTTTTTTTTGTATTTTATAGGTGTATTTTTTGTATTTTATAGGTGTATTTTTGTGTTTTATAGGTGTATTTGCAGTCATAGATTTATATGGACAGTGTAGCCAAGTGTCTATTACAAGTGGTTCTGGAATCCTTCCTACAGATAATAATTTATTACAAAATAGTACAGATGTGTCTATAATATCACCATCAGGTAATGTTTTTATTAACTTCAGACTTTGACCTTAGTTAATATACAGAATAGGATCTATCAGTCTTTAAATATTACTTCGGTCAAGTAATTTTGTTTATTAACTAAGATTTTATCGTCCACAGTTTATATTCAGATTAGATCAGATCAGTTTATAATATCTCTTATCAAGTAGTGATGTCTAGTTAGAGCTTTTTTTTTGCACATGTTATAAACATGTCCGACTTTAAATAAAACTTTTTTGTATTTGCATGTTGATCAATATCAGTCCACAGTTAATATGCAGAAAAGTGAAGACTATTCTATGATATCACTTAGATATTTCGTCTTATTAATCTCAGACTGGTCCTCAATATATATACAGAATAGTGATGGTATGTTTTGTATTGACCTGGTATACCATAATTAGATGTAAACAGATCATTTTGTTAAGTTGAGTAGTACATTGTTCTCAATCAGTACACATTGTTCTCAATCAATACACATTGTTCTTAATCAGTACACATTGTTCTCAATCAGTACACATTGTTCTCAACCAAAACACATTGAAATGTAAATTAATAATCCTTCTGTGAAATGTAAAATAATGATCATTCAAAGTTCATAACTACTGACAAAATGTATTGTTTTTATTTACCACAAAAATTGTTCATTCTCAAATAAAAGCACTTTCTTAATTACTTTTATGAAAGGTACCTTATTTTTTTCAGATGTCACACACAAGTTTAGCCAGTGTTGCGGGAAGAATATTTCCATAAAAAATAATGGTTCCTCTGCCTGTAGAACCAGAAATTTTAACCATGGTCTTGTATTTAGTTCTGATCCACTGAAAAGAGATGAACTTTTTGAGGTATTTTTATCAGGAGTGTTACCATATTCCTTTATATCTTTATAACTTCCATGACTCATCTCAACACCGATTTGTACACATGATCAGTTGCAAATTTGTAAAATATTGTATGCATCATTTTATGAAACAAGTGTACAAGTTAGGCTTAGAAAACTATAAGCCATTTTTTCACTTATTTAGTTTCGCTGAATTAGTATACATTATTGTTTAGTTGAAGCCTGCCTCTAGTTGCTGAATTTTCTTGCTGTGTTGAAGACCCATTGGTGGTAACCTTGGGCTGTTTTCTGCTCTTTGGTCCTGTTGTTGTCTCTTTGACACAAAGTAAGATGATGTAGTATGATTGCTAATGAGACAACTCTCAACCCGAGTTGAAAAAGATGTGATGGTTATCAATAATAATCAATTATAGGTCATCGTACAGCATTCACAAATGAGAAAAACCCATACTGTATCGTCACCTATGAAAGGGCCAGACATGAAAAATGTGAAATAATTCAAACGAAAAAAACTAACGGCCTAATATATACAAATGTAACAATTCAATTATATAAAGCAAATATGACAAACATGAACCTAGCTTCAAGGCACATCAAGAATGTGGCAGGTTAAACATATCTGTAAGCATTCAACTCCCCACCTAACAAAGGACAATAGTGTTCAAGCACATCATAAGAACAAAGTGTAAAAATCAGTTGCAAATTGCTTAATCCAATTGATATGTACGAAGCACAAAAAAAACAACAATAGAAATAAAATTGAGAATGGAAATGGGGAATGTGTCAAAGAGACAACAACCTGACCAAAGAGCAGAAAACAGCCAAAGGCCACCAATGGGTCTTCAACACAGTGAGAAAATCGGCACTCGGAGGCGGGCTTCAGCTGGCCCCTAAACAAAAATGTGTACTAGTTCAATAAAAATGGATGTCACACCAAACTCCAAAACATATAAATGCTCTAAAATTAATAAACATACAAGACTAACAAAGGCCAGAGGCTCCTGATTTTGGACAGGCGCAAAAATGCGGCGGTGTTAAACATGTTTTGTGAGATCTCTACCCTCCCCTGAACCTCTAGCCAATGTAGAATAAACAAACACACAGCAATACGCACAGTAAAACTTAGTCTAAAAGAAGTCTGAGTCCGATGTCAGAATAGGTAACAAAAGAAACTTAGCAAGATGACAATGATACATGAATTAACAAGGGACTAGCAGTTACTGACATGCCAGCTCCAGACCTCAATTTAACTGATTGAAGGATTATGTCTTCATCATATGAAAATCAAGCACAATCCCTCCCGTTAGGGGTTTAGTATCATACCATCATAAATATATGAGAAGAACATAAGTCGTATCATGCCAACAACTGGTTTTAGAATAAAATTGTTTATTTCCAATGCAAAGACCCTATGAGTGAATCAATATTAATACCAAAATATGCCATCATCAGTATCATCACTATATCCCTTCTGAATAAGTCTGATTAAAGGTTTGGTTAGCTTTTGAGGTGAATGTCGATATTTTTGTCCTTTGTATTGAATATTACCATAAAAGATTTAATGTGAAATACCTGAACGTATAAGATGTCTGCATGTTGATTTATATTTACGAATGATGTCCTTGTACCTATGATAAAATTTAGTAAATATTTTGACTAGTTTGCGATATCGAAAACCCTGGTGTAATCATTTTTCAGTAATACAGAGATTTCTTTTGTTAAAATCAAATGCGTTGTTACATACACGAGCGAATCAAACAAGTTGAGATATATAAATACCATAAAATGGTGAAAAGAGAACGTCACCGTCTAAAAATGGATAATTAACAATAGGAAAATGAAAAATCATCTCTTTTATCATAAATTTTGGTATTAAGCTTCCCGTTAAAGATATAGATATCAAGATCCAGGAAAGGGCAGTGTTCATTGTTAGTATTAGCTTTATTTAAAGTCAGTTCAGCAGGATAAATCTCTAAAGTGTACATACTGAAGTCGTCATTATTGAGAGCCAATATGTCATCCAAATATCTAAAAGTGTTATTAAATTTTTTGTATCAGATGTTGTTTTGATGGGTCTTTGCTGATTATAGTCATAAATTGTAACTCATAACAATACAGAAACAGGTCCGCAATAAGTGGTGCACAGTTAGTCCCCATTGGAATTCAGATAACTTTACAATATACAGAATCTCCATAGCGAACAAAAATGTTATCTAGTAAAAATTCAAGGGCAGTTATCGTATCAAAACAGGTCCAATTGACATAGTTCTTTTGTTTGTTGTTACTAAAATATGACCTAAAAGAGTTTGAACATATATATTCGCATTCTGACTTTTTAATGCCCGTTTATAATTTTAAATTATAAACGTGAGGTGGATAGACCTTCAACTGTCCTATGAACAATATGTTTTTAATTCTAAACCTTTTTTGTAGATAAGAATAGAAACACTATCCAAAGTATGGTCAGGATCGTTACACATTGGACTTACCAGTTCAGCTATATCAGACTCTACTCCACAGTCCTTGGTCCCAACTAGAGCTACAGAACTCATCTCTAAACCAACTTGGGTAGTACTGGGCTCAGAGGTCAAGAAATGTGGTTCATTGATTAAGGAAAATTACACTCCATCTTTATATAGACTAGAGGTAAGAGTAATAAATTGTATTGTTCACAGATTGAATGTATACCTGTCAATATTATTCATGAATATTTATAGCTCTGTGTTTATCTGTGCAGTATGTCGTTATCTTCCTTCAAATTTCCCTTTATGACTAGAATTAATATTTCTCCTTCATTGTAATAAAATACAAATTTCGAAAACATTTGGTCACTGGTTCATTTTTTTTTTGGTAAAAAATAAATGTAATTTATGCAATTGTACATTTTCATCATTAAATATTCAGATAGGAAACAGAGTTGGGGTGAAGAGATGTGCTGACGGAACCATGCATGTATATATCAATGGAGAAGATATGGGCATTGCTGCTTCTAACATTCCTAAGGTAAAGTGTTAATTTAATTGAACAGTGCATGTTTATATCAATGGAGAAGATATGGGCGTTGTTGCTTTTAACATTCCTAAGGTAAAGTGTTAATTTTATGGAACAATGCATGTTTATATCATTTGAGACGATAAGAGCATTGCTGCTTTTAACATTCCTACGGTAAAGTGTTAATTTTATGGAACAATGCAAGTTTATATCAATGGAAAAGATATGGGCGTTGCTACTACTAACATTCCAAAGGTAAAGTGTTAATTTGATGGAACAAATTTTATTAATTATCATTTGTGCATCATGGGGAGTTCATGAATAAAATGTGCATATTGATGGAGAAAAATGAATAAGAAAACAGATAGTGCATGATTTTATGATATATGCTTGACCATGGAACTATTTTGAGAAAATAACTAGCCTTTGTCTGAGTTCGCAATTTCCATGTTTTTTTATGGAGTGCTATCTGACTTCCCATTGTTCAGCCAAGTCCTGAAAAGGCCATATGATGCAGAACATTCTCAGACTAGAATAAAGGAAAATTGAAAAAATAAATCATTGTTGTAAAGTAAGATTAAAAGGAAGGTTTTATCTTGGTTCTTAAACATTATTTTTTTTAACATATCGTCCAAGATGTTACTTTGTTATGTTTCCTTACAGAATGTGTTTGCTGTGATAGACTTATATGGATCTGTAGAATCAATATCTGTGATTAGTAATTCAGGAGGAGATAATCCAATGCTTGCCAGCCAGGTGTCAACAGTGTCTGAACTTGTAGAGGTAAGGGGAAATAACTCTTTGGTCAGGTATTCCGGTGGCAATAATCCCATACTGTCCAGCCAGATGTCAACAGTATCAGAACTTGTAGAGGTATGGGAAAATTACTCTCTCTTTGATCAGTTGTTCTCCTCATGCAAATAAAGGATCGTCAGCATCAGAACGTTAAGAGGTAAGGGGAAATGACTGTCTTGTCAATCTGTAATTCAAGAGGAGATAATCCTATGCTGACCAGTCGTTTCTTCAGTGTCAGAAATTTTAACAGTAAGGGGAGATATATAGATTACACCACTGCATCAAGTGTGTTACGATATTTCTCCACTCGAGACAGTTAAAATTTTAATATTTAAAGTGTGAGGCTTGCCAAGTTTTTTTGAATAATTAAAATTTAACTGTTGAGTGTGGGCAATATCGTAATACAAGAGTTAATATAGTAGTGGAATCTGTTTCTCTAATGATTTTAAGACGATATTTTAAACCTTCCTTTTCAAAGAGTTGCAGAAAGTTGTGTTCTTTATGTGTGACTTCATCAAGCATGGTCACCTTTTTTCATGACGTCACAATAGGAAATTCAGAAGAAACCAAGAAAAATTTGACATCATAATTAAATTACGACCAATCATTTACAGAGAACAAAATTTTCTTTAGACATGGGAAATATTTTTCTCACACTGATCTAGAAATGTGAAAAAAGTATGAAAATTAGAGAAAAACTTCCTCTCTGATCAATACTATTAAAGGAGATAATCCCATATTGACCAGTAGGGTGTCTGTTGTGTCAAATATGGTTGAGGTAAGGGGAAATGACCTTCACTTTATCAAATTATAGGTCATGAAAACTGTGATGGTTTTTATCTATTTATTTCTTTTATTTGACAATTGACTTATATATAATTATAATTCACAGAATATCCACTCTCATGAGAAAAAAAAGAAAGAATTTTTTGAAATTGTGAACAGTTTATTGCCTGTGTGTTGATGCTTATAAAATAAGGAGATGGTGTATGCTTGCCAATGAGACAATTATCAATCAAAATGTGGATGTAAGCAACTATAGGTCACAGTACGGCCTTTGACAGTGAGCAGAACCCATAATGTGTAGCAGGTTATAAAAGCCTGAAATAACAATTGAAGGGAGAATGTGTATTCACTATTATTTGTAGGTAATAGTGAACCAGGAATTTAAATGTTCAAGAAGTCCAAATTTTGGTGGTTCTCTCCTAGCACTACAGCTTCCTCCACCCAAGAAAACTGACCGCCATGAAATAACCAACAGTGCTGAAAGTGGTGTTAAACATCAATCAAGCAATCAACTAATCTGTTTTTAAGATTTTTAGCTTTGAAAAATAAAAACTATTAAAACAAACCAAACAATTTCAATACTATAGACTATTTATATAATTATAGATTGACAAAGATCAGGATCAAGATACATCCAGTGATGTTAGTTTCCATGGTAACCATGGCAAGAATATTATACTGTCAGCGGGAAACTGTACAGCATGTAGAACAGGCAGTTATAATCAAGCTGTTATAGTTACTAGTTGTCGTCTCAAGAGAAATAAGTTATTCCAGGTTAGTTTACTTAAGTTTTTTTTTTAAACAAAGATTTTATGAAACTCACATGACATGAAAAACTTGTAATTGTGAATAAACATGCTCTATAGATAAGAACAAATTACTAAATAAGACAATTAATTAATTAAAACAATGTTATGCAAATGAAATCAGTTTCCTGCAATTATTTCACACCTTATGCAAGCAGAAAGAAAAGAGTTCACAACAGTTTCAAGCAACCTATATATAGTAAACTTTATAACCAGTTAAGGTTGTTAAACACTCCTATAGGGGTATTCTAAATTAAGTTGATAATGCCTTCACTTGCACTTGCTCTCACTGGAACCCCTTTTATTGCCTCTAACTACACTTGCTTATCTTTGTAAGAGAAATTCTCAAAGATCAGGCATTGTCAGTGGGAACTTTTAGAAAATTCAAAGTACTTCACTGGTTGATAATGAAATCATCAATTAGAATCTCAGCTGTTATACCTCTATTGAGACATGCTTTCAGATAAGAGTAGATATTTAAACTCCTGTTTAGCTCATCTGAATCTGGAGCCAAGTGAGCTTTTCTCATCACTTGGCGTCAGTCGTTCGTTGCCATTTGTCATCTGCCACCATCTGTTTACTTTTACAAAAATCTTCTCCTATGAAACAACTGGGCCGAATTTAACCAAACTTGGCCACAATCATCATTGGGGTATCTAGTCTGATGGCCATGCCTTCCAGCAGAGATGGCCGACATGGCTAAAAATAATACATAGAGGTAAAATGCAAGTTTTACCTATTATTTTGAAAACTGCTATAAATAGAGAAAATCTGACAGGGCAAAAATGTTCAGAATATTCTACCTATTGTCCATTTACATTGAAACTGTCAGATAACTTTTTATAGGAGTTATTGCCCTTAAATAACAAATTTTATCATTTTTAAAATTTTTTGCCTATTATAATAGATAGACAGAAACTTTAAATGGCAAAAATTATCTAAAAGACAAGATTTACAAATAAGTCAGTGTGACCAAAATCGTCAGACGACTCCTTGTTAGATTTATTGACCTTTAATGCTGATTTTTACTAAATCATTGCCATTGTTGAAGATGCAGGTGAGCGACATAGGCTCATTAGAGCCTTTAGTTTAATTTTCTAAATAACTGTTGGGCTATTATATTGTGCTTTATATATAATTTCAGATAAAAGTAGATAAATTAAATCCGTGTTGGAGTTGCTCACTAGTTGTTGGTGTGTTGGGATTCACACCAGACAGATTTAACTTTCCAGTATCTGCCATTGGTATTAAAAAGTCCTGTATAGTAGTACAAGCAGATTCAGTTTACAGTTGTGGTGTAAAGGTGATATGAAAATTCATTAATGTTAGGAGGAACTAAATTACCTTGACACTCTTATAACAGACTTCACAGAAAAATAAACAATAGATATAAGAAGATGTGGTATGAGTGCCAATGAGACAACTCTCCCTCCAAGTCAAAATTTATAAAAGTAAACCATTATAGGTCACAGTACGGTCTTCAACACGGAGCCTTGGCTCACACCGAACAGTAAGCTATAAAGGGCCCCAAAAATTACTAGTGTAAAACCATTCAAACGGGAAAACCAAACTTTTGTTTTGAAAGGAGAGATTAAAGATTATTTATAGTTTATTTTCCATGTGATATAAAGTTGATGCTCATTCATCTTCCATGGACCATTCAGTCAAATATAGTAAAATATAATCAACAGGGAAAAGGGGATTTTACATCTAATTCTTTATTCTATTTTACTCTGTCTTTGTCCATACATAAATCTGAATATCATCAACTGGAAAAAGAATTCTATGGATATATATTACTAATTTTAGGAAAATTTATAACATCTCACACAATAAATTGGGAAAACACAACACTGAAGTTTTATATTGGTTTTCCACTGTAATATTATTTGTTTGATGGATTCTTACATTGCTGTTAACTAATCTGTAAGTGGGAATATTATGTAAACAAATCCTAAGAGAAACAATGAAATAATTATAAAAATCATTTCTATTACAGGTGAAATCAAAGTACGGACCAAATCTAGATCAGTTAAAAATAGGCCAAACTGTTGGCTTATTAATTGATAATGATTTCTGTTTACACATATATATAGATAATATGGACCAAGGTGTAGCAGCCAGGGATATTCCCTATCCATGTTATGGAATAATAGATCTATATGGTCAATGTGAACAGGTAATTATCTCCCCTGACTAGGGATGGGGGCTAACGTTAAGTGCTTTGCATTCATGAGAACAGAATGTATGTTGATGTAAACATGTTATTATCTCCCCCCCTGATTTTGGAATGTGCCATCATTTTTGCACATTAAAAGCTTTCATAACATAATAAATCAACAAAAAAGATGCAATTCATAACAGAAAATAAAATTACCTCCCTTTATTTTTATAACCATAGTTACAATTCATATCATTGTGTTGAATGACAGGAACTGATAGTGCCACATAGTGATTACGTCTGTCCTACTTTGATGTTGTTCGCCTCGTATGAAGGAAGCTGATAGATAAATAGTGATTACTTCTGTCCTACTTTGATGTCCTTCAACTCTTATGAAGGAAGCTGATAGAGACACATAGTGATTACTTTTGTCCTACTTTGATGTCATTCACCTTGTATGAAAGGAGCTGATAGAGACACATAGTGATTACTTCTGTCCTACTTTGATGTCATTCGCCTCGTATGAAGGAAGCTGATAGAGACACATAGTGATTATTAAGTCTCCCAAACGAAGTTTGGGAAGACTTATTGTTTTTGCTCAGTTCTTATTATTATTATTATTCTTCTTCTTCTTCTTCTTCTTCTTCTTCTTCTTCTTCCGCCGCTTTTAAATTTGAACTTGTCCGCACCCGTTCTCCAAAACCGCTTGTCAGATTAACTTAGGGTTTCACAATATGTTAGACTAACATGTCTAGTGGTGCAATCAGGGTTTTGTTTGTGCAATGGGGTTTATAAAGGGGTACTTTGAGGGGCAAAAAGAAAAGAGGGTTTTACTATAGAACCCTATGGGATTTTATTTTTAAAAATTTTCAAATGATTATAAATTGAAAACCGTTTGTGATAGACACAATCTTTTTAATTGAAAATGTTCTAAATGATAAAGCCCATTAAATGAAATACAGGGTTAGTCCCCAGGGGTCACCCCCACCCCCTGCCATTTAAGAAAGTTCTAATACCTTGTAAGTGGTCAAGATCCCCACCCCTAAACCATATATATTCTGGTTTGTCATTCTAAGATGGTTTGAATGATATACAGGGTTAGTCCCCAGGGGTCATCCCGACCCCCTGCCATTTGAGAAAGTTCTAATATCTTGTTAATGGTCGAGATCCCCACCCCTAAACCATATATATTCTGGTTTGTCATGATAAAGCACATCAAATGTAGTACAGGGTTAGTCCCCAGGGGTCACCCCCACCCCCTGCCATTTAAGAAAGTTCTAATATCTTCTAAGTGGTCAAGATCCCCACCCCTAAACCATATATATTCTGGTTTGTCATGCTAAGATTGAATGATATACAGGGTTAGTCCCCAGGGGTCATCCCGACCCCCTGCCATTTGAGAAAGTTCTAATATCTTGTAAATGGTTGAGATCCCCACCCCTAAACCATATATATTCTGGTTTGTCATGATAAAGCACATCAAATGAAATACAGGGTTAGTCCCCAGGGGTCATCCCGACCCCCTGCCATTTGAGAAAGTTCTAATATCTTGTAAATGGTCGAGATCCCCACCCCTAAACCATATATATTCCTATTTGTCATGTCTCGAACATTTGAATGACGTATACGGTCAGTCCCCAGGGGTTCCCCCCACCCCCAATGTTCTTATATCTTGTAAATGGTTGAGATCCCCACCCCTAAACCATATATATTCCTGTTCCTCATGTAATGAACATTTGAATGACGTATAGGGCCAGTCCCCAGGGGTTCCTCCCCACCCCCAATGTTCTAGTATCTTGTAAATGGTCGAGATCCCCACCCCTAAACCATATATATTCTGGTTTGTCATGCCAAGATGATTTGAATGATATACAAGGTTAGTCCCCAGGCATCACTAATGCATATAACTTTACTGGACCAAACCAATTTTCACTGGATGTGGCCCAATGTCAGGCGACCCTGGGAATTACGAATTATGGGAGCTTCGTTTGGGAGACTTCGTAACAGCATCCTGTTACAATCATTTCTTGTTTCTGTCCTACTTTGATGTCATTCGCCTCGTATGAAGGAAGCTGATAGACAAATAGTTATTACTTCTGTCCTACTTTGATGTCATTCGCCTCGTATGAAGGAAGCTGATAGACAAATAATGTTTACTTCTGTCCTACTTTGATGTCATTCGTCTTGTATGAAGGAAGCTGATAGAGACCCGTAGTGATTACTTCTGTCCTACTTTGATGTCATTCGCCTCGTATGAAGGAAGCTGATAGAGACACATAGTGATTACTTTTGTCCTACTTTTATGTCATTCGCCTCGTATGAAGGGAGCTGATAGAGACACATAGTTATTACTTCTGTCCTACTTAATGTCATTCGCCTCGTATGAAGGAAGCCGATAGAGACACATGGTGATTACGTCTGTCCTACTTTGATGTCATTCGCCTTGTATGAAGAGAGCTGATAGAGATGCATAGGGATTACGTCTGTCCTACTTTGATGTCATTTGCCTCACACTTAATCATCCTCAACTCCTTACAGCCGTTTTTGACTGAATTCAAAGGAACTTGCAAAGATTGTTTTATTGGACATTAAGGATGTGCTTAGGTCAGGTTTAGGAATTTGTGTCAGATGTTTTTCCTACGATACAGGGTAAAATATTTTGCCCCATAACACCCATTTTTCTTTTCATATAAGACTTCAATAGCTCATAAAAGGTCATTTACCAAAAGCCGATTCTAGATTTCTTTTCTTTCGATTTGAGATGCAAATAATACAAATGCAAATATAAGGTAAAAGTCCGAGTCAGCCTTTTCCCGCCATTTAAAAAAAATTAAATATTTCGAAAAGGAGCTCCATAACCTATCAATATTTTTAGCTTATTTTGTGCCTTAACTAATGCTTCTCCGACTTATAGTATCCATTTTAAATTCTAGATTTTTTTAATTTAACCTCAGTTAATCCTTAAGTTGTACACCTGCTTTTTAAATTTCTTACTGTGGATTCATTATTATTTGTTTGATACCAATTTTCGTGGGTATAGGGGAACCACGAACTTAAATGTTCAACAAATTAAGAATTTTCTATAGGAATGTATACAGAATTTGTCAAAACTATGAAAACAAATATCCAGGAAAATGCAGGTTTTCCTCAATACTCGAAAACTGGTACCCAAGAAAATAAACGAATCCACAGTATTTTAATGGTATAAAGGGGTTTACCATATCAATAGGATTTTTTCTTTAAACACTGATTGTCAGAATTCTACCAAACTTACACAAAGATCTACCAAACTTGCACTGAATTCTACCTAACTTGTACTGAATTCTACCAAACTTGCACTGAATTCTACCAAACTTGCAAAGAATTCTACCGAACTTGCGCTGAATTCTACCAAACTTGCAAAGAATGTTACCATACATACAAAGAATTCTACCGAACTAACACAGAGATCTACCAAACTTGCGCAGCAATCTACCAAACTTGCACTGAATTTTACCAAACTCTAACTTTACAGTATGGGTTTTTCTCATAGTTGAAGGCTGTATGGTTGCATATAATTGCTTACATCCACATCATTTGAACTTGAGTGGATAGTTGTCTCATTGGCAATCATACCACATCTCCTTATTTTTATATTACTCTAATTCTTCCAAACTAGCACAGAATTCTACAAAACTTTCACACACAGTATTACAGGACATAAAATTACTATAAATTCAGAAATTATTGCGAGGTTTTTATTGATGCTAATAATGGGACTGGATGAGTATCACAATAACAAGAACTCACAATAACTGATACATATATCTGCATGCAGATTTTTCTGAAATCATAATAATTAAACTCGCAGTTTTGTCCATTTGTCAAAAGTCGCAATAATAAATGCACGCAATAATTTCTGAATTTACAGTATTTTCCATGACAAATGTGTATTTCACTATTGATGCATATATTCTTAAAAGTCAACAGTCAACACAAGTCTTCTTGGAAGACCCACATATTTGTATCTGACTGAATGATAGGGAATCACCAATCATTTAATTGAAGTTATTAGTACTGGTATGAATGTAATTCAAACTGAATGAGTGTAATACATACCACTACTTATGTTTTTTTGATCTATTGAAAAAAAATTCAATCTTTGTTTCTGTAAATATGTATTTGGCTTTTAGAGAAAGTTATCTCTATGTATACAGCAAATTATATGTTATGTCAAACACTCTGTATGGTGTAATTTTGGGTTATATAATATTGTATTTATAGGTTTCAATCGTACCAACTGAACGTGTATCACCAGTATCTATGTGTATAGTAAACTCTTTATATTGATAGGTTTCTGTAGTACTAACTGAACATTATCACCAGTACCTATGTGTATAGTCAACTCTTTATATTGATAGGTTTCTGTCATACCAACTGAACATGTATCACCAGTACCTATGTGTATAGTCAACTCTTCATATTGATAGGTTTCTGTCATACCAACTGAACGTGTATCACCAGTTGCTATGTGTATAGTCAACTCTTTATATTGATAGGTTTCTGTCTTACCAACTGAATGTGTATCACCAGTATCTATGTGTATAGTAAACTCTTTATATTGATAGGTTTCTGTCGTACCAACTGAACGTGTATCACCAGTATCTATGTGTATAGTAAACTCTCTATATTGATAGGTTTCTGTCGTAATAACTGAACATTATCACCAGTATCTATGTGTATAGTAATCTCTTTATATTGATAGGTTTCTGTCATACCAACTGAACATGTATCACCAGTACCTATGTGTATAGTCAACTCTTCATATTCATAGGTTTCTGTCATACCAACTGAACGTGTATCACCAGTAGCTATGTGTATAGTAAACTCTCTATATTGATAGGTTTCTGTCGTAATAACTGAACATTATCACCAGTACCTATGTGTATAGTCAACTCTTTATATTGATAGGTTTCTGTCTTACCAACTGAATGTGTATCACCAGTATCTATGTGTATAGTAAACTCTTTATATTGATAGGTTTCTGTCATACCAACTGAACGTGTATCACCAGTACCTATGTGTATAGTCAACTCTGTATATTGATAGGTTTCTGTCATACCAACTGAACGTGTATCACCAGTATCTATGTGTATAGTCAACTCTTTATATTGATAGGTTTCTGTCGTAATAACTGAACATTATCACCAGTACCTATGTGTATAGTCAACTCTTTATATTGATAGGTTTCTGTCATACCAACTGAATGTGTATCACCAGTATCTATGTATAGTAAACTCTTTATATTGATAGGTTTCTGTCATACCAACTGAACATGTATCACCAGTACCTATGTGTATAGTCAACTCTTTATATTGATAGGTTTCTGTCATACCAACTGAACGTGTATCACCAGTACCTATGTGTATAGTCAACTCTGTATATTGATAGGTTTCTGTCATACCAACTGAACGTGTATCACCAGTATCTATGTGTATAGTAAACTCTTTATATTGATAGGTTTCTGTCATACCAACTGAACATGTATCACCAGTACCTATGTGTATAGTCAACTCTTTATATTGATAGGTTTCTGTCATACCAACTGAATGTGTATCACCAGTAGCTATGTGTATAGTAAACTCTCTATATTGATAGGATTCTGTCGTAATAACTGAACATTATCACCAGTACCTATGTGTATAGTCAACTCTTTATATTGATAGGTTTCTGTCTTACCAACTGAATGTGTATCACCAGTATCTATGTGTAAAGTAAACTCTTTATATTGATAGGTTTCTGTCATACCAACTGAACGTGTATCACCAGTACCTATGTGTATAGTCAACTCTGTATATTGATAGGTTTCTGTCATACCAACTGAACGTTATCACCAGTATCTATGTGTATAGTCAACTCTTTATATTGATAGGTTTCTGTCGTAATAACTGAACATTATCACCAGTACCTATGTGTATAGTCAACTCTTTATATTGATAGGTTTCTGTCATACCAACTGAATGTGTATCACCAGTATCTATGTATAGTAAACTCTTTATATTGATAGGTTTCTGTCATACCAACTGAACGTGTATCACCAGTACCTATGTGTATAGTCAACTCTTTATATTGATAGGTTTCTGTCATACCAACTGAACATGTATCACCAGTACCTATGTGTATAGTCAACTCTGTATATTGATAGGTTTCTGTCATACCAACTGAACGTTATCACCAGTATCTATGTGTATAGTCAACTCTTTATATTGATAGGTTTCTGTCGTAATAACTGAACATTATCACCAGTACCTATGTGTATAGTCAACTCTTTATATTGATAGGTTTCTGTCATACCAACTGAATGTGTATCACCAGTATCTATGTATAGTAAACTCTTTATATTGATAGGTTTCTGTCATACCAACTGAACGTGTATCACCAGTACCTATGTGTATAGTCAACTCTTTATATTGATAGGTTTCTGTCATACCAACTGAACATGTATCACCAGTACCTATGTGTATAGTCAACTCTGTATATTGATAGGTTTCTGTCATACCAACTGAACGTGTATCACCAGTATCTATGTGTATAGTAAACTCTTTATATTGATAGGTTTCTGTCGTACCAACTGAACGTGTATCACCAGTACCTATGTGTATAGCAGAGGACAGAGAAAAAGCAGATTTCGATGAAGGTATTATATGCTGTGTAATTTTAAGTGTAGATATTTGAATATTGCCATTCAGAGCCCATTTTGATGTAAAGATTGCATGAAATGCAATTAAACCCTATGGTACTGACTTGATATCTATATCTTCCAAGGTTTATCACTACTTTTGATAGTTCAAACAAAATAGTGCAGTGCAGTGATCATTATTTAGATCCTATCCAGTCAAGGTCATTCAATTTATTGATGATATGTTATACTATGATACGTTACAGTATGATGTGTATTTGAATTACAATATTTGTCAAGAAAACATTTTTTATGCCCCCACCATAGTGGAGGGGGCATTAAGTTTTACCCTTGTCCGTCTGTACATACGTACGTACGTACTTACGTCCCAAAATTGGTTTCCGTTCTCTAACTTTAGTTTGCCTCAACCAAATGTTATGAAACTTATACACAATGCTTATTACCACAAAACACAGATCAAGTTTGAATTTTGGTGGCGTCACTTTTACCGTTCTAGAGTTATGCTCCTTTACAAATGGAAAATTGCTGAATTTATCGTTTCCGTTCTCTAACTTTAGTTTGCCTCAACCAAATGTTATGAAACTTATACACAATGCTTATTACCACAAAACACAGATCAAGTTTGAATTTTGGTTGCGTCACTTTAACCGTTCTAGAGTTATGCCCCTTTACAAACGGAAAATTGCTGAATTTATCGTTTCCGTTCTCTAACTTTAGTTTGCCTCAACCAAATGTTATGAAACTTATACACAATGCTTATTACCACAAAACACAGATCAAGTTTGAATTTTGGTGGCGTCACTTTTACTGTTCTAGAGTTATGCTCCTTTAAAAATGGAAAAATTGCAAAATTTTTATTTTCTTCTAAATATCAAGTAATTTTTTAAATTGGAGTTATCTTCCTTTGTCCATGATTATAGTTGAATCAACTACAATCAATGCTTTATACAATGCAATGTTTAATTTTGACTTCCACTGATAAAACACAGATCAAGTTGAATTTGGGTAGTGTCACTTTAACCATTATTAAGTTATGCCCCTTTATAAATCGAAAAGATTGCAAAATTTTTAGTTTCCATTCTGTAACTTAAGTTTGCCCAACCAAACATTATGAAACCTATACACAATATTCATTACCACAAAACTAAGATCAAGTACAATTTTTTTGTTTCCATTTTCTAACTTTAGTTTGCCTCAACCAAATGTTATGAAACTTATACACTATGCTAATTACTACATAATACAGATTAAGTACGAAAATTGGTGGCAACACTTTTACCATTCTTGAGTTATGTCCCTTTATAACATAAGAATTGCTGAATTTTTCGTTTCCTTTAACTTTATTTTTTCTAAATTACATGAAAGAGGGGCGAAATATACCAAAGGGACATTCAAAGTCATAAGTCGAAAATAAACTGACAACACCATGGCTAAAAAAGAAAAAGACAAACAGACAAACAATAGTACACAAAACACAACATAGAAAATTAAAGACTGAGCAACACCAACCCCACCAAAAACTGGGGGTGATCTCAGGTGCTCCGAAAGGGTAAACAGATTCTTCTTCACATGTGGCACCTGTTGTGTTGCTCATGTAAGTAAAAATCCAGTAATAAGTCTAATTAATGCATGGTGTAGGAATCTGTTATAAAAATAGGTTCAACTACAAATGTACAATCATGAACAAAGGAAGATAATCCAACTCAAATTTTTAATTTGCTTAGGAAAATACAATTCAATCTTTTATTTAAAAATTCACAAAATTGCAAAATAAAAGTAATATTTACCCTTCAGTGCTCACTAGCACTTTGATTATTTAATTGTCTGATTGCCTAGTATTTAGGATATTAAGTGTTGTTCATAATAAGATGATTAGAAAATTAGTCATTATTTACAAAAAATGGTATATGTAATTGAATATAAAGTACTTAGTTTCTTATATGAAAAGTCCTGAAATTGTGTATTGAAATCATTTTATCACGTTTGTTGTGGTCAAGGAAAAATGTGTATTGAAATCATGTTATCCATTTGTAGTGGTCAAGGACAATTGTGTATTGAAATCATGTTATCATGTTTGTAGTGGTCAAGGAGAAATGTGTATTGAAATCATGTTATCATTTTTTGTAGTGGTCAAGAAGAAATGTGTATTGAAATCATGTTATCTTGTTCATAGTGGTCAAGGAGAAATGTGTATTAAAATCATGTTATCATGTTTGTAGTGGTCAAGGAGAATTGTGTATTGAAATCATGTTATCTTGTTCGTAGTGGTCAAGGAGAAATGTGTATTGAAATCATGTTATCATGTTTGTAGTGGTCAAGGAGAATTGTGTATTGAAATCATGTTATCACATTTGTTGTGGTCAAGGAAAAATGTGTATTGAAATCATGTTATCACATTTGTAGTGGTCAAGGAGAATCGTGTATTGAAATCATTTTATCACGTTTGTAGTGGTCAAGGAGAATTGTGTATTGAAATCATTTTATCACGTTTGTAGTGGTCAAGGAGAAATGTGTATTGAAATCATTTTATCATGTTTGTAGTGGTCAAGGAGAATTCTGTATTGAAATCATTTTATCATGCTTTGTAGTGGTCAAGGAGTATCGTGTATTGAAATCATTTTATCATATTTTGTAGTGGTCAAGGAGAATTGTGTATTGAAATCATTTGATCATGTTTTGTAGTGGTCAAGGAGAATTGTATATTGAAATCATTTTATCATTTTTTGTAGTGGTCAAGGAGAATTGTGTATTGAAATCATTTTATCATGTTTTGTAGTGGTCAAGGAGAAATCAGGAAGGATAAACATTGTAGAACCAAACTTAGTCCGGAACTGTGAACACCAGAACGTGTGTTCTAGGATAAAATTACTGTTAGGAATTCCTGGTATGTATAACAACACTTAGTCCAGAACTGTGAACACCAGAACGTGTGTTCTAGGATAAAATTACTGTTAGGAATTCCTGGTATGTATAACAACACTTAGTCCAGAACTGTGAACACCAGAACGTGTGTTCTAGGATAAAATTACTGTTAGGAATTCCTGGTATGTATAACAACACTTAGTCCAGAACTGTGAACACTAGAACGTGTGTTCTAGGATAAAATTACTGTTAGGAATTCCTGGTATATATAATATAACTTTTTCCCTAAGATTATATAGCACAAAATGTATAACACATTTTATTATAAATAAATTTGGTGTATTTACTGTCTTCTGATTGGTTAAAAGTATTACCTTTATTTTCAATGTTGTCAATTTTTATGGCGACACGCCCACTCTGACGTTGTGTATTCATACGCCAACATGTGTGTGCATTGTTATTGTTAATATAAATAATATAAAAAGCTTTTTGAGCCTTATTTTTGATAGAAATTTATTTATAATGAATGGCTATTATTTATTTTGAATTTATTGAACCATAAAATTAATTTTTGACTCTTCACAATGAATAATCCGCGAACATTCATTAAATGAAATCTGTTCAGATAGCACGATGGTAAACAAAATATAGTAGAGGGGCGTAAAGAGGGGGTATATGCACGGAAGAATGCGAAATAAAATTGCCATTTCACGATGAACGAACAATTAAAAATTTCTTGCACGTTGATCTTTTTACTGATTTCACGAAACACGGTGAATAACGAACCTTCTTCACGGCTGCACGTGAAATAAAAATGGCAAAACACGTTGCACGAAAATAACCCTTTACCACCCTCATAGTACCATGGCATCATGTGCACAAAATGACTTGTGAAAGGGAACAATAAATCTTTATTTTTTAGATGAATATTTTGGCTCCTCCATGAATGGTTGTTATTGAGACCCCAATCAAAATAAATCTTTATTTTAAGTTGGATATTTTGACCCCTCTATGAATGTTTGTCTATTTTTAGATGGATATTTTGACCCTTCCATGAATATTTGTTACTGTGATGTCTGTCACAAACTTAGATCTGATGAAATGTACCATTGTAGAGGTGATCCGCCAAAAGAATTTGCTCTTCCTTCCTCTTGGTGTAAATTCTCTTTCAAGTAAGTAACCCAAATAATTCAGTTGTTATATCTCGCTGCTCTGGGATAGCTACATTAATGCCTGAAGACCTAGACAATGAAAAATAGTCTATTAATTATTTAGAATTGGCTCTAGATTTTCTCATCTCGAATGACATTGTAAGATACCAGCTGACCAGAGAATGCCAATCGAGATACAGGATTTGTGACACGTTTTTATCGAATGAAGCGTTTAGACCCTCAATAATAGGAGAGTCATTCAAAGTGAGGACCTGAATTAGTCGGGTTATTGAGTATGTTAATGATCACAACGTTTTGAGATTTATGACTCATCAAATTCAAATTCTTGTATTTTCTAACACATAATGGTCATGTATTTGTGACATTTTTCTAGAGAACTACAAATAAGAGCTTCCATTTTTCTAGAGAACTACAAATAAGAGCTTCCTGTCATTTGTTGTCAGTTTACAGATTCATTGCTCATCAACTTCATGTTTACCCAATGCTTCAGGCGGGGGTATCATTAGTGAAGCAGTGGCTCACAGCTTTACTTATTGCCACTTCAGCTTTTATTTGTATGAAATTCTGATACATCAGTTCAACATTTTGTAGGTATTATTTTTTAGTTTTCATAATAAAACATAAATAGAATGGTTCAGTAATACCATTCCTCCTTTTCATTATAACCTATTTTAACATCCTCTTAATGTGTCCATACCATATTTGAAATAATAAACATGTTGGAGAAAATCTGAAATGATTGACTCTAACTTAGATGCCCCTGTAGACAGTATACACTGTTTCCAAAGATCGTTTTTGTATTCTGAACTTTGAACCCTCATCCAGGTCCTTTAAGGGATCATAAAGACAAAAATGATGTGGAAACCATAGTCCTACAGGGAACAAATATAAACAGTGTAGCCATTTGAAGAAAATTAAATTGTAAATTCATTGTTTTATTTCAGATTACCAAATAAAGCTCACACATTAAATGTGCAGGACAAATGGCACTCAGCGTATTATGGAACACGGATGGATTTGTTACGGAGAATTGTAGATACTGGTGATTTACATGTATCAGGTAGGCACTCAGGGTATTATGGAACATGGATGGATTTGTTACGGAGAATTGTAGATTCTGGTGATTTACATGTATCAGGTAGGCACTCAGCATATTATGGAACACGGATGGATTTGTTAAGGAGAATTGTAGATACTGGTGATTTACATGTATCAGGTAGGCACTCAGCGTATTATGGAACACGGATGGATTTGTTATGGAGAATTGTAGATTCTGGTGATTTACATGTATCAGGTAGGCACTCAGCGTATTATGGAACACGGATGGATTTGTTATGGAGAATTGTAGATCCTGGTGATTTACATGTGTCAAGTAGGCACTCAGCATATTATGGAACAGGGATGGATTTGTTACAGAGAAAAGTAGATACTGGTGATTTACATGTGTCAGGTAGGCACTCAGCATATTATGGAACAGGGATGGATTTGTTACAGAGAATTGTAGATACTGATGATTTACATGTATCAGGTAGGCACTCAGCATATTATGGAATACGGATGGATTTGTAACGGAGAATTGTAGATACTGGTGATTTACATGTTTCAGGTAAAAATAAACTGTTTTGGGCAATTCATGAGGTCATGTCTTCTTGTACTGCTTATGATGTTGCATGTGAAATCATCTATGAAGTATAGCCACAGATATTAGAATGTAGAGAAGCATAAAAAGTTAATTACTTTGAGCTTGCTTTGATGTGGTATTGTTTATTATTATTTTTTATCTGTTAATCTTATTATTGAGTAAAATCATTTTCCTGTACTGATGTTTATGTATCTTATGAATTACATGTTGATAACGTGAATATGACAAACAAATGTAATTTTGGGAGTTAATGTTATGGAAGAATGTATACAGTGACTTTCATCATTATATTATAAGATAATTAACCAAATTTTTAAGGGTTAAGAACATTTTGTTTGATATTTTGTTTAAAAAGATGTTCTTGAAAGAAATCTATCTCTTGCTTCAGTTGAACAGAGAGCAAATAGCAGCCATTTTTTATCCCTCCACTTGTGAAAGCATTTCCTCAGAGATCTGTTTAGTGTGATGCTCGTTCATGATTAACTAACTGATGATAAAATTACCAGCAGTAATCTTTTTAATGTGTTCTATTCTGGGGTTTATTAGCTGTATTAAGCTTTGTCAATTTAATCTATTTTTAGGAAGTGAGAGTGGATCATGTAGTATTTTAACGTCATCTATAACAAAATACACGGAGAAATCACGACCAGAAACATGTGGTCTGAAGCCAGTGTATTTGTCTCCAACTATTAAATATGCTGGATGTAATGAATTCAGTCCTAAATACAAGTAAGTACTGTAAATTCAGAAATTATTGCGTGCATTTATTATTGTGATTTTGTCATTTTAGACTAAAATGCGATTTTAATTTTTGCGATATTGAGAAGAATCCTGTTTAATTCATATAAAAAATTTCAAAATGCGAGTTTAAATTATTGCGATTATAACCCTGTCGCATTTTTCACAATAATAAAAACATCGCAATAATTTCTGAATTTTCAGATCATCAAGAATCTAAACTCAGATTATTTAGGTTGTGTTTCACAAAAATGCTAAAAAAGCATTGATGAAACTGCAGAATACAAACACATAACTGATTTAAGGAGTTATCTATCAAGATTTTCCACCTTAAGTACTCTGAACTTGAAATCATATTTGACACCCTGTGTTCAAAATCACCAAAACATCTATATATGGCCTTTAACAATAGACAAGTACCTATACAATATGTTCAGCTCTTACTAATTGTAACCATGACACCTTGTGAATGCAACTCCTCTGTGATCATTTAGGATAAAGCTTTCAGACTTGGTAGGATTGTTTGCCATCAGACTTGGTAGGATTGTTTGCCATCAGACTTGGTAGGATTGTTTGCCATCAGACTTGGTAGGATTGTTTGCGATCGGACTTGTTTACCATAGTGTACCATCATTTTGATTTTCCCATTTTAACAGGAGTCATGGGACTTCTTTATTACTTTTGTACCACAAGACACTTTGAGAACTTCTGTGACACTATTTGACAGAAAGCTCTCATACTTGGTATGATTGTTTGCCAATATCTGTTGTTGACCATATTGTACTGTCATTTTGATTTGTTCAGTTTTTGACTTTTACTATATTTTGACAATATCAACTACCAATGTCTTACCATTAGTGGGTTTCTCATAAATTGACATAATCACATAATCAGTTGACATTGCCTACACTGCCAGACACGGCATATGTATTGACATAATCACATAATCAGTTGACATTGCCAACACTGCCAGACACAGCATATGTATTGACATAATCACATAATCAGTTGACATTGCCTACACTGCCAGACATAGCATATGTATTGACATAATCACATAATTGGTTGACATTGCATACACTGCGAGACACAGCCTATGTGTTGACATAATCACATAATCAGTTGACATTGCCTACACTGCCAGACACAGCATATGTATTGACATAATCACATAATCAGTTGACATTGCCTTCACTGCCAGACACTGCATAAATTAGTCTAGTTTCAACTACTCTATCCCCAACAAGACAAAACTAGAAATTAAACAAAGAAAATTGTATGTAAACATACTGACCCAACAACAAAAGTAAATCAAAAGAAGACTGTGACAAACTCCACATATCTCCAACTATAGTCAGTATTTACATCATTAATCTAGCTTTCAAACAAAACTATAGTCAGTATTTACATCATTAATCTAGCTTTACTGTATACGGATTTATATTTTATTGTACTTAAATTGAGAATTTAATTATTTTATTTTACAGATTAACAGATCCAAAGACAAAAAAGACCTACTGTGTTAGAATAGGATTACAAGTGTGGTTAAAACCAGGGTCCTATAAAGTTGGACCTCAGTCTTTAGGCTTTGATGAACAAATAGACCCTAAATTTAAAAACAATGAACTAGAATGGTCAACAAAAGAACGAGGGTCCATTATGTTACAGTCTTTGTTAATTAAGATTGAATGAAAAATGTTTGTTTTGTTTACAAAAGTGAAGGGTCGATCATGTAACAGCCATTGTAAATCAAATATAATGAAGACTGATCATTATAAACAAAGCTCCATCATATAATGATCCTTAAAAAAAACTGTTCTATTATCAAACAGTCATTGTTAATCAAATGTTATGAAGACTGATCCTTAAAAAACCAGTTCCATCATCAAGCAGCCATTGTTAGTCGAATGTTATGAAGACTGATCCTTAAAAAACCAGTTCCATCATCAAGCAGCCATTGTTGGTCAAATGTTATGAAGACTGATCCTTAAAAAAAAATAGTTCCATCATCAAGCAGCCATTGTTTATCAAATGTAATGCGGTGTGAAAAAGGATTTACTATCTAACAGTCTTTATATATTCAGGTTGAATGAAGAATTGTTAAGCATACTTGAAACAGGATTTCAAATTGAGTATCGTTCTGAGCATGCATGAAATATTTGCCACTGGACAATAAGCAACCAACAATCTATCAATTAAATTGAGTTAAAGAAGAGATAAATAGCCTAAGGGCATCATGTTTTCAAGTCTGTTTGTCCATCCTTTCCATATCAGGTTACACTTTTGCTTTAAGATAGTATATATTACCAGGAGTTTGTTGTCAAATTAACTTGAATGTTTATACTTAACTTTTTAAAATATATGCGAAATTAAGAGTTTTGACACTGATTTGCAGTTCATCAAATTTGAGGAATTATTTTGGTTTAAGATAATTTCCATGAATTTGTGGTCACAAATCTCAACCAGAGACCATATGACACAGAAGTAAACAACTATAGTTCACCGTACAACCTTCAACAATGAGCAAAACTCATACCGCATAGTAAGCTATAAAAGGCCCCTATATGACAAATGTAAAACGATTCAAGAAAACTAACAGCCTGAATTTGATGTGAAATTTATAAATGTATTCCAAATTAGGGGTTTGACCAAGATTTCACAGTTCACTGAACATGGAAATGTGATATTGCGAGCAGGGCATGGTTTCCTATGGACATATTTCTTGATTTAAAATTTGAACAAATCAGCAATATTTTTAAAAGTCCTTTGAACAATTCATCAAAGTCCACCATTCCTTATTATTCATGACAAAAGCAGAAAATGACAAAGGTAGATAACTCCATGGTAATTTCAACAGACATGTCACATGACAGAAGCAGAAATGACCATGGAAGATAACTCCATGGTAATTCAACAAACATGTCACATGACAGAATCAGAAATGACAAAGGTAGATAACTCCATGGTAATTCAACTTACATGTCACATGACAAAGCAGAGATAACTCCAGGGTAATTTCAACAGACATGTTAATGTCTGTACAACAAAATATTTCTTAGATCCCTTAATAACAGGCTATGTTACTGCCTCCTACATAAATACCATAACTCATATGTTTTTTAACTTATCCACATGTAACATTTATTATTAAAATGGTATTTTCAATTATGTTTTGTATCATGTTAGTTCAGAATTCTTATGGTGAACATTCCAAGGACGCATTCTTATGTGTAACTTGGTATAGTGACCATTTCAAGGACGTATTCTTACGTGTAACTTGGTATAGTGACCATTTCAAGGACGCATTCTAACATTTTAAGGACACATGTCATGTTAAATGATCATAGCTTTTTACAAGTTACAATAATTTATTTCCTATTGTTATAATTGTTTGTGTAAATTATATGTTGCTTAATGATTAAATGTGATAACAAGTTTGACATGTTTCCTTTTTATTTCCATTCCTAGTGGAAATGATTACATGTGATAACAAGTTTGACATGTTTCCTTTTTATTTCCATTCCTAGTGGAAATGATTACATGTGATAACAAGTTTGACAAGTTTCCTTTTTATTTCCATTCCTAGTGGTATGATAACAAGTTTGACATGTTTCCTATTTATTTCCATTCCTAGTGGAAATGATTACATGTGATAACAAGTTTGACAAGTTTCCTTTTTATTTCCATTCCTTGTGGAAATGATTACATGTGATAACAAGTTTGACATGTTTCCTTTTATTTCCATTCCTAGTGGAAATGATTACATGTGATAATAAGTTTGACATGTTTCCTTTTTATTTCCATTCCTAGTGGAAATGATTACATGTAATAACAAGTTTGACATGTTTCCTTTTATTTCCATTCCTAGTGGAAATGATTATATGTGATAACAAGTTTGACATGTTTCCTTTTATCACATCACTTGGCGTCTGTCGTCGTCTGTTAACTTTACAAAAATCTTCTCCTCTGAAACTACTGGACCAAATTCAACCACAATCATCATTGGGGTATCTAGTTTAAAAATTATGTCGGATGACCCCGCCTGCCAACCAAGATGGCTGACATGGCTAAAAATAGAACATAGGGGTAAAATGCAAGTTTTGTCTATTATTTTGAAAACTGTTATAAATAAAGAAAATCTGACAGTGGCAAAAATGTTCAGAATGTTGAGCTCTACCAATTGTCTGTAAACGTCAAAACTGTCAAACGACTTATTATAGGAGTTATTGCCCTTAAATGACATTTACTTTTTTTTTCTTTTTGGCTATTATCTTGAAAATTATAATAGAAAGAGAGAAACTTTAAATTGCTAAATTGATCAGCAAGACAAGATCTATAAATAAGTGTGTGCACAGTCGAAATTGTCAGTCAACTCCTTACTAGAGTTATTGCTCTTTCATGACAATTTTTTCCTGCATTTTTGCCTTATATCTTAAAAATTATAATAGATAGATAGAAATTTAAATAAGCAAAAGTGATCAGCAAGACAATATCTACAATTAAGACAATATGGAGGAATTCGTCTGACATCTCCTTATTGGAATTATTGCCCTTTAATAACGATTTTTATTCTCCATTTTTTTTGCATTTGCTTTATATATCAAAAATTAAAATAGATAATAGACACTTTAAATCACAAAAATGATCAGCAAGGCAAGATCTACTAACAAGTCAAATTTTGTCAATATAGCTAGTAGACTCTCACTCTTTATATGAGTGATTGCCCTTAAATGAGTTTTTGTTTTTACCCTCTTTTGTGTTTTGAGCAAAAACTAAAGAAGATAGAAAGAAACTAAACAGACTAAATGATCAGCAATACAAAATCAACAAAACAGAGATTTTTGTCATGAATTCTATTCTCATCTACAATGTTGGAGAGTGTCCTTTGTTGAATATGCACAAAGACCAAGGTGAGTGAAAGCCTCTAGTTTCCATTCCTAGTTGAAATGATTAAATGTGAGAAAAAGTTTTTTCTTATTATTTTTAGCTCTCCTGTCCAGAATGTCCATGTGAGCCTGTCTCAGTACTTGCCCTGTCATCTGTCGTCCATAAAACTTTTACAGAAATTGTCTCCTTTAAACTAATTGGAGAATAGTCTATTCGCCTATTACCTATTTAATCTGTGATTACACACTTTTAACACAAGTTATTTCCCTTTGCTAATTGTAGACTGGAAATGCAAAGCATGTAAAGTTGAAAGTGATATTCAGACATTTTAACCAAGTTTTAATGTAAAATAATTATTTATATCAACAGTTTTAGCTTAACAAATGATTCAATGTTATTACTGTGACTTGACTGTAAGTGTTGCTCTCCACCTATTGAAGTTTATTCAAAATTCTGACCAAATTGCAATTTGTTTTATCAAACCGAACTGTTCATGAAAGTGCAAGATTTAAAATCTTTACGATTGCAAATAGATAAATTTTCTCTTTCCTCAAGCTTGACATTGTCAATTAAAAATTTATGTCCCTCTTTATGGAAACAACTCTCAAAATGGATTGTTAATTAGTCAATTAGGGAACTTGCAAACAGACTAGTAAACAAACTTGACTACAATCGTCCTTGGGGTATCTAGTTTAAAATAGATTGCAAAGGGTTCTGTAGAACCCTGTATTTTATCTGCTTTTGCTGCTGTCAGAGCAAAAGTGTAATATTGTCTGCAAAAAACTATATCCATTTAACAGTAAAATACGGCAATTTTTTTTTTTAATTACATATTTTTCTGCAGATGCAATTTCATGTTCGTGAAGAAATTTCTGTCCAAATTGAATAACATTCCATGAAGGTTTAACAAATTCATTCATGTCTGAAAAATTGTCGGAAATATGGAGAAAAATATTTTCAAAATTTTGCTCTGGATACTGTCTTTTGACCATAAAAGAGCTTTTGTTCATGCATATTCATACAATTCCATGGAGGTTTGACAAGTATGTCCTGCCAACAAACATGGCCATGAAGGCTAAAAATAGAACATTGAGGTAAAATACAAGTTATGTCTATTATCTTGCAAACTGTTGAAGATGGAGAAAATTTGACATGGGTAGAAATATTAAGTGTTGAGATCTACTAACTTATTATTTTGACCAAAAATGAAAAAAATATAACTTATTGGTTCAATAGTCCATTATTAATTTACAGACTTGAGTTTCCAATCTAAAACTTTTTCCATGGGAAGGAACTCTGTGGTTGGGTAAACTGTATCCTTGCCTAAGCAAGAAAGCAAGCAGAAATAGCCTAGTATGGGATCCAACAATTATTATAGTGCAAGATTTGACAAATAGCTTTCATTTCATAAGTGCATTACATATTTTTGGTAAAAATGGGATCATTAAATAGTTGATTACACAATGAAAATTCATAAAATCTTGCATACATATAAACTTAAGCATGTTAAGGTTATCAATAATCCGTGTCAATGAGGTCAAGGTCAGATGAACCCAGCCAGACAGACATAAACACCTCACAATTAATACCATACACCAATTATTGTTAGCTGATTGATTTTAGTATTTGAGAAACAGACCTAATTAAGAAAATTAAATATTGACCAATGAGCTATAAAAATCAAAGTGATCGAAATCACTCATGGAAAGATTGGAAAAGTAGTTTGAATAATTTCAAATCATATCATCGGTATGGTGTGGACAAAAAAGAACATTAATAAATCACTATTGTATTAACTGCATGTCTTTAGAAGGATAAGCACTTTTTAAGTAAATAAAATGAGTTAAATGTGAATCTATGATTTGCACAACAATTTATAAACCAAATAACGCTCCCTATTACCAGGCATGGGGTAATGCCAATTTGTAATTGTAATGCATGGTAATGCCTTACATTTTTCCAAGTAATTGCATGAATGTGTAATGCAGCATTTTTTGCATTACATGTAATTGTAATTTGATGCATTACTTGAGAAAAAAGTTGTGTAATTTCATGCATTACATAGCATTACATGGCATTACCTTTTTTACATACTATGTATCTTTTACAGATTTTTGGAGATATAGCTAAAGCAGGATTTAAAGGTTTCTGGATTAATTAAGAACATAATCATTTGAGTATTGATTTTTTTATTTGAAAAGCATTACTGTGAAAATGTTTTATTGTTGTCAAAAGATCAATGAATTATACCTTGTCATGATTAAATAATGGAAAATTGACCATTGTCATAAAACACTAGGTGTATATATTTGCTACAATTATACCCTATGGGTAGTGCTCCACAATAAATGGAGGAATATACAAGAAACTGAACTGAACTGAACTAATTAGTTTCTTTTACAATCAATCTTTTCACCATTTTGACACTTAATTGGTCATATTAAAATTAAGCTCTTTGTTTATTACTTAATTAGGCTATTACATGTTTCACCTTTTACATTTTATCTTTAGAAAGAGAACAAATTTTCCAAATGAAGACACTTCTAATAAAGTTTATCATTTATCCTTGTAGAACATGGGACGAGCAGATAGACTTTGAAACGACGATCTTTATTGTCTTCAAAATTAATCTAAAAAGGTTGTTTTGGGGGCATTTTGTAAGTTAAAACATAGGTATACTATATTTCTCCTCCAAGAATTGCTGATTGATTTTGAAAACAACTATCATGATTATAAGACACTGTAGATTAAAAGTTGAAGTCTGTAGAGAGTATTTTAATTAAATTTATAATTCAATATTTTCCAGAAAAGGGCATTTTATGTATTACTGAAAAATTATTACACCAGGGTTTTCGATATCATAAACTAGTCAAAACATTTACTAAATTTTATCATTGGTATAAGGACATCATTCGTAAATATAACTCGACATGCAGACATCTTATACGTTATATTTCACATCCAATCTTTAATGGTAATATTCTTTGCAAAGCACAAAAATGTCAGTATTCACCTCAAAAGCTAACAAAACCTTTAAACAGACTTATTATTAATTAAGAAGGGATATAGTTACGATACTGTTGTCAGGTCATTAAAGATTGCATATTTTGGCTTTAATATTGATTCACTTATAGGGTCTTTGCATCGGAATTAAACATATTTATTCTGAAACCAGTTGTTGGCATGACACGGGTTATGTTCTTCTCATATATTTTATGATGGTATAATACTAAACCCCTAACAGGAGGGATTGTGCCTGATATTCATATGATGAAGACATAATCTTTTAATCAGTTTAACTGAGGTCTGGAGCTGGCATGTCAGTAACTGCTAGTAGTCTGTTGTTATTTGTGTATTATTGTCATTTTGTTTATTTTCTTTTGTTTCCTATTCTGACATCGGACTTGGACTTCTCTTAAACTGAGTTTTACTGTGCGTACTGTTGTGGTTGTTTTTTCTACATTGGCTTGAGGTATAGGGGGAGGGTTGAGATCTCAAAAAACATGTTTAACCCCGCCGCATTTTTGCGCCTGTCCTAAGTCAGGAGCCTCTGGCCTTTGTTAGTCTTGTATCATTTTTAATTTTAGTTTCTTGTGTATAATTTGGAGTTTAGTATGACGTCCATTATCACTGAACTAGTATACATATTTGTTTAGGGGCCAGCTGCTTGCTGCATTGAAGACCCATTGGTGGCCTTCGGCTGTTGTCTGCTCTATGGTCAGGTTGTTGTCTCTTTGACACATTCCCCATTTCCATTCTCAATTTTATTGGAAATTTACCTTATCAACATAAACAATTAAAAAACTTATTTTATTGACATTGCCTTTGACCTATTGACCCAAAAATAAATAGGGCCTTTCTCACTTCATATGTCAGTATAAAATCAAGCTTGGTAAGAAGACATAAAGTTCAAAAGATAACATCTGAAAACCAAAATTTAAAAAAAAATTTGATCTCTGAAATTTTCAATAAAACTATTGAATTATGTACTTGACAGCCTAAATATCTTGCGTTTTATCTAATTCTTTTATTAGGTTGTTCTCTTATCTCATCAATATTTTTCAAACTTCTTGTTTCATTCATACAAAAAACAAAAAGGGGAGATAGAATATCATTTCATATTTAATGTATTTCATGTTTTGCAGAACATATTTTCTCTGATAAAAATGATTAATTACTCATGTGTCCAGAACTAATAACTATTAATTACTCATATACACATGTTTAATTCCAGAACTAATAACTATTAATTACTCATGTGTTAACATCATCGTCATGGTTAATGTCCAGAACTAATAACTATTAATTACTCATGTTTTCAGAACTAATAACTATTAATTACTCATATACACATGTTAATATCCAGAACTTATAACTATTAATTACTCATGTGTTAATGTCCAGAACTAATATCTATTAATTACTCATGTGTTAATGTCCAGAAGTAATAACTATTAATTACTCATGTTTTCAGAACTAATAACTATTAATTACTCATATACACGTTAATATCCAGAACTAATAACCATTAATTAATCATGTGTTAATGTCCAGAACTAATATCTATTAATTACTCATGTGTTAATGTCCAGAACTAATAACTAATAACTACTCATGTGTTAACATGGTTAATGTCCAGAACTAATAATTATTAATTTGGTATGTGTTTATGACTGGAATGAAGATGTCTAATTTCCTCCAACAAATCAGAAAAAGATTTTCTATGGAAGTCAGGTATTCCACTTTTCAACTTATAGAACTGTTTTTGTATATAAGTTGCTGATGGACTGACATCAACAAATGATTGATTAATTTCATTCCAATCAATATCTGTTTCTATAGAATAGTCTCCATTGGATAAAATATCTATCAACAAATAAGAATGTTGTCGCCGCCATTTTGGCATGTGACTAGCATTCCCATCAATATTTTGAAGCTTCCAACGTTTCAAGGTAGAAAAATGTGCCCTGCACTGTTCTTCATGTCTAGTGGGTACTAGCTCTGCTACTGACCTCCATGGAATTTCCAGTTGTTTTATTTCATTCAAGTCTTGTAAACCAGAAACTTCTCGTATGGCTTCAATTAACTCTTCCTCTTCTTCCCCTGTCCAATTCTTGCTCTTTACTGCTTTTTCATGACGACGTAATTTGTCCTGTACTGACTGTCGATCACGTCCCATTTTGTCAGCAATATACTGAAAATTTTTCCTGTGTTTTCTTGACAGTTTTTTTAATTGCTTCATTTCTTCTTCCAAAAATTTTCCATTTTTCAAAGTTATTGTACGTACATCTCGTCGAAGTTTATAGTAACAGGCGTCTGTTGGCCTATTTAATGACCTTGAAATGACCTTAAAAAATTGTGTATCTTTCATCAGAGCAATTAAATCTGATCTTCCCCTCCTGTCTAGTAAATCTAACGGGTCTTCAAAAGCAGAATCATATTTTTCCAGATACCAATTCCAATTTTCTAGCAGTTTTTCCTTCTCTTCATTAGTCCATTTCCCATACCTATAAAATAAAACAAAAGATCACAAGTGTTTATTTAATTATAAATATGACCAGTATAATATGGTTTCTGTGACTGAGCTTTGCTTGAAGAAGTATGCCATTGACTGTCATTCAATTAGATTTATATAAATCTTACCACAAACCAGTGTTCCTAAACTAACCATCAAATAAATGACCAAATGACAGTCAACAAGTTATGCCCCCTCCACTACAGAGGGGGCATAAATTTATGGATACTCCAACGCTCAGAAATATCTGGTATTCCAATCTCAGAAATATCTGGTATTCCAAATCTCAGGAATATGAAGGTATTCAACTTTTTTCAGAAATATGTGGGTGTTCCCACCGCCAACAATGAGTGGGTGTTCCATCTGTCAGAAATATGTAGGTATCCCAACTGTCAAAAATATGTGGTTATTCCAACTGTCAGATATATATGGGTAAGTTTCACTTTCGAAAATATGTGGGTATTCCCACTAGCTTATACTTGTGGGTTTCCTGTACAAGTAGCAACAAAATAAAATTTCCAAGGTCTGCTCCTTTACTTATGATAGAATAATAGGTCCCTTACTCAAGAGAGAATAGGGCACAGAAGGTCTGTTCCCTAACGAATGAGAGAATAATAGGGTCCATAAGGTCTGCAATGTTTCTAATGAGAGAAAAATAGAGCCCAGAAGGTCTGCTCCCTTTCAAAGAGAATAATAGGGCCCAGAAGGTCTGCTCTCTAAGGAGAGAATAATAGGGCCCAGAAGGTCTGCTCCTTTACTAATGAGAGAATAATAGGGCAAGAAGGTCTGCTCCCTTACCAATGAGAGGATAATGGGGCCCAGAAGGTCAGCTCCTTAACTAATGAGAGAATAATAAGGCCCAGAATGTCTGCTCCCTTACAAATGAGAGAATAATAGGGCCCAGAAGGTCTACCCCCTTACTAATGAGAGAATAATAGGACCCAGAAGATCTGCTCCCTTACTAAGGAGAGGATAATAGGGTTCAGAAGGTCTGCTCCTTTACTAATGAGAGAATAATAAGGCCAAGAATGTCTGCTACCTTACAAATGAGATAATAATAGGGCCCAGAAGGTCTGCTCTCTAACTAAGAAGAAAATAATAGGGCCCAGAAGGTCTGCTCCCTTACTAAGGAGAGAATAATAGGGCCCAGAAGGTCTGCTCCCTTACTAATAACGAATAAAAGTGCCCAGAAGGTCTGAGCCCTTATTAATGCTAGAATGATAGGGTCCAGAAGGTCTCCTCCTTTACTAATGAGAGAATAATTAGGCCCAGAATGTCTGCCTCCATTACTAATGAGAGAATAATAGGGCCCAGAAGGTCTGCTCTCTAACTAAGGAGAGAATATTAGGGCCCAGAAGGTCTGCTCCCTTACTAAGGAGAGAATAATAGGGCCCAGAAGGTCTGCTGATTTACTAATGAGAGAATAATAGGGCCCAGAATTTCTGCTCCCTTACTAATGAGAGAATAATAGAGCCCAGAAGGTCTGCTCCCGTACTAAGGAGAGAATATTAGGACACAGAAGGTCTGCTCCCTTACTAAGGAGAGAATAATAGGGTTCAGAAGGTCTGCTGATTTACTAATGAGAGAATAATAGGGCCCAGAAGGTCTGCTGATTTACTAATGAGAGAATAATAGGGTCCAGATGGTCTGCTCCCTTACTAAAGAGAGAATAAAAGGGCCCAGAATGTTTGCTCCTTTTAATAATGAGAAAATAATAGGGCCCAGAAGGTCTGCTCCCTTACAAAGGAAAGAATTATAGGGCCCACAAGGTCTGCTCATTTACTAATGAAATAATAGGGCCTAGAAGGTCTGCTCCTTTACTAATGAGAGAATTAAAGGGCCCAGAAGGTCTGCTCCCTTACTATTGAGAAAACTGTAAGGCTCAGAAGGTCTGCTCCTTACTAATGAGAGAATAATAGGGTCCAGAAGGTCTGCTCCCCTTACTAATGAGAGAATAATAGGGCCCAAAAGGTCTGCTCCTTTACTAATCAGAGAATTAAAGGACCCAGAAGGTCTGCTCCCTTAGTAAGGAGAGAATAGTAGGGTCCAGAAGGTCTGCTCCAAAAGGTCTGCAGCCAGTTGTACGAACGTGTCACTAGTCTAATGAGTCATTAAGTCTTCATTAGCCTAATGCATCATAAAGGCTTAATGAAGACTTAATGACCCATTAGGCTAATGCCACGTTCGTACAACCGGCTGCTGTTCCTTTACTAATGAGAGAATAATAGGGCCCAGAAGGTCTGCTCCTTTACTAAGGAGAGAATAAAAGGCCCAAGAAGTTCTGCAACTTTAATAATGAGAGAATAATAGGGCCCAGAAGGTCTGCTCCCTTACAAAGGAAAGAATAATAGGGCCCACAAGGTCTGCTCATTTACTAATGAGAGAATAAAAGGGCCAAGAAGGTCTGCACCTTTAATAATGAGAGAATAATAAGGCCAAGAAGGTCTGCTCCCTTACAAAGGAAAGAATAATAGGGCCCACAAGGTCTGCTCATTTACTAAGGAGAGAATAATAGGGCCCACAAGGTCTGCTCCTTACTAAAGAGAGAATTAAAGGGCTCAGAAGGTCTGCTCACTTACTAAAGAGAGAATTCAAGAGCTCAGAAGGTCTTCTCACTTACTAATGAGAGAGTAATATGGTAAAGAAGGTCTGCTCTCTTACTAATGAGAGAATAATAGGGCCCAAAAGGTCTGCTCCTTTACTCGTGAAAGAACTAAAGAGCCCAGAAGGTCTGCTCCCTTACTAATGAGAGAATAATAAGGCTAAGAAGGTCTGCTTCCTTACTAAGGAGAGAATATTAATAGGGCCCAGAAGAATAGTATTGTCTATAGATATGGTTTTATCTACAACTTGTACTTTACCTGTAGTAAATTCCTTTTGCTTCCCATTCTTCCTGTTTTTTCTTGTATAAACTGTTATATGGATGGATAAGTTTGTCAGTTTCTTCATCAACAAACAGTGGCCTTCCAAAGGAAGAATTTCTTTTCTCCATAATGCAATAACAATCTCTTCAAGAACCTCAATCACAATTCATATCTTCATAGACCTACAATTAAATAGTAATACATAGACCTACAATTAAATAGTAATACATAGACCTACAATTACATAGTAATAAATAGACCTACAATTACATAGTAATACATAAACCTACAATTACATAGTAATACATAGACCTACAATTAAATAGTAATACATAAACCTACAATTACATAGTAATACTTTAACCTACAATTACATAGTAATACATAAACCTACAATTACATAGTAATACATAGACCTACAATTACATAGTAATACATAGACCTACAATTACATAGTAATACATAGACCTACAATGACATAGTAATACATAGACCTACAATTACATAGTAATACATAAACCTACAATTAAATAGTAATACATAAACCTACAATAAACCTACAGACCTACAATTACATAGTAATACATAAACCTACAATTACATGGTAATACATAAACCTACAATTAAATAGTAATACATAGACCTACAATTACATAGTAATACATAGACCTACAATTACATAGTAATAAATAGACCTACAATTAAATAGTAATACATAGACCTACAATAACATAGTAATACATAGACCTACAATTAAATAGTAATACATAAACCTACAATTACATAGTAATACATAGACCTACATAGTAATACATAAACCTACAATTACATAGTAATACATAGACCTACAATTACATAGTAATACATAGACCTACAATTACATAGTAATACTTTAACCTACAATTACATAGTAATACATAGACCTACAATGACATAGTAATACATAAACCTACAATTACATAGTAATACATAGACCTACAATTACATAGTATTACATAGACCTACAATTAAATAGTAATACATATACATAGACCTACAATTACATAGTAATACATAAACCTACAATTACATAGTAATACATAGACCTACAATTACATAGTAATACATAAACCTACAATTACATAGTAATACATAAACCTACAATTACATAGTAATACATAAACCTACAATTAAATAGTAATACATAGACCTACAATTACATAGTAATACATAGACCTACAATTAAATAGTAATACATAGACCTACAATTACATAGTAATACATAGACCTACAATAAACCTACAGACCTACAATTACATAGTAATACATAGACCTACAATAAACCTACAGACCTACAATTACATAGTAATACATAAACCTACAATTACATAGTAATACATAAACCTACAATTACATAGTAATACATAGACCTACAATTACATAGTTATACATAGACCTACAATTACATAGTAATACATAAACCTACAATGACATAGTAATACATAAACCTACAATTACATAGTAATACATAGACCTACAATTACATAGTAATACATAGACCTACAATTACATAGTAATACATAGACCTACAATTACATAGTAATACATAGACCTACAATTAAATAGTAATACATAGACCTACAATTACATAGTAATACATAGACCTACAATAAACCTACAGACCTACAATTACATAGTAATACATAAACCTACAATTACATAGTAATACATAAACCTACAATTACATAGTAATACATAAACCTACAATTACATAGTAATACATAGACCTACAATTACATAGTAATACATAGACCTACAATTACATAGTAATACATAGACCTACAATTACATAGTTATACATAGACCTACAATTACATAGTAATACATAAACCTACAATGACATAGTCATACATAAACCTACAATTACATAGTAATACATAGACCTACAATTACATAGTAATACATAGACCTACAATTACATAGTAATACATAGACCTACAATGACTACAGACTACAGACAAGAATGACTGTACATAGACAGCAAAGCAACCATGAAGATTTAACAATCATCAGGGCATCGTTGTTCTAATGGACCATTTAAAATATTTCCCTTGTGTATGGTCAATCGTCAAGATGATTTTCTCCCGAAGAAGAAAGAAGAATTATTCATAAACATTCTCAACACGGGATTAAATGATAAATAATATTTTAATTTTTACGAAACATTTTAAAGACTTTACTCCAATTTTAAAATGACATTAGTAGTCTCCCTTGTATTTGTTAACGTCATACTATTGTTAATGTCAATCAATTGTTTTATAACATTTATGTATACAAGTCACATTACATGAAGATCTGTGAAAGCAGTGAAAGCGCTAGTAAAAGTGATGAATTGAAACCGTTATTATCTTTTATTAATTTTCTTTATATATATAAACAAGACTAAATTGAAAACAACGTTCAAACCTATGATTGCGTTGGATAAAAACCGCAATTTTTATACGTGTGCATGCAAAACAAATTTCTTGTTAGAGGGGTCTAAATACAGCACAAACAACATTTTCCAAAAGACCAAAAAGGTGAAAAAGTATATTTTAACAAAACGCATTTGACTAACAGGTCGAACAACAAATGTTCTTAAACCCTGCTGACTGCCATAGGCGATTGCCAAATAAACGGATCACCAATGTAATAAATGGATCTTAATTATAAATATAATACTAAACAGAAAACAATAAACTTGCGGAAAAGATGGTATACCGCAAACAAAAGGTGCAAAGGTTTTTGTACACCATATCCGGATTTCGACAAATAATGTCTCTTCAGTGATGATAGGAATCGAAACCGTATTTGGAAAGCCATACAATTTACCTCAATTTAGGATAGACTCTTGAATTTTGAGGAGTCAAAATAGGATGAACAGATCATATAAACCCGAAGGCAAATATAATACAAGCCCAAACGAAAAATATAAACAAGTCTAAATTGAAAACAACGTTCAAACCTATGATTGCGTATATATATATATATATATAACAGTCTAAATTGAAAACAACGTTCAAACCTATGATTGCATTGGATAATAAAATGCTCCCTGCTGGGGCGCAGCTTGATACGACCGCAGAGGTCGAACCCTGAACAGTTGGGGCAAGTATGGACACAACATTCAAGCTTGATACAGCACTGAATTTGGATTGTAATTAAATATTTGACACAGCATAGGTTTCTGACACAGAATGAATGTGGTCTAAGAACTTAAAAAATTTTAATTTACCTATTAAAACCATATCATTATTAATTGCTTTTATATATAAATCAGAAATAACCAATTTAAAATGGAAAATTTTAAAGAAAAAAAAGGAAAAAAAATCCCCCCCCCAAATTTTTTGAACCCCCTTATGATTCATCACCCCCAAACCCAATCCCAGCCTTCCTTTTGAGGTAAGGTACCTTGCAGTACAATTTCAGAGAGATCCATACACTCAAACACAAGTTAATGTCTGGAAACTAGAAAAATGCTTGTTTTCTAGGCCCCTTTTTGGCCCCAAATTCCTAAATGTTTAGGGCAATTACCCCCAAACTCAAACCCAGCTTTCCCTTTGTGATATGGAACCTTGCAGTACAATTTCATAAAGATCCATAAACTTACACACAAGTTATTGTCCAGAAACTAGAAAAATGCTTGTTTTTTTGCCCCTTTATGGCCCCTAATTCCTAAAATTTTGAGGGAATTACCCCCAAAATCAATCCCAGCATTCCCTTTGTGGTATGGTACCTTGCAGTACAATTTCAGAGAGATCCATACACTTGAACACAAGTTATTGTCTGGAAACTAGAAAAATGCTTATTTTTGGCCCCTTTTTGGCCCCTTATTCCTAAACGTTTTGGGCAATTACCCCAAAACTCAATTCCAGCTTTCCCTTTGTGATATGGAACCTTGTAGTACAATTTCATAAAGATCCATACACTTACACACAAGTTATTATCATGAAACTAGAAAAATGCTTGTTTTTTGCCCCTTTTTTGGCCCCTAATTCCTAAAATTTTGAGGCAATTACCCCCAAAATCAATCCCAGCATTCCCTTTGTGATATGGAACCTTGTGGTACAATGTCAGAGAGATCCATACACTAACACACAAGTTATGTCTAGAAGTTACAAAAATGCTTATTTTTGGCCCCTTTTTGGCCCCTAATTCCTTAACTGTTGGTACCATAACCCCCAAAATCAATCCCAACCTTCCTTTAGTGGTATTGAACCTTATGGTAAAATTTCATTGAGATCTATTCACTTAAACTAAAGTTAGAGTGCGAAAACCAATGTGTGTTCGGACGACGACGACGACGACGACAACGACGACGACGCCAACGTCATACCAATATACGACCAAAAATTTTTTAATTTTTGCGGTCGTATAAAAACCGCAATTTTAATACCTGTGCATGTAAAACTTTTTCTTGATAGAGGGGTCTAAATACAGCACAAACAACAATTTCCAATAGACCAAAAAAAGTGAAAAAGTCTATTTTAACAAAACGCATTTGACTAACAGGTCGAACAAATGATGTTCTTAAACCCTGCTGACTGCCATTGGCGATTGCCAAACAAATTGATCACCAGATCTAACAAAATGGATCTTAATATTAATTTAATACCAAACAGAAAACAAAAAATGTGGAAAAGATGGTATACCACAAACATGAGGTGCAAAAATTTGTACACCATATCCGGATTTCGACAATTAATGTCTCTTCAGTGATGTTAGGGATCGAAACGGTATTTGGAAGGCCATACAATTTACCTCAATTTAGGAAAGACTCTTGAATTTTAAAGAGTCGAAATAGGATGAACAGATCATATAAACCCGAAGGAAAATATAATACAAGTCCAAACGAAAAAATATATAAAAGTCTAAATTTAAAACAACGTTCAAACCTATGATTGCTTTGGATAAAAACCGCAATTTTTATATGTGTGCATGTAAAACAAATTTCTTGATAGAGGGGTCTAAATACAGCACAAACAACAATTACCAATAGACCAAAAAAAGTGAAAAAGTCTATTTTAACAACACCCATTTGACTAACAGGTCGAACAACTGATGTTCTTAAACCCTGCTGACTGCCATTGGTGATTGCCAAATAAATGGATCACCGATGTAAAAATGGATCTTAAGGATGTTCGCTACTCTTGTTTTTGACTTTTTGTCAGATATTCGGAATTCTCTAGTTTTATCCATGTTAGTGCCAATAAAAATTTTGCCCGTTAACCCTCACTTTTCTTTTCATAATCTTATTATATATTGTTTAAAAAGCCATTTTTGAAAATCTTATATAATCCTTGTTATTTTTTCCCAGTATTTGAAAGAAAAAAGGTGCCCATGTTAAATACATGAAAAATCTAGAGAGAAACATTTCCCGCCAAATTTTCAATGGCTTATATCTCGAAAACAAGCACACGGACCCTTCATTTTTTTCTGCTTTTTTAGTTCCTTTATGTATATACTACAAATTTATAACAGTCTTATAAAAAGCTTGTTATTTTTAAACAGAGTAGCGAACATCCTTAATTATAAATATAGTACTAAACAGAAAACAATAAACATGTCTCTTCAGTGATGTTAGGGATCGAAACAGTATTTAGAAGGCCATACAATTTACCTCAATTTAGGAAAGACTCTTGAATTTTAGAGAGTCGAAATAGGATGAACGGATCATATAAATCCGAAGGAAAATATAATACAAGCCCAAACGAAAAAATATATAAAAGTCTAAATTGAAAACAACGTTCAAACCACAGGCGCTTGTCTCAGAATTTTTTTCCCCTATATACCTTAATATAACACAAGGTACTTAACTCGCATTTTTGAAAAATGTCACCCGGTCGCGTAATTCCATTATATGCCGATTTCTCAGTTGTCAACCCCACTAAAACTTGTTATGTCGTAAATCTAAATTGATTTTTCTACACAATGGTGTATGACATGCCTACTTCAGTCTGTGCCAAACGCCATCGGTCAGAAATACACGAAGGTCCGCCCTATCGTATGTCAGTTCCAGTCCGTATGTCGGGTGCCTCACTGTCTCGGTTCTGTGTCTTATAATAGTATTTTGTTTAGGCGACGCAATGATCACCTTCCGGAAATCATTACTTCCATTCTGGTACGTATGTACCGTGTTTTAAACGTCTCGGTTCTGTGACTTATATTATTTTTGATGGCAGATGCGTGCGCACAGATCAGAAATGATAACTTCTGTGTAAACATTTAAAAATGTTTAAAAATGTTTACGCCTAAGTATTTAAAAGGGGATCCTGGCAAGCAATTAAAACGCGACAACTTTATTTCTGAAGAGGCCAATTGGTCTTCAGTGTTGGCTTTTGCTCGTGACTCTTAGTTTTACAATGTTCCTGTCAAATTAATATAATAGATTCTAATAAATTTAATATATACAAGTATAACAATTATTTTTATTTAATAAAATCAGCTGCTTTCCTGAAATGCAAATTTACCATGAATATCATCATAAAACAATAAACAACACTAAAATCTTATTTAATTGATTTTTTTTTTTCGGACAGACAAAAATCTGTTCGGTCAGACAAAACCTACAACACTGTCTGACCAAATGTCAGACACAAATCAAAAGAGTTTGGCACAGACTGCTACTTTTGTTTTCGGAATCATCAGTAGCTATCCTACCCAAGTATGTCAATCGTAATTATTTCGTCTACCGACGCCAAATTGGAAACCTACATCTCGCAGTAAAAGGTATCTTCCCATTCTCTTTATATATCTCGGTTTCTGATTGGTCAAATTTTATGGGAAGGTCTTTATGTTTCTCAGAATTATCTGATCTTATTTCATTTCATACGTAAAGTCCAGAGAGAGTCTGAATGACATTGACGTAATGGGAAAAATTTATGTCTAAAAAAAGAAACTTGTAACTTATTAGACATACAACATATATAACACTTGTTAGATATTTTTTCATAGTATCTTATAGTATACAATTTTACTTACCATTTGCTTACTGGGTGATAAGTTCTATTCAGAAAAAAAACTAAATAAGTTTTTTTTTAAATAATTTTTATAATTAATCATTTACTGCGAGTTTTGTGTTTCCAATCTGACGTCGGTACACGAAATAATGACGATTGACATACTTGGGTAGGCCTACTACTGATGATTCCGACAACAAAAGTAGGCGTGTTATACACCATTGTGTAGAAAATCAATTTAGATTTACGACATAACAAGTGTTAGTGGGGTTGACAACCAAGAAATCGGCATATAACGGAATTTCGCGACCGTGTGACATTTTTCAAAAATGCGGGTTAAGTACCTTGTGTTATATTAAGGTATATAGGGAATTTTATTCTGAGACAAGTGCCTGTGGTTCAAACCTATGATTGCGTTGATATATATATATATATTGAGTTTATAAGGGAAATTATAGTTTACATTTCACAAACGCAACTTACATTTTTTGTACCTGAATGAGCTTTCTTCAAAGGGGAAAGGAAACGATCTGCTGAATGTGCGTATGTTCTGTATCTCCCGCCTTTTTAGGAGCACCAATATGGTGCACAGAAGGAACATTAAAAGTATCATCACTATGATCAAGGACGTATAACTAACATAATATAGGTCCTTGCTATGATGGGTATAATAAAAAGATACAGAATTTGTTCATTCTTTGCTAAAATGCAGTTGATCTGAGATGAATTTGACTATTATTTTCCGGGCCTTCGGCAATATAGCTCCTAACATAAGTTACGATGTTGTGTTTTGTGTATTGGTTGTTTATCTTTTTGTTGGTTTTTGCCATGGCTTTTTCATCGACTTATACGTTTAAATAACCTTTTTCCTCCTGCTCCTCTCTTATCTAACTATTTATACATCCCTAAATATCCAATTTGGCTTCAGCATTCCTGATGGAGCGGGTATATCTAGAAAAGCCGGTTATAGAGACACACACAATTTGTAAACTATGATACAAAAACAAAATAGGTCATCGTGCTGTTTCTTAACTACTTGTGAAAATTATCAACTTATGTAATGACTGTACAGAAAAAAAATATTTGAATAGAAAGACAATCTAAATGACAAAATTAAAGAAAATATGGTGTTAATATGATCCTTTTTTCTGGCTATAATACAAAACAGAAAAAAACATACTGTACATTCCATTTAAAAAAATCAATTATCTGAGCTACCGCCCCTTGTCGAATAAAGCCTTTGAATGATCCAAACAATTTAAGAATCCTGTTTGCAAAAAAACACGGTCTGTTAATAGGATAAATCTTACACTTCTTTTAATGAAAAGTCATACAAATGAATTGCATTCAGGTATGTGTCATCTGTTTATTGAATATTATCAATTCCATATTAGAAATCTAGCCTAGGTCGATCGCGTACTCCTATTGTACGATCCAAAATGGCTGATGGTCCACAACTACACTTAAGCACTATTCAGATACAGATTAATGTGAGCATTTGCCATACCCAATTCCATAGCCTATCAGTTTTCTGTCTCACTACCAGAAATCTAACATTAAGCTTCCCTATAACAGATCAATATACACTTAGAAATACAATAACGCGACAGAGGAGAGGACGACTACGACTCAGACAGACGGACATGACCGTACTATGGTACGAAAATGTATCCTATGGTAAATCCCATTACCCAAATAATACGGATAACTATGAACATGTTTATCACAAATGTACATTACTTCCGACTTATTGACAATGCTATGTTTACAAATGCTAAACGTATAAACCTCTAGAACCTTTACTGATTCAAGACAAGGAAAATCACGTCCTAATAGTATCATATAGCTCATACCAAATTTCTGTTTATCCTGACCAGCTGATCACCTTTAGATCGTTTAATTACTTTCAATCGAGACAAAACAAATAGAACCAACTAAATTTTATTACCGTACACCCGAAAACATTCTTCTTGTATCATTTTTAATTTTAGTTTCTTGTGTACAATTTGGAGTTTAGTATGGCGTTCATTATCACTGAACTAGTATATATATTTGTTTAATAACTTTAATAATTTTGTTTTTTCTACATTGGCTAGAGGTATAGGGGGAGGGTTGAGATCTCAAAAAACATGTTTAACCCCGCCGCATTTTTGCGCCTGTCCCAAGTCAGGAGACTCTGGCCTTTGTTAGTCTTGTATCATTTTTAATTTTAGTTTCCTGTGTATAATTTGGAGTTTAGTATGACGTCCATTATCACTGAACTAGTATACATATTTGTTTAGGGGCCAGCTGAAGGACGCCTCCGGGTGCGGGAATTTCTCGCTGCATTGAAGACCTGTTGGTGACCTTCTACTGTTGTCTGTTCTATGGTCGGGTTGTTGTCTCTTTGACACATTCCCCATTTCCATTCTCAATTTTATTACTTGTTTTAATTTGCACTTAATAATATCCGACAATCCAACTTCAAAATTAAAGAGAAGCGAAAGAAACCATTACAATCATGAGAATATTTCATATACTGGTGAATTCATTTCAAAAAGGTATGATATCCGCCCTTTTTCAGCAACCAGCTACCCGTCTCAATATAACTGGTCAGTATCGTAGTACTCGGCTGTATATGTGCATGAATCAAATTGAGAATGGAAATGGGGAATGTGTCAAAGAGACAACAACCCGACCATAGAGCAGACAACAGCCGAAGGCCACTAATGGGTCTTCAATGCAGCAAGAAACTCCCGCACCCGGAGGCGTCCTTCAGCTGGCCCCTAAACAAATATGTATACTAGTTCAGTGATAATGGACGTCATACTAAACTCCAAATTATACACAGGAAACTAAAATTAAAAATGATACAAGACTAACAAAGGCCAGAGTCTCCTGACTTGGGACAGGCGCAAAAATGCGGCGGGGTTAAACATGTTTTTTGAGATCTCAACCCTCCCCCTATACCTCTAGCCAATGTAGAAAAAACAAACGCACAACGGTACGCACATGTACAGTAAAACTCAGTATAAGAGAGTTCCGAGTCCGATGTCAGAATAGGAAACAAAAGAAAATACACAAAATGACAATAATACATAAATAACAACAGACTACTAGCAGTTACTGACATGCCAGCTCCAGACCTCAATTAAACTGATTATGTCTTCATCATATATATGAATATCAGGCACAATCCCTCCTGTTAGTTTGTTTAGTATTATACCGTCACAAAATAGATGAGAAGAACATAACCCGTGTCATGCCAACAACTGGTTTTAGAATAAAAGTGTTTAATTCCGATGCAAAGACCCTATAAGTTAATCAATATTAAAGCCAAAATATGCAATCTTTAATGACCTGACAACAGTATCGTAACTATATCCCTTCTTAATAAGTCTGTTTAAAGATTTTGTTAGCTTTTGAGGTGACTACTGACATTTTTGTGCTGTGTAAAGAATATTAACATAAAAGATTGGATGTGAAATACCCGGACGTATAAGATGTCTGCATGTTGAGTTATATTTACGAATGATGTCCTTGTACCGATGATAAAATTTAGTAAATGTTTTGACTAGTTTATGATATCGAAAACCCTGGTGTAATAATTTTTCAGTAATACATAAATTTCTCTCGCTAAAATCTAATACGTTGTTACATACACGAGCGAATCGTACAAGTTGAGATATATAAACACCATAAGATGGTGACAAGGGAACGTCACCATCTAAAAATGGATAATTAACGACAGGAAATGAAAAATCATCTCTTTTATCATAAATGTTTGTATTAAGCTTCCCGTTAAATATATAGATATCAAGATCGAGGAAAGGACAGTGGTCATTGTTAGTATTAGCTTTATTTAAAGTAAGTTCAACAGGATAAATTTCTTTAGTATACATACTGAAGTCGTCATTATTGAGAGCCAATATATCATCCAAATATCTAAAAGTATTGTTAAATTTTTGTGTCAGATGTTGTTTCGATGGCTCTTTGCTGATTTTAGTCATAAATTGTAACTCATAACAATACAAAAACAAAATTCCTTCCTGGACTTCTTTGTATTAATTAACTAAAAGAGAAAAAAATGGAAAATTAATTCAAAAGTATTTTTTTTTGGCACAAAAGGAATCTCCATCGATCAAGTTGTTCATATTACAAAAGAGGTATAGAGGTTAATTATGCAATTTGACAAACTTGACGATTTTAGCTTTCCCATTGTCAATTTCCCATTAATAAAATTAACGTGCCCTAAGCACCTTCATGGTTTACCGTAAGAAGACCATTACGACTCAATAACCAACTCCTGTTTTATATATCTCAATTGATATGTTAAGGTAGCACAATACAAAGATTTTATACCTCCAACTCCCCAGTTTTAAAATGCTGTAACTTTCTTTATAATGCTTGAAAATTTATAAAAGTGGTATTTATGGATAGCTAACAGATTACTCTTTCAAATTAATGCAATGTTAGTATTATACAACAATTATGTAATTAATTATAATTTTAACTGTGTCTACAAAATTTTACAAGAAATTTCCACTTTCAATTAAAATTAGCTTCTTCATGGATACCCCGAGAGGGTTGATTTTATAATATGTTGTTCCTAGAGCCATTATCTACAAAAGGGTGTCTCAGATTTTGGATAGAATGTATAGATCAAATTTTACACCTAATCAAATAATCTCTACTTTTATGTGGTAAGGATGTTTACACTAATTACAGATTTATGAGAGAATGGAATACGATAGCGATAATTTGAGACACCCTTTTGTAGCTCCTGCTGTGTTGGTTAAGATAACGTTAAAATTTCTTGTGTAGTTATAGAGATGTCAGAGCTAAATTCATTCAAGTGAACTGACCAAGATTTTGCCATTAATTGCATAATAATTGATTACATAATCATTGCATAACAAAAATAGTACATTCATTTAAAAGATTAATCTATTATCTATCTATATATACCTCTTTTATTAATTTGTATGCAGTCATAAGAAAGTAACATCATTTTAAAGGTTGGAGACTGGAAGTAAACAAATCTTTGTATTGTGCTACCTTAAACGCGCGTCCATTTTAACATTATACGGACTTCCTTATAACGAAAGAGTGCATCTGGCGACAAGGTGTCTGTGTCCATTCAACTCGAGAGAAAAAAAAACATGTTTCCGACGTTTCAGATGATTTAAGATACCAGAATAGACGTCGGATCTGTCATTTACCAGGTCAATTGTGTCCTATATACTTTTTTAAGATACCAGAATAGACGTCGGATCTGTCATTCACCAGACCAATTGTGTCCTATATACTATTTTAAGATACCAGAATAGACGTCGGATCTGTCATTTATCAGACCAATTGTGTACTATATACTATTTTAAGATAGCAGAATAGACGTCGGATCTGTCATTTACCAGACCAATTGTGTACTATATATACTATTTTAAGATATCAGAATAGACGTCGGATCTGTCATTAACCAGACCAATTGTGTCCCGCTATATAATATTTTAAGATACCAGAATAGACGTCGGATCTGTCATTCACC